TCTCTCTACTCTCTCTCTACTCTCTCTCTACTCACTCTTTCGACTATCTCGCTCTCCTCTCTCCACTATCTCGCTCCGCTCGATAGTGTCGCTGCTCGATAGTCTACTCTCTCTTCCCTCGTCTACTCTCTCTCCTCTCTCCACTATCTCGCTCCGCTCGATAGTGTCGCTGCTCGATAGTCTACTCTCTCTTCCCTCGTCTACTCTCTCTCTTCTCTCCACTATCTCGCTCTGCTCGATAGTGTCGAGTCTTTCTCTCATTTACATGCAAATTATTTCTATGCTACCATAAATGGAAAAAGAAAAAAAAGAAAAAAAGAAAAAGATTTGTAAATCTTCACCAAAGACAAAGACACTAGAGACAAAGACACTATCGAGCAAAGCGTGATAGGTATCAATCACCATCAATAACCTCAATCACTTAGCTACTATCCATTAGCTACAGATTAGCTACCATCAATTAGCTCTACACATCAGCTACACATCAGCTACTATCCATTAGCTACTATCCATTAGCTCTACTCATCAGCTACTATCCATTAGCTACTATCTTCCGCTATTCAACTAGTCTCGCTCTGCTCGACTAGTCTCAGAAGAACTGTGTCCCCGCTATTCAACTAGTCTCGCTCTGCTCGACTAGTTTCAGATACACAGAGGTCTCGCTATTCAACTAGTCTCGCTCTGCTCGACTAGTTTCACTGCTCGACTAGGTATGTTCTCCCAGGCACTCACACTATATGAAAACAGACAGTACAAAAAGAGTTTGAGGAAACTCAGACAGGGTGGTGGCAACACTGGCACCACCGGAGGTGGTGCTAGTGCCACTACTGCTGCCGCCCTCCTAGAGTCTATCCTCCTTGCAGAACTAGGAAAACCTCACTCGCACCCAGAGTCCCTCCTCAACATCAATAACAAGTCTGACAAGTCTGACTTGTTATTTACATATTATCTCCTAGGTGAGTATTATAAACAGAGAGATTATAAAAAGGCTGCAGGTTATTATGAAAGGGCGTTGGACCAGCAGCAGGTCCGCCAGGACCTGCTGTCGCTGCTGATGATGCAGGGGCTGGAAAAGCAGGCACAGCAGAGACAGATGTCTCTGTCGCTGTCGCTGCTGCAGGTCCTGGCGGACCTGCTGTCGCAGCTACAGCTCAAATGCCTCCACTCACTCTCCGCCATCTACGCTCACATCTCTTCCCCCCTCCTCCTCCCTACAAGAGAAAAAATCCTTGCTATCAACCCGGTATATAGACCAAACTGGACAGCTTTGGCCGTCGCTCAGTACCTACATGGCGACTGCCAAAAGGCAGTCGCCACCTTGGATAAGGTCGAGGTGATTATGGGGAAGGAGGATTATGAGGGGAGACAGTGTAGAAGGTTTAGGGAACACATAGCCCACTCCCATGGCTGGCGCCATGGGAGTGAGACCAAGAAGCACCCTGCTAAAGAGCACCCTGCTGAAAAGCAGAGTGCTATACACAAGAAAGACAATGAGAGTGACAATGAGAGTGACATGGTGAGTGATTTGGAGCAGAGCGGTATGGCGAGTGCCCACTCCCATGGCTGGCGCCATGGGACTGGGCTTTTAGAGCAGGGGGGTATGATGGCTCACTTCCATGGCGCCAGCCATGGGAGTGAGCTCCATATCCGCCACCTCATCTCCATAAACCCTGATAACGCATCCTACTACCCCCTCCTCCACAAATACTACTCAGACCTCCCGGCCCTATACAAAACACTAAAGACTATCTACCCAAATGCTCACCCGCCAAGGTACTTCCCCCTACTCTTCCTCAAGGGCAGAGCCCTAGAGGAGGAGTTGGTCCAGTACCTCAGTTACTATATCTCCAGAAAGGTCTTTGTCTATCCGCTAGTAAAACACTTGAGATCAGGGGTTATGGACTTGGCAGTCAGAAGGCTCGCTTTGATGGAGCCACTGCCCGCAGTGGATCCATATCTAGCACACTTCCTCGCCCTCTACCATAAAGACTTGCCTTTGATCGAGGAGGCTATTGCATGGACTCCAACCTTGCCGGACTTGTATGTCGTGAGAGCAAGACTCTTGAAGGGCAGGGCAAGGCAGAGCAACACCACTCTGGCAAGCCAGAGTGATCTTGCTTCGGCTGCTGCTGCCATAGATACCGCTCGCCATCTAGACCTTTCCGATAGATGGCTTAATCAGAAATGCGTAAAGTACTACTTGCTTCTGGGGAATACCCCAGAAGCAAAAAGGGTCATGCTGTGCTTTCAGAAATGGGAGATGGTTAAAGAGTTGCAGATGGTAAGGACTATACTAGACTTTTCTGAAGCAGCGAAGAGCTCTGCTCCTGAAGCAGCTGCGAAGGCAGCTGCTGAACAGCAACACCACCCCTCAGCATCTGAAGCAGCTGCGAAGGCAGCTGCTGAACAGCAACACCACCCCTCAGCATCTGAAGCAGCTGCGAAGGCAGCTGCTGAACAGCAACACCACCCCTCAGCATCTGAAGCAGCTGCCTTCGCAGCTGCTGAACAGCAGGTAGGTACTACTCAAAGTACTCCTCAAGGTACTCCTCAAGATGCTCATCAAGGTACTGCTCCTTCTTCATCACCATCTGCTGCCGCAGATGGTAATGAAGCTAAGCAGAGTGCATTACCATCTGCTGCCGCAGATGCTAATGCAGTGGTGTCCATCTTCTCATCATGGCTTTCAGACATCTTCGACTTCCATCTATACTGCATGAGACGTACTCCCTTGGAGTACCTCTACCTAATGAGATGGGCTCGTAACCTCTACAGCTCCCCCATATTTGTCCGCGCCATGAATGGCGCAGACCTGGCAACTTTGCAATCCTTGCATAAAGAGCTCGTCGATCCCTCTTCTCTTGGGTATGCCCTTTACAGGGCATACCTCAGGGAGAAGAAGTATCTACTAGCCTTGAAAATGGTGCTGTTTAGTAATGGCGAGAGAGGGAGGTTGTTGGAGGCAATGTGTGGGGACGTCCACCCGGCAGTGAGGTTGGTCGTCGAAAGGGCTCTAGCAAGTAGCTCCGAAGGAGCTACTGGCTGAGACTAGACGAGTGAAACGAGTCTAGTCGATACTAAATACATCAATACTATCGAGCAACACTATCGAGCAACACTATCGAGCACAGCGAGATAGTGTTGAGAAACTAGACTAATGAGACTAGACTAAAGAGACTAGATACATCAATACTACTCTACTATACACTTCTATATACAACTGTACACTATCGAGCTCTGCTCGATAGTGTTTCTACTCTCCTTTATACTACTTATCACTAACGAGCTCTGCTCGTATCACAAATGATAAGATGTTGTGATAGAGCGAGACGAGTTATCACAAAGATGAGTCTTCTACACAACACTATCTCGCTCTGCTCGATAGTGTTGTGCTCGATAGTGTTATATGCAGTCTTGCTCATCTCTTTTTCTCTTTTTTTTTTTTTTTTTACTTCTCCACTAGCGGTCGCTAGTCAAGAAGATAATGAAAAGCTGCTACAAGTGTGGGTCCATAGGCCACTTCGCAGACTCGTGTCTGCAGGAACAACGTTTGTGCTACAACTGTAAAGAGCCGGGCCACGAGTCCGCTCAGTGCCCTCACGAAAGATCCGCTCTGGCTAAACAGTGCTACCAGTGTGGCCAGACTGGCCACATCCAACTGGACTGTACCGCAGGCGTCAAGTGCTACAAATGTGGAAAGACTGGGCATATCAGTAAACAGTGTGGCGCAGTCCCTTCAGGCCGCGGCCTGATGGGACTGCACCACATAGCTCCTTCTGGTGGTGCTGGTGCTTCTGCTGCCTCCTGTTACAAATGTGGAGGGCCTAACCACTATGCAAGAGACTGTCATGCCTCAGACGTCAAGTGTTACCAATGTGGCCAAATGGGACATATCTCGAAAGAGTGTGAGGCTAACTAACTCTGCTCCTGAATTCACTGCGTAGCAGTGAATGAATGGCGTGGTACGGCTCTCCTTTGGAGCGTGGTACGGCTCGGCTGAGGAGTTGCTGCTACACAGTGAATATATACTACTTATTTTATAGTGTATTGAATATATACTTACATCAGTATCTACTCTCAACACTATTGAGCTGTAATTAGTCTCTACACTATTGCCACTATTGAGCTCTGCTCGATAGTGCAGCTGTATCTACTCTCTACACTATTGACACTATCTCGCTCTGCTCGATAGTGTTACTAGCTCAATCTTCTCTCTAACTACTCTCTCAAGATATGTCTATTTTATATAGACTACTCCTTACCATCTACTCTCTATTCTCACTCTATTTTCTCTAGACTATCGAGCAGAGTAAAATAGTCTCTACTCTACTCTACACTACTCTCTCGACTAGTCTCTACTCGATAGTCTCTAGTCTCTAGTCTTTACTCTACTCTCTCGACTATCTCGCTCCGTTCAATAGTCTCTAGTCTCTACTCTTTACTGCTCCACTATCTCGCTCTACTCGATAGTGTCGCTCAATAGTCTTATTTTTTCCGAAAATTTTTCACTACTACTCTCTACTACAACACCAAAGTATGAAGAGAATAGTGAAGAGGTATCTAGCTCAGATAGCTCAGAGGAGAGGTGCAGTAAGAGCAGTAAGAGCTGCCTCTACAACAGCTGGCGCGCCAGCTGTTGATAAAGCTATGGGTGCAACAGCTGATGCTAACGCACCAGCTGTTGATAGTGCTGCACCAGCTGTTTTCCTGACCCTCCTCCTTTCCCGTCTCCCAATCATCACCCCTGACCCATCCCCATTCGAAGCCCAGTTCTACTCGTACCAGTCTGAACTACTCAAAAGACTCATGTGGACATTCCCTAAATGGTTCTACTATAAAAAGGGCACTCTTGGTGAAATCAGGTATACCCAGATCAACAAGCCTCCTGTAAGCAATGACCGTAGTATCATCTACCCAAGAGGGAGGCCGCAGTTGCGGCACCTCAGAGACCTTCGGTTCAAGCAGGAGATCCGTTTACCTAAAACATATAGAGAGGAGGACCAGATGATGGGGCAGAGTGAAGAGAATGTAAAGGAAAAAGATATGTCTAGGAAAATCATCCCTAATAAGAGAGACCAAGAAGGGAGAGGCCTTGAACGGAAATTGCAGAGAACATTATATATGGTGAGGAAGGAGGATGGGAAGTGGAGGTTTCCAAGATATCAGGTGGGGGGAGCAGCAGGAGAGGGAGGAGGAGGAGCAAGCTCCTCCTCCCTCCACTCAGTTATCCACCACCACCTCTCCAGTGTCAACCACTTTATCGTCTCCCCACAGCCATGCCACCATCTCACCCACCCATATGGCAAAGAGTACTTCATCAAAGCACATATATTGTCTGGTGAGTTAAAAGGTGAATACCAGTGGTTGACTAAGGAGGAGTTGAGAGAGGTGTTGGGAAAGGAGTATGAGGGGGTGAAACATTTGCTCAGCACCTAGCTCCACCAACACTATCGAGCACGACACTATCGAGCGCAGCGAGATAGTGGAGCAGCACCAAACCACACTGCTCACCTCCCCTATCGAGCAGAGCGAGATAGTGGAGCAGCATCAAACCACACTGCTCACTGACACTATTGAGCACAGAGACTAGACGAGTGGAACGAGTCTAGTCGATAGTAGATAGTGAAGACTATCGAGCACGACACTATCGAGCAGAGCGAGATAGTGGAGAAAGAGAAGAGTGGAGAGAGAAGAGAGAAGAGAGAGAAGATAGTGGAGTGAGAAGAGACTAGACTCGTTTCACTCGTCTAGGCGATAGTAGATAGTGGAAAAACATAGTAGCTACTGTTGAAGAGAGCTAGTATGCTCAATAGTGTCGTCTAGTCTATGTCTTTCTCCACTATCTCGCTTCGCTCGATAGTGTCGGTCGATAGTGTCGGTGTTTCTGTATATAATATATAACATATAACATATAACATATTGTAGATATTGTTGAGAGACTAGTCTTCACTAACTACTCTTCTCTCTATACTCTCTCCACTATCTCGCTCTGCTCGATAGTAGAGCTCAAGCAGAGCGAAATAGTGTTGGTAGCAGTAAGGGAGTAATGGTAGCAGTGAGTAATGGTAGCAGTGAGTAATGGTAGCGTTTTATCATCAACAAGTGATATGGTAGCGTGAATCTCCAAAATTTACAGCGTAAGCTTAAGGAACCCCCTCAAACCTAGCTATAACACTATCGAGCAGAGCGAGATAGTGTGCAACGCTGACTAGCTACTAAATGGAGCAACACTATCGAGCGGAGCGAGATAGTGTTCAGCACTTTGAATCACTTGATAGCTCGTTACAACACTATCTCGCTGTGCTCGATAGTGTTAGTATATTAACACTGCTATACAGTAAGTGCTATAAAATAAGGGCTTGTGTTGGACTAGATAGACTATAGAGCACAGCTGTATAGACTGTCGAGCACAGCGAGATAGTCTATATCTCTCTACTCTCTCTTTTCTCTACTCCCTCTCTCTTCTCTCTCCAGACCATTGAGCACACCGAGATAGTCTATATCTCTCTACTCTCTCGTCTCTCTCCACTATCTCGCTCCGCTCGATAGTGTCGTGCTCAATAGTGCCGGTCTGTTGTGCTCCCCTATCTCGCTTTGCTCGATAGAGGAGGTGGGCAGTGTGGTTTGGTGCTGCTCCACTATCTCGCTCTGCTCGATAGGTGAGGTGAGCAGAGTGGCTCCACTATCTCGCTCTGCTCGATAGTGTCGTGCTCGATAGTGGAGATACACCATTCTCTTCATCTCCTTCTCCATCCCCCACACCTGCCTTCTTTGAAGGCAGGTGTTGTGGCTCCCACCAACCAAATCAAACTTCTCTATAAGCACTCTGATCCCACGGTTCGTCACCACCTTAAAAATCTTGACAAACACGTGTCTGACTATTTCATAGTCAGACACAGTGTTTAAGTATGGGGTTTTGTACACCACCGCCAAGGCTAGTGCCGCTAGCTCTAGAGTGTGCTGATGAAATATTGGCATTCTGCCAATATTTTCTGTGCACTGTTGCAGTATGGAGAAACAACACTTGACTAGTTTGGCTATGTATGTTTTGTATTCAGGTAGGGCCATGGGGATGGAGAGGGTGTGGAGGTAGAGGTGGAGGTAGCAGGACAAGAGCAATGACGACAAACCCATGGGGTTGTCGTCATTGCTTTGTTGCTCCTCCTCTATCTCCTCCAAGATCCTCTCAAACATATACATCTCAATCACACCGCCATATTCCATCACCTCGCTCATCTTCATCTGGATATACGAGAGCCGTAGTAGTACACCCATGTACTCGGGGACTGAGTAGATGGGTGTGTACAGCGCAGTGCCTACCCTGAGCATCCACGTGTGTTCAGTGATTAACATGTACTGGAGGAGGGAGGGGATATCAACACTTGGGTGTGGGTGCAGCTTTAGCTGCACCCTTAGCTGCAGTGCTAGTGTCCTCATAAACCCTACATACTTGATACACATACTCTCCTCAAGGGGCCAGGTGGAGAGGAGGAGGAGGGCACACAACACAGACACCGTAGGTGTCTGGTGGAAGCAATGGGATATGAGGAGGGAAGAGACATGGTCATGGTCATGGCCAGGAAAATTGCCATGGCCATTGCCATGGCTTTCTTGGTTCTGTTCATCACCATATGCTCTGCTTATCCCCATTATACACCAAAACACTAGCTCATCCTGTTTGAACACCTTTTTCGGATCGAAAAAGGTATCGTTGAAGATAGGCATTATAGGGTTGAACTGGTGTTTGTATTGGGAAAAGTGGAAACTTGCATCGGGTGGGTACTCTAAGGGATTAGAGCTCAAGAAGGAACTCCCTGGGGAGTTCCCTGAGGAGTTCTCTGATCTTAGCTCTGGCAAGGAATCGAACCATTCTTCTATTTCGTAATCGGATGCAGTGGAAGCACCAGTGGCACTGCAAGTGCTACTGGCTGGTGCTGTGAGAGTAGCACTTGCAGTGCCACTCTCTGGTGCAGTGCTACTCTCTGCACTGCTACTCTCTGTGTACCTCCTCATCAACACACTAGTCTCTTCCATTCTCTTGTCCACCACTCTTTTAATCTCATCCACCATGATCCTCACTCTCATGATACTCTCGCTGCTCTTCTCCCGCCCCATAGGGCGGGAGACTAGGACAGGGCGACATCGTCTGTTGCGCTTCACACACGCAGTGCATGGCATTCCATGCACTGCATCACACCGTGTCTTGTGCTCGCGGCACCGCTCGCACGTATGGAGGAGTCGCACAGTAAGCAGGGGCTTCAGCCCATGCTTAGTTACTCGACACTGCATTATAGATGAAAGAAAGTGGTTTCTTGGGTTAGCAGAGAAGTTTATTTTGTGCTCCGCTATCTCTGCGAGATAGCGGAGGTAAGCAGGAATAGTGTGGATCTGATTGGATGGTGGAGAAAGCCGAGGCGGGACACTCGAAACTATCTCGCTCTGCGAGATAGTGGAACCACTCTGCTCACTGACACTATCGAGCACGACACTATCGAGTACGACACTATCTCGCTGTGCTCAATAGTGGAGTGAGACTAGTGAAGTGTGACGAGAGAGACGAGTGAAATGACACTATCTCGCTGTGCTCGATAGTGCAGTCTTACTGACCAGCTTGCTGTAACACTATAGACTAGACGAAAAGAGCGAGGTAGTCTATACTCTACTCTGTATCTACTCTATATTAGACTATCGAGCAGAGCGAGAGAGTCTAGTCTACTCTCTTCTCTATAATCTAGACTATCGAGCAACACTATCGAGCGGAGCGAGATAGTGTCAACAGCGTCGCTCTGCTCAATAGTGTCAACAGCGTCTTTGCTCCACTATCTCGCTCCGCTCGATAGTGTTGATAGTGTCGTCTAAGAGTTACAATTTAATTCAATTTGGTGCAAATTATATACATTACTGTAATCTCAACACTATTGAGTAACACTATCTCGCTTTGCTCGATAGTGTAGTAACAAGCTAGACAGAGTGGGTCCACTAGCTCGCTCTGCTCGATAGTGTCGATAGAGGATGTAGCAGAGTTGCTCCACTATCTCGCTCTGCTCGATAGTGTCGTGCTCGATAGAGTGGCTCGCGCCGCTCACTACTGCACTTTACTGGTTTCCTCACACAGTATGACGTCTTGTTAGGTTGTAGTGCTTCTCCACTATCTCGCAAAGCGAGATACTGGTGTGAAGAACTGGTCTTCGGTATGGTCTTCTTCAGTGCTACTGTCTCCCCTATCGAGCAAAGCTCGATAGTGTCGATAGTGTCGATAGTGTTGCTCATTGTGGATAAGTGTTGTTCCCCTATCGAGCAAGGCGAGATAGTGTCAGTGGGCAGTGGGGATGAGTGTTGTTCCACTATCGAGCAAGGCGAGATAGAGGAGGTGAGAAGTGGGGCTCTATGTTTGTCCACTATCTCGCTTCGCTCGATAGTGTCAGTGGGTAGGGTGGTTTGGTGCTGCTCCACTATCTCGCTTTCAATTGTGGAGGTGGGCAGTGTTGCTTTATGCTTCTCCACTATCTCGCTTCGCTCGATAGTGTCAGTGGGCAGTGGGGCTCTATGCTGCTCTACTATCTCGCTCCGCTCGATAGTGTCAGTGGGCAGGGTGTCAGTAGGCAGAGTTGCTCGATACTGGAGCTTTTGTTGCTTCATAAAGATATCCGGTACCTCTCCCTTCACTATCCTTACAAACTCATCACAGTCCCCTAGTACCTCATAATCAACATACTTGCTCCACTTCTTCCCTAGTAAGGTCTTGTTCACAACAACCACTACTCCCCCTCGAGCATGTACTTCTTGGCTCATAGTACGCACCAACTTCCCAACCCCATCCACTCTCAAACTCGTACCCATGATAACCAAAAGATCAGGCTTTCTTTTCATATCACGGCTAAGCCCGCGACTGAGATCTTCAGAGTCGAGGTGGTTCTCGCCATAGAGCACCACATCCGGCCTCAAGAGCCCAATCCCTGTGCCGCGCCTGCCCCGGTAGATCCGCTCATAGTACTGCGCTACACATAAGGGACACTCGGGAGATCCACCTTGGTGCATCTCTTGCGTGTACTGCTCGGTCCACTCCACTTTACCATGACACATAGTGCACCGCAACTGGTGCAACGTCCCGTGCAACTGTACTACATCCAACTCCCTCCAATACTCGTGGAACTTCTTTGTGAACTTAGTGGGGCCTACTCTTAACCCGACACTGCTCTCTAGCCCATCAATATTCTGTGTATAGCACCGTAGAAGCTTGCCCTTGTCCCGGAGGTGCTTCACAAACTTGTGTGTCTCGGTGCCTCTGGCTTTGCAGCTGCTCTCATAGAGCAGCGCCATAAATGTAAAAAACACCTGTTGATGAAACTCATCCCTGAATAAATTTATATCAAACATGTCTTGGCCCTTGAGGATATGTTTCGGGTACTGTGCTTTGAGCTGCTGGTAGAGTCCATTGGGCGACCGGAAATCGGGGATCCCGGCATTACATGATATACCGGCACCCGTGACTACTACGACCCGCTTGCTCTGCGCAAGATGCTTGATCACCTCATTGAGCATAATGCTCAAGGAGGAAGAGGGGGTGCTCAAGTCGAGGATCATAGGATCAATGACAACAATGAAAATACAGTAACACTAGACCACTAACACTAGACCACTAACACTAGACTGTTCTAGACTATAAGACTGTTCTCTCAAGACTGTTTCTCAATGTCTCTGTCTCCCTATATTTATTTACCTCTCCCTTTCCCTGTACATCACTTTCTCTATTTTCTTTTTTTCCTTTTTTGTCGACACTAGCGACACTATTGAGCAGAGCGAGATAGTGGAGAGAGACTAGCTACAACATTATCGAGCAGAGCGAGATAGTGGAGAGAGACTAGCTACTACACTAGCTGCAACACTGTCAAAAGTACTCTATACTACACCTCTAACTATCGACACTATCTCATTTCTCTACTCTACACTACACTATCGAGCAGAGCGAGATAGTGTTTTCTACTCTACTCTTCTTTACTCTATTTTACTCTACTCTATTCTACACCACTCTGCTCTGCTCTACTCTATTCTACTCTACAACACTATCTCTCTCTGCTTGTGATGTTGCCATAAAACCGTACCCTCGTTATTCTCGAGATAGACTAGAGACTAGACGAGTGAAACGAGTCTAGTCTATAAAGAGTTGAAAGACAAGAGAAGAGACTAGTCGATAGTAGAGTAGTGAGATAGTGTATAGAGAGAAGAGCAGTGAAACGACACTATCGAGCACAGCGAGATAGTGTCGTAGAGAAGAGAAGAGAAGAGAAAAGCAGGGCAGTATAGAGTGGTGGTAGTGGTAGCGTGGTAGCGTTGGTTGTTTACACGCGTGTCATGGTAGCGCAATATTGAAATATTTTAGCGTAAACACTAGGGCACTATCAAGCAGAGCGAGGTAGTCGAGAGGGAAGAGTAGATTAGAGACTAGTCGAGAGAGAGTAGTTAGTAGTTAGTAGTTAGTAGTTAGTAGTTAGAGACTTTTCAGTTAGAGAGTAGACAGTAGAGTAGAGAAAGATGGAGAGTGAGCAACACTCTCTCGCTCTGTCCGATAATGTTGTGTTGCAGAGAGAGTGTAGAGTAGAGAGAGATGGAGAGTGTGCAACACTCTCTCGCTCTGCTCGATAGTGTTGCTCGATAGTGTCACTATTTCATGATTTATAAAAGCCTTTATTTAATAACTAGCTACAACACTGTCGAGCAAAGAAAGATAACGGAGCACACTATCTTCTCTCTCCTTCTCTCTCCTTCTCTTTGCTTCTTCTCTCTCCTCCTTCTATCTCCTTCTCCTTCAGCAGGTGCTATCGCACCTGCTTCTGTTGCTTTATTTCCTTCAGCAGGTGCTGTCGCACCTGCCTCCTCTGCCCTTTAGGTACTTGTACTTGCAAAAGATGAAAATCACCAACGACAATACGGCTCCCCCAATCAAATCGACAAAGTAATGGTGCGTCAAGTACATCGTGCTCCACCAGAGCCACATCCCATACATCACCCACACATACCACCACTCCCCAAATAGATACATCATGAATAACACCTCCATCGTGCAGCACCCGCTGTGCAACGACGGGAACGCGCCAAATATCACCGGCGACGTGCTGAAGCCGGTGGTGTACATGTCGATCCCAAGCAACTCGTCGATCCGCCTTAGACCTCCAGGCGACCCGTGCATCGTATAGTTCGCGGGCTCGAGCCCATAGAGGTTCTTATACCACGGCGGCGCTGCAGGGAAACTCATCTGGATCATCACGCCCACCAAATTCATATACCCAAACGCAAAACTGTACACTTGCAACGTACCGGGCGGCGCCCACCACCAGATCACTCCGGCAACAACAAACGGAGCCCCGAAATGGAAAAGACCATACGGCACCCATGCCAATAGGTCTAATATAGTGGTGTGCGTTGTTGCCAAGACATTAGAGAGATCGTCTCCATACAAGATCGTCTCCATCGCAGGCAACACCTTGACTGATATAACGGGCTTGTATTGGTATGGGATCTTGGCACATGAAAAGTAGAGCGCAAGCCACGCCAAGATGGGTAATGCTGGTAGGAAAAACTGTGATGTAATGGGGATCACTAAAAGGGCTAGGAGCACCACCAACAAAAACACTTTGATTATGGGGTTCCCGGGGTAGAGGAGGAACACTAGGAATATGATTGTTCCGAGGAATGTGTAGTGAAGGGCTTCGCCCTTGCTCCACTGCCGCATCAACAACAACGCTATCGAGCAACACTAGCAACACTATCGAGCAGAGCGAGATAGTGTTGAGAGACTGGTGAGACTAAACGAGTGAGACTAGACGAGTGAAACGAGTCTAGTCGGTAGTAGATGGTGAAGACTAGTAATACTATCGAGCAGAGCGAGATAGTATTGTAACAGGCTAGTAAGTACAGTAGTAATGTAAGTGATGTAAGTGTCTGCTAGTAAGTTATGCAAGTGTAGTGAGTGTTTGCTTGTTTGCTGGTGGTGCTAGTGTTTGTTGCCTGTTCTTGCAGTAACAAGTAGATGGTTGATGAGAAGAATATCATTTTTTTTCGTCCACTATCGACCAGAGCGAGAAGACTACCGAGCAGAGCGAGGTAGTCGAAAGAGAGTAATATGGAGTAGAGACTACCAGAGAGAGACTACCGAGCAGAGCGAGATAGTCGAGAGAAATATGGAGTAGAGACGACACTATCGAGCAGAGCGAGATAGTGGACTGAGACTAGTGAAGAGATACTACCGAGCAGAGCGAGATAGTCGAGAGTAATATGGAGTAGAGACTACCTCGCTCTGCTCGGTAGTCTAGAGTATTATGGAGTAGAGACTACCGAGCAACACTATCTCGCCCTCCTCAATAGTGTTGATGAGAGCTAGTAACACTATCTCGCTCTGCTCGATAGTGGAGCGAGACTAGTAGATAGTAGATAGATCTACATTATTGACACTATCGAATAACACTATCTCGCTCTGCTCAATAGTGTCGTGCACTGCCGTTGTTTTTATTCATTGTTACATTGTTCCATTGTGGTGTTTTGGAAAATAATTGTTCTACTACACTATCAAGCAGAGCGAGATAGTGTTGTGTAGAGTAGAAAATAATATTGAGCAATCTAATAGAGTATCTACTATCTACTAGAGTATCTACTATCGACAAGACTCGTTTCACTCGTCCAGTCTCCATCAGTCTTCACTATCTATTATCGACTAGACTCGTTTCACTCGTCTAGTCTCACTTCACGCGTCCAGTCTCCATCTCACTCCACTATCTCGCTCCGCTCGATAGTGTCATGCCAGTAGAGGACCTCCCATCCAAAGTGATCCTCACGGATCCTTTGGACCCCAACACAAACCTAACCATCCTCAAATACGGTGCTACTATCATCTCGTGGAAAAACCATGGTCAGGAACAATTATGGCTCTCGGAAGAGGCTCGTTTGGATGGATCGAAGCCGGTCCGCGGAGGGATCCCCTTAGTATTCCCCATCTTTGGCAAACAAAAGGATCCAAAACACCCGACGGCTTCGTTGCCTCAGCACGGGTTTGCTAGATCCTCTACATGGGAGTTCTTGGGCCAGACTATGGAATCGCCAGTGACTGTACAATTCGGGTTGGGGCCTGAACACTTGTCCAAAGAAATGGCCACTGCCTGGCCATTTGACTTTACCTTGATCCTCACCATTACCCTAAAGGAGAATAGTCTTGTTACCAACATCTCGGTAGCCAATGAGGGAGCCCCGTTTGAGTTTAATTGGCTATTCCACACATACTACAGACTCAATGATATCACAGATACGTTGGTCAACAATCTTGTTGACCAGACATGCTATGACCAGCTACTCACTACTTCCTACATCGAGAAAGCACCTGCAATCTCCTTCCATGAAGAGTTTGATCGCGTGTATCTGCAGATCAATCCTGCAAGAACGATCCAGATCATCGATAAGGGTAAGGTCTTGTTCAATTTACATAGAGACGGGTTGCCGGATTGTGTGGTGTGGAACCCTTGGGCAAAGAAGTCGGCTGCTATGGCCGACTTTATGCCCAAAAGTGCGTTCCATCAGATGCTTTGTGTGGAGCCCGGGTATGTACATTCGATGATTACGTTGATGCCAGGAGAGAAGTGGGTCGCTGAACAGGAAATTGAACTTGGGGGGGAGATTAAAATACAGGCTAATATCTACTAGCCGAGCAACACTATCGAGCACAGCAGGATAGTGTTGAGAGACTAGTGGAGTCACATTTACTAGCTTGTTACAACACTATCGAGCAGAGCGAGATAGTAAAGTCATAAAGACTAGTTGTAACAAGCTAGTGTCTATGCTCCACTATCTCGCTTCGCTCGATAGTGTTGCTCGATATTGTATATACTTCAAACACACTTTTTTCATACAGACATCTCTAGACTATCTCGCTTTGCTCGATATTCTCTACTCTTCTCGACTAGACTCGTTTCACTCATCTAGTCTCTCTCACTCGTATAATCTCCTATTTCTATTCTCTAACTACACTTTCGAGACTATCTACTCTACTCTCTCTATTTTTCTCGACTAGACTGGCTCGTCTAGTCTAGTCTCTCTCTCTCTAGACTAGTCTCTCTCTCTCTCTAGACTAGTCTCTCTCTCTCTCTAGACTACCTCGCTCTGCTCGGTAGTCTCGATAGTGTGTCTCGATAGTCTCGTCTAGTCTCTAGCGATCTCTGCGATGACGAGATAGTGGGCTTATCATATAGTGAAAATGGTTGTGGAATAGTAATTGATTTGGATTTTATTATAGTATTCTGATGGACTCTACTACTGTGCTGTGCTTTTTCCTGTTTCATCGATGAAAGGGACTTGGACGGACTCATTCGTGATAAATTGGTGGTGGTGGTGGTGGTCTTCACTGGCGGTCTCATTGCCGCGCAAACAGGTGAAAGAGGTAAATGAGGTGGTTGTATCGACGAGTTGCGTGGGAAAGAAGTATGGCTAGAAAAGTCTTTCAATGACTCTTTCTGCAATGTGGGTATAGACAGCTTTCTCTGTAATGTGGGTATTGACAGCTTTCTCTGTAATGTGGGTATTGACAGCTTTCTCTGCAATTGGGGTATCAGCACCGCTGATACCCCCAGCGGTGCTGGTATAGGTTTTAATGTGGGTATCGACAGCTTCCTCTGTAGTATTGGTATCGACAGCTTCCTCTGTAGTATTGGCACATTCCTATTAGAATTTAGTACCTCTAGCTTGTTAGGAGATCCGGTTTCGGTAACCAAAAGAGAATGTAAGTTGAACGAGGCTTTACTGGGTGAGATCTTACTAGGTGATATCTTAGTGGGTGATATCTTTCTTGTAATTTCTTTCCTCTCCTCCACTTGACTCTTTTCCCCAGCAATAGCTACAATCTCGTTATTCTCATTTAAGGTTCGTCTTCTCTTGCCTGGTTGGTGTACTGAGTAATGATGGCTTATAGAGTCCAGTTGCTTGTATTTACTATGCAAACTGGTATATCGTTTATTTCTCCTTTTGGCAGTTTCATCTGGTATGTTAGGAGATGGGTTGAGCTCATAACTGATTTGTTCGGCTCTATTACTTAGCTCAGATAGCACGTTGTTTGTTAATTTATGTGAGTAGCCCTTGTTGTACATTGTGGTAGCAGTAGGAGACGTCAATGTGTCTTCCATGTCTGAATAACGACAAGGTGGTAATGCTGGTGGTGGTGGTGGTGGTGGTGGTGATGATGAGTTTATCGATAAATTTTGAATCTTTTTGATAGGCGTGTTTAGTGATACATGGAAAGGTATCGGATATGTCTCGGCCATGGCTGTGGCTGTGACGATGTGTTTAATGAGACTTTAGTTTTGATAAGATATGGTTGAATAATGAGAATGTAGTTGAAAAGTTTGGTTGGTTTGATCAATGGTTATAGAGAGAGAGAGAGATGTAGATCTGTTGGTTTTCTTAATTGGGTTGAATTGTAAATAAACAAAAAAAAGAAATAAAATCAAACCGAAACTCATCAAATGAGAAGAGAAGAGAAGAGAAGAGAAGAGACTAGACGAGTGAAACGAGTGTAGTCGATAGTAGATAGATATGTTAACTCTAATTGGAGTTGTCTCTAATTGGAGGAATATGGCTTTCATAGATTGAAAAATTTTGCATGACTTTTCAGCAAAAACTTGAACATCATTGAAAAACATAAAAAAACATTAGCTCTCATCAACACTATCGAGCAGAGCGAGATAATGTCAACAGCGTCTTTGCTCCACTATCGAGCAGAGCGAGATAGTGTTGAGAGGAGCTAGTATGCTCCACTATCTCGCTCTGCTCGATTGTGGGAGCAATACTTAGTACCTTGTATCCACATGGTAGCACCAAATATGGACCTTAAGGAGCATTTTTTCGGAGTTTCTTATTATGGGAATGCAATTTTATAGCTAAATTTGTTTCAAGAGTAAATAAGAAGCTACAAGAGGGGGGGGGAAGGGGAGGGGAAAAAGAAGGGCTTCTCTTATCTCCTGTGGAGAATACTTGAATTACCAGTAATAAGTTTTTCCAATAAAGGAAAAGAATTATCTGTCGAAGATCACGTGATACAAATCCCCGCAATTTGCACCACAATTTGAGAGCCTCCTCACAAAACGACACAATCGAGCGAAGCGAGATAGTGGAGCATGGGAGCTGCCCTCTCTTATATATAACTAGATAAGGATTGTGGCCTCTCTTGATAATAGCTTTGATTTCAAGCTTTGAGTATTAGCCCCACTTCTCAACTCTACAGGTTTCTTATCTCCTTTAATCTCTTTTGATTTTAATACTCGATTGCTCCGATATATGTACAAACCGGACTTTATAAAATAGGAACACTATTGACACTATCTAGCAGAGCGACACTATCGAGCAGAGCGAGATAGTGGAGCAAAAACGCTGTTGACACTATTGAGCAGAGCGACGCTGTTGACATTATTGAGCAGAGCGAGATAGTGTCGCTCGATAGTGTTGCTCGATAGTGTTGTAATAAGCTACAAAGTGTTGCTATTCAGTGCTGCTCTACTATCTCGCTCTGCTCGATAGTGTTGCTCGAAAGTGTCGCTCGATAGTGTCGAGTTGAGATACGGTAGCACACGGAATTAACTGAAATTAGTATATGCACAGTTCATTTTTTTCCCAGGTGTGAAAGTGAAAGCCGCGGAAGAAAAAATACTAAATGAATCTCTGATAATAGGTTCGTTATATGAGAATCTCGAGCAACACTATCGAGCAGAGCGAGATAGTGGAGCATACTAGCTCTTATCAACACTATCTCGCTCTACTCGATAGTGTTCGAGCTATCACAACGAGCTATCACAACGAGCTATCACAACGAGGATAGTGTTGCTGCTCGATAGTGTCGATATCCGAGGTCTCAAGAAGCAACATCTATAACGGGCTTATCACCCCAAGGGCTCGTAACCATGACTCATGACTCATGGTAGATAAAGCACTTGAACTCCTTTAATGCATTTAGAGCTTCACATGAAGCTCTAAAAAGTATTAAGGAGTAGTGCACTCTGGTTAACTTCGGAGTTTTTTTTTTATATGGCTGTTTTTTGTCTCGGGTGAATGGGAACAGGTTTTGAGACTATGTAAAAAATAATTTCCTAATTTGTCTATATTTCGGACTTTTTCATCGACACTATCGACACGACACTATCGAGCGAAGCGAGATAGTGGAGTACACTAGCCGCCAGTACACTAGCTGCCAGTACACTAGCTGCCAGTACACTACTATATAGATACTACACTCCTTTGCAGTTGTATCCTAGCAGCTAGTCTTAAATGCTAGTGTTGAGAGCTAGTGTTTTCTAGTGTTGATCGGTAGTCTCTCTCCACTATCTCGCTCTGCTCGATAGTGTTGCACGATAGTGTCGCACGATAGTGTCGCTCGATAGTGTCGGTCGATAGTCTCGCTCGATAGTGTTGGTTAATTCTTTCTTTTCCGTTCCGGTTTTCTCCATCTCGTCCGAAAATTCATCTGTACAATATCAACATACATTTGAAGTAGCAGCCACAGCAACGAACAATGATATCGACACGACACTATCGAGCAACACTATCGAGCAACACTATCGAGCAGAGCGAGATAGTGGAGAGAGACTAGCTCTTATCAACAGAGACTAGCTCTTATCAACACTATCTCGCTCTGCTCGATAGTGTTGCTCGATAGTGTCGTGTTGGTAGCAGCTAGTGCTTTTTGTTACCGATCTGATTCCTTCTGATTCCTTCCGAGTATTTCCCGACTAAAGTTGGTACATACACGCAAAGGGCTTACAGGGCAAGTCTAAGCCCGAGCACCCCAAAAAATTATTGAGTTTACAACTTCTACACACAGGTTTGATTTCTTCTAAGCACTCCCGCCCAAACGGCAAGCACCAACTGATACTGCATCTTTACTCCCATCTTCTTCTCCACTATCAACCCCTCTTCCTTGATTCATAAAATGAGGGGTACGGTTTTATTACACAAAACAAGAAAAGAGAAAAAAAAAAACAAGTTGCAAAATAAAAGCCTTTTTTCACATTCTTTTTTTGTCGTTTGGCGTTAAGCAATTAGCCGTTAATTTATAAAGCTTTTCAGGCATCGGATAAGATGATAAATGCATTTAAAAGAGAGAAAGTATAAGTAGGTCTATGTAGTAGGTAGATTGAGCTTTGATTTAATAGTAGTTTCGAGCCCTCTAGTACTAAGCTAATCACTCATCTGTGGATCTGTACTTTGTTTATTCCGCTATTCCTTCTTATTCTATTATTCCTTTATTCCGCTATTCACTATGTCGGACTTGTTAACATATTCTATAATGTATAACAATCAAGGAGTGCCTCACCAACCTCGCCAACCTCACCAACTACCGCTCCAGTTTCAACACCTTTCACATCCAAATGGTCTGACTATTAGATTGCCGCCTTTAAACCTTAACTATAAGAAACCCACATTATCCACCACCACCACCACCCCTTCCACATCCTTTTCTTCAAGGCCTGGTTCACTAACGGAGTCCAATTTGAATAAATTCGATACAGCAAGAAACTGTCATGGGTTGGGCTTGTTGAGCTCGGCTATTTTCCTTGAGGAACAACAACTGCTGCTGCACCATCGCCAACACCAACACCAACAACAGTATACATTTATTCCAACCAATACGTCCTCATCTCCAGTGCCTTCTCTAGCGCCCTCCTCACCACAATTTAATAGCAACTGCAACAGCAACAGGAACAGGAACAGGAACAACAACAACAGTGGTGGTGGTGGCGCCACCACCACTACCGGCACCACCAACACTTCATCCACCACCACTTCATCCTCACCATCGTCCGTCTCCTCCATTTCATTACCAACTACCCCCGAATTCATCCCAAGAGAAATTCATCAACATCAAAAATCACCCACAACGATCTCCACTACAACACCCTTGCTGCTGTCTACAACACTCACAACGATCTCCACTACAACACCCTTGCTGCTGTCTACAACACTCACAACGATCTCCACTACAACACCCTTGCTGCTGTCTACAAGCGGCTCTCCGTCGCTGCAGAAAAGGAGACAACGATTGGGCCCATCATGCGATTCCTGTAGGATCCGCAAAGTCAAATGCAACGCCGAAATCCAAGTACTCAACTTTGAGTTGCCACAAATTATTGCCCATTTCAACCTATCGCACCTTCAAGTGTCTCAATTAATGGATAATCAGTATAACCAGCATCGTGTCCAGTTGGAGAACTCTCCTTACTACATCATCTTCTCCCACGATAAATTTCTCAAGTTCAAACCTTGCAAATCATGCATTACAAAACTGAGCCTCTGCTGTTTCAGCAATGGGTTTACCAGAGAAGATATACTCTTGAGCAAAAAGAAAAAGAATACTTTTAAAAAGTATACAAACCACAACACACGGGTTTGAAGATAAATGCTTAGCTTTTGAAAATAATGAGATTTAATGAGGAAAATGTCTAAATTGTATCAAAGAGTAATGATTGCTTGTTTAAAGTATAGGAAAAATAAACGCAAAACATCGCTTACAAAATACATCGCATACTAGACTACCGAGCAGAGCGAGGTAGTCTCTCTCTGCCCAGTAGTCTAGTCTCTGCCCGGTAGTCTCTCTCTGCCCAGTAGTCTAGTCTCTGCCCGGTAGTCTCTCTCTGCCCAGTAGTCTAGTCTCTGCCCGGTAGTCTCTCTCTGCCCAGTAGTCTAGTCTCTGCCCGGTAGTCTCTCTCTGCCCAGTAGTCTAGTCTCTGCCCGGTAGTCTCTCTCTGCCCAGTAGTCTAGTCTCTATTTCTCCAAAACATTGATATAACCCCTTCGATTAGCCCTCTTCAGCTTCCTTGTCGATCCGCCTCCCGATTCACTCATAGATAACAAGTCATCCAATCCTGCATTGGCTAGATTGGTCGTTGTTGTTGCTCTTGGACCTGTGCTTGGTCTCGGTTTGGGTTTGATATCTTCTCCATCACCACTACCATCTCCATCACCATTACCACCACCACCTTCTGTTTTCCTGATTGATGTAGCTGTAGATCGAGTAGGCCCTGGACTCACACTTTGTGGTCCCATAGATGGCGTCAAAGAAGCTGGCGAAGGTGCTATTCCCCGTGGTAGTGGTGCACCACCACCACCACCGCCAAAGGGTTTCCTTTTCATGCTAGGTGGTGGTGGTGGCGCTTTACCTGCTTGTAATTGCTCTTCAATAGGTTTTGTACGATCAAGCCAACGTTTATGTTTCTCGTCATAATAAAATGGATTTACCTTCTCACCTAACTTGGCTCTTATAGGTTTTGGTTTCCCATCATTTCTGCTTCCCAATAAACTACTAAACCAACCATCTTTGCCATCTTTATCTCCTAGTTTTTGCATTGACATTTTCTTTGACAATTTCTTTTCAACTCTTTCCTCCTCAACTCTTTTCTCTTCAACTCTTTTCTCCTCTTCATCTTCATCCTCTTCTTCTAATATTGGAATATAGTCACGCACAGTATCATCATGTACTTCATATTGCTGATACATTGCACTTTGATGAGATTGACTCAATCTTGATGAAAAAAAGCCGCCGCCACCACCATTGCCACCACCACCACCACCACCAAATACAGAATTGGCACGTGTCGACTCTTCAGGACTTCCTGGTATAGGAAACCCATCTAATTCAGTAGCTCTACCAGAAAGTAATTGAGGAGGACCTCTAGATTCAAGCTCACCAATACCATGTTGACCAATACCATGTTGACCAATACCATGTTGACCAATACCATGTTGACCAATACCATGTTGCTCCAAATGTTTAGCTCGTGGAGTTAACAATCCCGATGTAGATTCCGCTTGCGAATAGTCAAAACTATCATCAAGATGAGGAATTCTCTTGGCTGGTTTATCACGTGGCGGCATTGCTTCAAATCTATTCTCACTGTTGTATGATTCATTTACTTCACCCTTGGTATTAGGTATTGAATCCAAACTTCCTGTATCATGGCTCTTTGGAGGGTTGAAACTACTCTTGAATTCTCCTTGTGCTGGAGTATAGCTCGATTCAGATCCAGGACTAGGACCATATTTACTACTCGAGGTAGCGGTGGTTGCTAAAAGACTGTACTTGCTCTTCGATGCAGGAGTACCACCTGGTGCATATGGTCCTGGTGCATATGGATTGATTTTAGGTGGAGCCGTTTTAATTTTAGATGGAGCCGATTTAATTTTCTTTACAGGCGCAGGCTTAATCGGTGGTGGTACTGAAGTACCACCACCAGAACCAGATCCCTTTACCGTCTGTGGTTCATCTAAACTCTGACTAGGATGAAGTTCAGGAGATTCCTGAATAGTCTCAATCTTTTCATCTTCAGTATTATTTAGTGTATGACTTGTTTGCTGTACTGCCACATTACCAACACTATCCCCCGACAAAACACTAGAGATAGATGGTTGTTGCTGATGCCCAAGTGCATGGTGTGGAATCGATCCAACTGATGATGTAGATATGTGTCCTATAGGATTATGATAAGGGTATTGAGCTAACGGGGAGTGCACTTTGGGTTGTTGTTCTTGCAGTTGCAACTGCAGTTGCAACTGCAGTTGCTGCAAATCATCACCAAGATAGGTTTGTGATGAGTTACTTGGAGCTGCAAATGAAGAATTTCCATTGATACCCCCTATTTGTGGCGAATACTTATTGACTGAAGTAGTCGACATGTAACGCTCGCAGTTTGGCGCTTGCAGTTGAAAACTGGCATTTGAAGTATATGTTTTAGGTTGATTCTTTAAACTTCCAAAATCCAAAGTCGACGCATTTCTTGAGGTTGCAGGACTAAATTTACTAAACACTCCGCCACCGCCATCGCCACCACCGCCATTAACACCACCACCATTAACACCACCACTGTTACCACCTACTATAAATTTATCAATTTGTCCCCATACTTTATCAAGATTGACTTTACTCATTTTACCACCAAACCAGCCACTTTGATCATTTGATCCTAGTTCGCTTAATCTCATAATCAACTTTTGAAATTCGTGAATGAACATTTGGGTGACAAATGGCGATTTATTACCCAAAGATTTAACATTGTTATTGAGATAATCAATGTATTTTTGTGATTCATTGACCAATCCATAGTCAGCCAATGTAGATGCATGCTTTAATTTCATAGGCAATAAATGAGGAAACTGCATTGGACTGAAAATGTATTCATAAACTTGAGTATACATTGAATGATGTCCCGAAGTGAGTGCTACAAATCCTTGTTGACCAAAAGGTAAACCCGCTAATATAAATGAAATTTCTCCTCCAAATTGATTTCCTTTTCCAATCAAGAATTTCCCAAACTCAACTAAAAATTCTTGTGTTTTTAACGACTTGCTTATTGCAACTGAGGAAACAATCTCTCTCCAGTGCAAATTAGCATAGTCTCCTTCATTAGCAACAATGGTCAAATCTTGAATAACGCTCTGTACATTCCCTGCAATAACCTTCAAAATAATAGGCATGATATGTAATACTTTATTGTTCGCCTTGGAAAAAGGAAATGTGTTTCTGGCGTATTCGGAGGCTATTCTTGCAAAGCTCTCAGCACCACTGAAGTTGGCAATTACTAAAGCAAATGCCCAGTCTCCTCTTGATATTGTATACTCTAATGCCTTGGTCATATCGCCAGCCTGAACTAATGCAAATACGGTATTGACACCTGAATTGTCCAATTTGTAGCCAGTAGTGGTACCACCAGTAAGAGGCAAATCGGTAACATTGAAATTGATATTGGGATTCAAAATTAAACAAACCTGTTTTAAACACTCGGCAGATTTCAAATCTCCATCATGTTTCACCACATATGATAGAATATCATTAAGTAATAGTTCTTCAGTGTTTCCATTATTCCGTAAATAATTACTAGATACTTCAAACCACGCTAAAATATCCTTTTTTTTCAGCTTTCCTTTAATCAAAGGGCCTGGGAAACTACTATAAATCAGCCAATCCTTACATATTTTAGTAATAGGCTCAACTGTAATTGATGGACAATTGTTGGCAATATCCTTCTTTACAAAAACAATATTTTGTCCAATACTCCAATTGAAAATGGGAAATTGTTGATGTATCAATTCCTCAGGGTTCCGAGTTTTTATTGCGGTTTTGTAAATATTCTTTTGCGTGTTTGAAAATTTGGGTTGTCTTCCGGGTGGTGGAACCAGAGCATAGCTATGCAGCAGAAGCTGTTGCAGCTGCTGTTGCTGTTGCTGTTGCTGCTGTTGCTGCAGTTGCAGTTGCAGTTGCAGTTGCAGTTGCAGTTGCAGTTGCACCTGTTGCACCTGTTGTACCTGTTGTACCTGAGGCACCTGTTGCACCTGAGGCACCTGAGGCAACACGTGCAGTGCGGGTGGTGAAAAATGTCCGGCAACTGCATTTAATGCAGGAGCATATGGATTGATTTCTTTCCCCTTTCCGCCCATCAACGAGTTTGCTCTGGAATGTGCTTTATGTTGTTGACTCAGTGGTGCATATGGACCAGCATTAGGTACATAAGGACTGTAATTCGTTGGTGATGAACTCTTTCCTATATTTGCACCACCACTTTTCACTTGTGATGAAGAGGCTGGTTGTACAACCGGCTCGTAAACGTTTTTTGGAGCATTAGTAGGTGGATGTGGGAACATATGTGTTTGTTGTGGGAACATATGTGTTTGTTGTGGCATAGGCGGAGCAACTGCAACTACATTGCGTCCTAAACTTGGAACATGTTGCTGAAAAATAGGGGAGGTACCATCTTTCGGTTGGTATGGGTTCTTTGGCGGTGATACAAGGGGTTTTGAAGGAGGGGGTTTTGGAGGTTGTGGAGGTGCTTGTTGTTTTTGTTGTTCCAACTTTGGGGCAATAACTGGTTTAATAGTTTTCACGGGTGCTGCTCTTCTTACTACTGGTTTTTGGTCGACAAAGTCGGGAAAGTCAAAAGCATCAGAGCGTGCTTTTTTCTTTTCCAACTCCTTGAGAAATTCTTGTTGATTGGCATTAGATGCCTGTTGTGGAATGAAAGTTTGAGGTTTATGTCCTGATAAGGGTGTTTGTGGCGTTGAAGCAGAATTGATCGGCGCGTACTTTGTTGTTACTTGGTGGAGGAGGGGCAGGGGCTGTTGCACTTGCTGCTGTTGGGGTTGTTGCTGTTCTTCCAAAAACTCTTCATCAAGCAACAAATCATCATCCAACTCTAAATCTAAACTTTTGCTCTTTTCTAGCCTCAAACTCTGTTCGGGTTCAATTCCATATAAGGAATCAATCAGTGCAGTTGGTCCTACAGACTCATTTGGTAAATTGCTTTCATCCAATAAACTTTCATTGGCGCCTTCTAAAAGATCTTCTTCTAATAAATCGTCACCACTTATAACATCTTTTTCGTCATTGCCTTGTGATAATGGTTCATACCCCGCATGTTCCAGTTGCTCTTCATGGTCCATAGTGGTGGTGGTTTCTTTGAGCTCAGGTATTATTTTCTCATCATATGGCATTGAGCTGTGATGATTGCTCTTTGAAAAGAGGACATCTGAAGATGCAGATGCATTTTCAGATGCATCTGCATCGGCACCTTCAAATGCATTGTCTTGTTGCCCCTTACTAAAGCCTTTTCTTTCGTGATGCTGGCTACTAGCCAAATTATCAAAAAACAACACATCCTCTTCTTGATAGCTATTATCTTGGTCTACTTTATCTTGGTCTACCAGTCTTTCTCCTTTGTGTAGTTGCGAGGAACCAACGTCATTGAACAAATGCTCCGGATACCGTCCTCCGTCATTAAACAAAGGCTCCGGATACCGCTTTCCGTCATTAAACAAAGGCTCCGGATGCCGCCCTTTGTCCTTAATTCCAAATGAAATATCGTGATTTTCCAGCAAGGATGTGGAAAAATCATCATCATCATCGTCATATTTTTTATTCTGCCCTTTTTCAGACAAATCGGTCAAGATATCGTCATTGCTTGATACATTGTTGTCTCTCAACGACACCACTCTCTCTGATGACATTTTAGACCAGGCTGAAGCCAACTATTTCACCTCTAATCAGATCCTTGTTCCGTTCCTTTACGCCTTGTTGAAACACATTCAACAACTTCACTACCAACTGTCAATCAATTTTGACCAAGTGGAAAAAATTGATTAACAGTTGGTAGCATCGCCATTGAGCACAGCGAGCAACACCATCGAGCACCGCGAGATGGTGTTGTAACTAGTCTCTAGCTGCAAGAGCGTAATGAGCAGCACTCTAGTCTCTAGCTGCAACAGCGTAATGAGTAGAGTGTCAACAGTAGCTGTAGCTATAGTACAAACTGTAGACTATGACCGTGGGTTATAGCTGTAGAGAGACACTATCAAGCGAAGCGAGATAGAGGAGCAGTGCTGAATAGCACCACTGTTTAGCAGTACTGAATAGCAGCACTGTTTAGCAGTACTGTTTAGCTGCAACCGACACTTTTGCTCAATTCTACACCACTTGCTCTACTCTACATCGCTTTTCTATTACACCACTTTTCTATTATAAATTAGTATTCATACAAAGTGTAAAGACTCGTGGTGGCTGTTGATAAGGACAAAAACCTCATCTTGAGCAACCACTATCGAGCGGAGCGAGATAGTGGAGTGAGACTAGATGACACTATCGAGCGGAGCGAGGTAGTGGAGTGAGACTAGTGAAGTGAGACTAGATGACACTATCGAGCGGAGCGAGATAGTGGAGTGAGACTAGTGAAGTGAGACTAGATGACACTATCGAGCGGAGCGAGATAGTGGAGTGAGACTAGTGAAGTGAGACTAGTGAAGTGAGACTAGTGAAGTGAGACTAGAAGACAGTGGATAGATGATAGATCGATACCATCGACACTCTCAAGCAACACTCTCTAGCTTGATACAACACTATCGAGCAGAGCGAGATGGTGGAGCACATTGACTAGTGACAACACTATCTCGCTTCGCTCGATAATCTTGATAGTATGGCTACGAAATGTTGCTAAACAGTGCTCTTCGCTTGATAGTGTCGGTCAGTGATAGAGGTGATAGAGCGAAGCGAGCTATCACAGCTATCACAGCTATCACAGCTATCACTCGATAGTTTACTGTAGTATAGTTGTCGCGCCGCATGATGAATAAAAAGTGAAAAATGCGAGAGATGCAAAGAGGTAAAGTTTTTCGCGTTTGTCACAAATTAAATAAATTTAAAAAGTAGCACTGACCAACACTATCGAGCGAAGCGAGATAGTGGAGGAGCACTGTTTAGCAACACTTTGTAGCATGTTACAACACTAGCTTATTACAACACTTTGTAGATTATTACAACACTGGCTTGTTACAACTGTTTGTAGCTTATTACAACACTTTGTAGATTATTACAACACTATCTCGCTCTGCTCGATAGTGTTGCTCGATAGTGTCGTGTATTGTTGAAAAAAATAAGATGAGTAGTGCAGAGCGCAATTTTATAAATTAACAATACAAAGATAATATACAACTAATAAAACTGATAGTGTCACCAGCCATGGCTACTCCATTATCGAGCAGAGCGAGGTAGTGTGCAACACTAGCTTGAAAAACACTAACTAGCTTGAAAAACACTAACTAGCTTGTTACAGCACTATCGAGCAGAGCGAGGTAGTGTTGATGAGAGTGTTGATGAGAGGTAGTGTTGATGAGAGGTAGTGTTGATGAGAGGTAGTGTTGATGAGAGCTAGTGTTGATGAGAGCTAGTTTGCTCCACTATCTCGCTCTGCTCGGTTAGTCTCTTCATTCATGGTCTGCTCATTCAAATGTAAAGCATTTGATTGTGTTGCTAGTTAGTGCAGCTCCACTATCTCGCTCTACTCAATAGTGTCACATAGTAGTGTCTATAATTTCGACTGATGGTTGTAAACCACAACGAGTCGCTAGTCAGTGCTGCTCGACTAATACGACGGATGTAGACTAGTCTGTGCAGCTCGATAGTGTCACTAGTGCTGCTAAACAGTGCTGCAAAAGAGTGCTGCAAAAGAGTACTGCTAAACAGTGTCATAAGTCAGTGCCGCTTATCAGTGTCATTAGTCAGTGCCGCTTTATTGTGTTGCTCCACTATCTCGCTTCGCTCGATAGAGTCGCTCGATAGTGTCTCCCCTATTTATAATAATAAATGCAACACTGCATATAAGTTCCCACCACTTACCAAATTTGGAATAGAAAGTGGAAAATGTGACAAAACGCACTATTGCTTAAAAAAAGTGACCATTCTCTTCTTTTGGGCAATGTCGTGCATATATTCTACGACACTGAAATATGTCAGGAACAAAAACATATCCGCCATTTATAAAAAACCCAAAGTGACTTATGGATTTATCAAAGGTAAAGGTCTAGATAGCAAGAGTGTGTGTGTTAGCGGCGAGGCTGGGACGTTATTAACCAATTATACGGGTCTGGTAGAGTTTTGCAAAACTGTATCTTTGGGTGTTGAGAGACAATAGGCGCCCCCCCTCCCCCAACAAACAATATTATGAACTGAGGACTAGCTTGTGTCAAGTGTTTTGGAAATTAGGAGTTTTTACATCAAATAAAACAACACGGCTTCAAAATAGAGTCACAGAGGTTGAAAAGGATCCTTAGATATATTATCCAATCTGCGTGCCATTCATCATCCGCCCTGGTTTGGTCAAGTCAAGTCAAGTCAAGTCAAGTCAATTTTCTTTTCTTTTCTTTTCTTTTCTTTTCTATTCTTTTGTTGAGTACCCTTGCTGACATCCAATGTCTAGGATGTATTGCAATCCTTACTCAAAGAAATCAAAGAGTCCGTTGGCAAAGTTGTCCATACGTGTACCGGAAAACAACCCACCCGCGTCTGAATCAGAGTTTCAACAGGATGAGCCAATACAACATAAATCTATCAAGGCACTACAGAGCTTATTAGGAGAACCCGTTGTTCTCCTTCCTCTGAATAACAGCAGCTCCGCTTCTTCCTCCATCAAATCAACTAGTCCCAATTCTAGTCATTTCGAAAGAATAGCTCAATTGCCAACACCTGTATTGAAAAACGGTTCCTTTTTCAATTATAGTCAAGGCCAACAATGCATCTTGTCGTCTCCAATACCACGCGAAACTTTTGAAGTAGCCAATTCTTTGGCAGGCAATAGAATTTTATCTGACTATAAACCAATCCATCGGGTTCATAGCTTGCATTATGATAAGAGAGTCACGTCCAACCCCGCTGAAACTCGATCTCCTCAGCATCCCCCTAGTGCTGCTTCAAGTACCGTATCATCCATCAACTCAAATAAATTGATATATGAACAACAACAACAACAACAAAAACAACAAAAACAACATTCTGTTATTGCAGATTCGCCAATAACACCAAATACCTCACCCGAGATTCCCAAATCTTTTGCTTTTCCACAAGAACAAAAATTTTACTCCAAAAGATTCGATATAACTTTCAATTTTGTTAAGGAATTGGGCCAGGGGAATTTCAGTCATGTTGTTTTAGCCAATTTTTTCAACGAAGAAGTTGCTGTAAAAATCATCACCATTCCTGACTCTAAGTCGCAAATAACCAATTTCAAATCATTTATACGGCGAGAGTTGAATATTCTCTACCACGTGTCGTATCATCCATGTATTACTACTTTGATTGATTATAACATATCCTTAGATATAGACCAGCTGGAAATTGAAGCTGATACAATTCCTTGTGAAGAAAATCTAGATGCATCAAGTACCACCGCCGCCAAAAATAATGAACTGTTGTTGAATAGCAACCAATTGATTTTCATGAATTATTGTCGTGGAGGCAACTTATTGAACTTTCTTCAAGACCATAATCAGCAGATGAATCTTTATAATATCAACTATTGGACTTTGCTCAAACGTATTGCGTGTGAGATTATGGTTACCACGGCATTTCTACATGAAAATAATGTTGTTCATCGAGATATAAAATTGGAAAACATTCTTCTTCTTTACACTGCCGAAGAAGCTGACCAAATCTTTTTGCACGATCAATTAATGTCTACGCCATTTATAAATCTAAGCGATTTTGGACTTTCAAAAAAATTACAAACATCAGATCAATTACTCCAGACTAGATGTGGATCTCAAGATTACATCTCCCCCGAGATTTTGATGGGGTTGAAATATGATGGTAAATTGACAGATACTTGGTCAATTGGAGTTTTAGTCTACTGCATCTTGGAAGGTAAACTTCCATTTGATATAACTCATGATTCATCAAGTGCTATGCAACCCATCAATTTGCCGTCCTCGGGAATTTCTCCTTCTGTGTTAAAGAGAAGACGCTCGAAAAAGACTAGCACGGCACACCGTATCGCGATGATTGATTGGAACTGGAACAATGTCGTGGAGTACCTAGCAAATGACGAAATTGACTTGGAAATCAAGAATATTTTCAAACAATTGAAATCGTTTGTTGATAAGGTGTTGGTGAGAAAGGATAAGAGACCAAACTTGAAACAAGTTTTTCAACTTGATGAATTCAGCTGGATTAAGGAATGTGTTCCTAATAGCATTGTTGAGTTTAAATTGTAACGCTATCAAACAACACTATCGAGCAACACTATCGAGCAACACTATCGAGTAGAGCGAGATAGTGTTGATAAGAGCTAGTATGCTTCACTATCTCGCGTTGCTCGTTAGTGGAGCAACACTGAATAGCTTGTTACAACACTATCGACACTATCTAGCTTTGCTCGTTAGTGGAGCAGCACAGACTAGCTTGTTACAACACTATCTCGCTTTGCTCGATAGTGTTTCTCGCTTTGCTCTCTAGGGTTACTCCAGCTCACATCACCATCATTTTTATAACGCTATAACGCTATAACGCTGTATTATTTACCATTAAAAAGCCTAAAGAAGAGCGGCTTTTCAACTACTTGTATACAAACTAATAAACGTCCTTACTAATATAGAATCACTAGAAACTACTCTAACAACACTATCGAGGAGAGCGACACTATCTCGCTCTGCTCGATAGTGTCGGCAGCAGTTGGTCAGTGTGCTCCACTGTCTTGCTCTGCTTGATAGTGGAGCACTGACTAGACTGACACTAATGATACTATCTCCCTCTGTTTGATAGTGTTATAACAAGCTAGTCAATAGTGTTATAACATGCTAGTCAGTGTAACCTGCTAGTCAGTGTTGCAACAAGGTACTTAGTGTTGCAAGGCTAGTCGGTGGCAACTAGTGTACTCCACTAGCTCGCTTTGCTCCCTGGTGTCGGTCAGTGCTGCTCCACTATTGCTTCGCTCTATAGTGTCGATAGTATCAACTAAGAATAAAACACTAGGGAGCAAAGAAACACTATCGAGCAAAGCGAGATAGTGAAGTAACAAGCTAGTTGGTACTGCTCCACTAGGGAGCAAAGAGAGGTAGTGAAGTAACAAGCTAGTAAGTATGACTCTACTATCAAGCAGAGCGAGATAGTGGTATAGTAAGCTAGTAAGTACTGCTCGACTATCTCGCTTCGCTCGATAGTGAAGTATCTCGTTTCGCTCGATAGTGATATACGATATTCTTTTAGTTAAGCTTTGTGTGTGAACAACGATGCACGGTTGAGCTGGTGAGGTATTGCATCGCCGCATGGCCTTGTATCGACACAAGCCCCAAAGGGCGGGGCGAGTACGTTTTGGTATGCGCGAGAACCAAACAAAAAACAAAAAACAGAGTAATGCTCCATAGTAATGCTCCATAGTAATGGTGTAGAGTAATGCTCCATAGTAATGGCGTAGAGTAATGGTGTAGAGTAATGGTATAGAGTAATGGTGTAGAGTAATGGTGTAGAGTAATGGTATAGAGTAATGGTGTAGAGTAATGGTAGAGTAGTAATCTAGAGTAACGGTCCACTCCACTATCAAGCAGAGCGAGGGTCTGTACTACCTCGCTTCGCTTGATAGTGGTATAGCAAGCTAGTCGGTACTGCTCCACTACCTCGCTCCGCTCGCCAGTGGAGGTCGCCAGTGGAGGTCGCCAGTGGAGGCTCGCTAGGGAATGTCGCGCATTTTCGACACTGCCCCGACACGACACTGATTACATAACGAAAAAAAAAAATTGCAATGAATTTTTTTGTATGGTGAAATATTCAAGTCGTAGTTCTTATTAAAGGGTTGTTTAGAAGCAGAAGGACAGGGTGACAAAGGCTGAGAAGGAAGGCTAGGTATAGACAGAGTCATAAATTTGTATTATTGGTGCTTGTTTTGTTGTGTTTTGAAATTTTTTGTGCGCGCAGCTGGGGCAGATGGTTGAATGGCAATGGAGCTAGAATATAATGGAACAAGAATAGAATCAACAAGGAATGGGAAACTTAAAGAGGTGCTGGACCTAGTGGGGTCGCTGGGGCCAGTAGGATCAAAGCTGGGGCTGCTGGGCTTACTGGGGCTACTGGGGCTGCTGGACCCACTGGGGCTACTGGGGCTGCTGGACCCCCTAGGCCCACCAGGCCCACCAGAGATACCGCACATTGTGGAGAATTTGCTACCGTTGAGCAATATCCTCAAATTTCATGCACAAGGGTCATATAAGCAGCTCATACTTGCGCTTGAGAATCTTGCAATCAATGCGCAAGACGAGCTGGATGTAAAAAGAAAAAAGTATCTTTTGGATGTCATTGTTTCGTTGCGTCAGGAGTTTATCAAGGTATATACCTTGATAAAATGGAGCAATGTCTCTAAAGATGTATCTAAACTCATTGATCTACTGAATTGGTTTCGATTACAGGAATTTAATTTCGAGCAATTGATGTTCCAATTGCAAGGACTCAAGGGCTTTAGCGCAGCAAAATTGCCCGATTTTGATATCAAGACTGCTTTGGAAGTGTTGTATCTAGGTAGACCGATCTTGCCCTCGCACAATTATCACCAACAAAAGCCCATAAGTCCTGAAAAAGTATTGGAAGTTTTGAGGGATTTGAATTTGGTATTGATGACCAGATTTGCTTTGATAGATGTACCGCAGAGGTTTAAGTACGATATTAAGGATGGTAGGGCTTATATGCGTGTAGAGAAGGAATTTGAGGTGAGTATCACTATGGCTAGTGACACTATAGTTGAAGAATCGGAAATATCAAGGAGCAATCCATTTTTTATGATTGATTTCAAGTTTTTATTTGGTTTGAATCCGGAAACTAATTTGATAACTTATGGAGATAATGGTGGCATCACAAAACTTCCTATGAAGTCATATATCAAATTGGAAAGAATAGTTAACCAAACATTGGCCGATTCGGGTCTACAGGGGTTGTACGATTTACTACACAAGTATACTATATCGTTTAAATTGTTTCTTATTGCCAGACAATTGAGAGAATTGATATTGACTACAAAATGGACAAAAAATTTACAAGTTAATTATCAAACGGGGAACACTAAAATTATAGTTAATTATTGGGCGCTGCATTATTTGTCACAGAATTGGAAATCGTTTTTGGAAATAGGGGTAGATGAGAAGTTCCAATTGAATTATCGATGGTTCAAGAATGGCGAATATGAAAGCGAAGAGACTGTGAGGCAGATTATTGAGAAGGATGATATAAAAGAGGAACAAGAAAATAAAAGAGAAAGAGAAGAAGAAGAAGAAGAAGAAGAGGAGAAAGAGAAGGAGAAGGAGAAAGAAAAAGACCTATTCCAAGAAACAACTAAAGAAATTGATATTGAATCCATCATAACTTCGTTTGTTTTGGAACATTCCGCAATGATCATGAAACTAGTTGCTGACAAATTGCAATTGAAATCTTCACTGGAAATTACCACTCTTTCACCACAACAGATTATGTTTTCAATTTCTCCTCAAAAACAAACTATTATGTTCATTAACCCATTGACTGGGCTATTTTATTTCGTCAACCCAACACCAATCCAAACTAGACTATTGAAAAGGATCAATTCTCGCCCGCCACCAGCATTCATTACCAATTATAACAATAACAGTAGCAACAACAACAACAATAATAATAATAATAATAAACAATTTGTATCAGAACACGATTTGGCTGATTGGGTGATTGAAAATCTACTACAATTGAAACTTGAGGTATTTACAAAAGAAGTCAATAATTACTTGACTACGACTGAATGGATTTTTAATAGTATTATAAGATTAAACGAACATGAAATTAGCAAACTATTGAAATCAGTCAATGGAACCATGGGGTATAATAGGATACAATTTTACAGAAGGAAACATTGGCCATCTACGTGGTTTCTTATAGTGATGATCAACGGAGTTAACACCAAAACGTACTGGTGGGTAGCCAGAATCAAGTCCATTGAGGCAACATGGGTGATTAATCATTACCAAGCACTATTCACTAATCCTGAGTTGAATTATAAATTCTTCAAGAGTCTAGGTAAATCCTCCTTTCAAAAAATTATTAACCATGTAATTCTTGAAGAATTGCACTCGAAACAGATTCAATTTGAAGAAATTGGTGGCGAGGGAGAACTGGAATTGAAGGAGTACGGTCTTGATATACCTCAATGTAAACAAGGTGTATTTGTTATCCATAAATCTTTTATAAGTATAGAAAATCGAAACTTATTGCCGTTGGAGAATTCATCCAGGAAATTGTTTCTTCAAATCCAATTGGTTAATGAAAATAATATCAATAAGATGTACTTGAAGTTATTTGGTAAATTAAAAAACCTGGCTATAAAAAATTCACCAGAATTGGATCAATTGAATATGAAAATTGACGAACTGAACCAAAATTTCGAAATTGAAACCTCAATTGATTTGAATGAAGTGATTAATGAAACAAAGAAACATTTTCTAAACTCGATTTTTGATAACTTGAACAGCTTGAATAATTTATTGAAAATCATTGATCAGTTAAAGCATAATGATATACAAATCCTCGATAATTCAATGGATAACATAACTATTAAAGTTAACGACGAAATAGATAAACTCATCATTAAACTACCTATACAAATGGACAAGTCTATAACCCTCTCTACTGTCTCGGTTCATTCATGGCAAATTGAAATAATTATCCATTTCCTAAACCAGTATCTTGAACAAAACCATGATGCAAGTATAGTGAAAACAATCAAATACTTGTCTGATATGGACCCGATTTTCCAGGCCATAAAACAAGTTGACTCCCTTTTACAATCTCCACCCGCATCACTCAAATTGACTAATGGACTAAGTAAAGTATACTTTGATTGTGTATTTAACAATTTGAATTTCATCCAATTCATGTTCAACATATCCTCGACGATCCCAAATACTAAAAAAATCCAAAAGGATAAAATACTAATCTCGATTCTGTTCAAACAAATTTCTTTTTTCAAAAATGATGAAAAATTGATCAAAGTATCAATGAAGAATAATTTGAATGCAAGAAACGTCAAGTTTAAAAAGTTGTTTGAAATGATATTCAAAAGCATTAGTGAAATGGAAAGAAACTCAAAAGACGAATTGATAAACCTTGATGGAGAAGGACACTTGTTAGTGAAGTTGAATTATGATTTTCTAATCAGTTCAAACTTACTTGTAGAGATGATGCGGCGGATCACAAAATGCTTCATTCAATATTTCAGTGAAAACTAAAAAGAAACTGAAGGAAGGAAGGAAGGAAGGAAAGAAATCATATAAAGATGTATATTTTCATTTCAACCATGTTTTTGTCCTTGTCTTCAGTTATGTAAACCCTTCCAATACACGCAAAGCCTTCTCCATCCTCTTTAATCCAGTATCGTACCTTTCCTGATCCAAAACCATGTCACTACTCAATCGACTCAAACTATCAATAATCTTTTCAATTAATTGTTTTTCTCGAATGGGGATATTCAAACTATCAAATTCTTCACCAATAATTGTTCCATTCATGCTTTCGAGTAATGAAATCAATGTGCTATAACTAAATGGTTTCAAATCCCCATTTGTTCCAATTGTTGATTTCCTCTTCTTTTTAGACTTTTGTGTATTTGATCTAGTGGGTCTTCTTATCGATTTCTTGACTGGTTTGGCTCGCGAAGGATGTTGGATGGGCTCTTCGATATCATAGTAGTCATCATTATTTAAATCAATTGATGGATTCGCTAATGCATCAACATTGCGCAATGTCCCTTGAAGTGTCTCCTCCCTTTTATGACCAATTCGTTCTTTTTCTTTTTCTAGTTGTTGTTGTTGTTGTTGTTGTTGTTGTTGTTGAATAGTAGCAGAGATTCGTCTAGCACGACGCAATTTATCCTCAGATGGACGTGGCGGCAACTTGGAACTAGACCCAGATGTCCTACTCGACAACGAGGCATTACTACCTTCATCAACATTAATGCTTTTATTCACACCTTTACCTTCATCTGTCAATTCAGATAACAATGGATGCAGATTCGTGGAAGAAGTCGTTGCGTTATCCTGATGCACAATCATTGTCTCGTCAATAGTTCTAGTAATATCACCTTCGTCACTATCACCTGTTACGTCTATTTCTTTTTCTTCAGTGACAAGAGGTGTTTTCACTTCACAATTCAATGACAGGATAGACGATGCATCATACATCAACTTATCCAAGTCGTCACTGATTTGAGTCGACCTTCTCTTCGATGCAAGATCAATACGTTTGCCCAGAGTTGGACTAATGCTCTTGCTATTACTGAATCCAATACCTGGTCCCGCAATTGAATGCGGTCTACGTGGTGATCTGGCAGGTATGGCGCCTTCAATACTAGTTTGGAAACTTTTATCAGGGTTGACAAGAGTAAGACGATTTGCTGTTTTGCTTGAAGTTGGTAATTTTCCCATATTAATTGAACTCTGCTCTTCCTCTTCCTCGTAGTCCTCTTCTTCATCATCATACTCTTCTTCTTCTTCTTCTTCCTCTTCTTCTTCTTCTCCTCCTTCTCTCTTATGTTCTTGATTTTCAGTATGTAGCGAGGTCACAGAAAGCGGCGGCTCAAGATATTCCTCACCTGTATACTCCTTAGCAATTACAGCTTTCTCATTTGAGCTCAGTTCCTGTTCATTGCCAGAATAGGAGTTGTTTTCAGATTCAAAAACGCGTTTGATCTTGGTTGAATCGGACCTTTGTACTGTCATAGTAACTGCCTTTTCATCTTCTATTCTCCCACTGTATTGGCTCAAATTACTTATAACTGAAATCCTCTTAAGTTTTGAGCTTGATGTGGTTCGAGCTTTGGAACGTCTCACCAGTTTGTCTCCGCCTGGTTGCTTTGAAGCTGCATTAATTTGTCTTTCGCTTTCTTCATGTGATAAATCGGGCAAGATAGATTGTGACTCAGATGCAGATTGAGAGTCTTTTTGATGCTTTTTGGTACATGACTGCTGTAGGAGATCTTCAGTTAATGCCTGCTGAGCTATTGCCTCATCAGAGGAGAAGGAAGGCGGCGACGGCTCATCAATAGGGTTTTCCGTTAAACCCTGATTTTGGTCTATAGGCTCAAAATCGCTTTCAGCAGCGGGAACAGCTGGAGTCAACTGTGATGGTGCAAAATCACTTTCAGCAGCGGGAACAGCTGGAGTCAACTGTGATGGTGCAAAATCGCTTTCAGCAGCGGGAACAGCTGGAGTCAACTGTGGTGGTGCATTTGGCGATCTGTTAGTCGAAGTGGTAGCAACTGAGTCCAAGTCCATTTCGGGCCTCGTAATTGGAGAGGGGGCACAATTGGAACTCGAACTGGAATGGAATGTCGTGAACTCAGACATCAATTAAAGCTTCAAGATATAGACAAACAGTGGGGGGGGGGTTGATATTTGACCCTTTGACCTGCTTATTTCAGGGAAAAAGATTACTGCGGGATAGTGGAAAAAATAATACGCCTTGTGCCTTGCTATCTTACCTCTTTTGTTCGCTTACAATAGCTGCTAAGGTGGTGGTTGATACGATACCAGCTAAGTGATAATGGTTAATAAAGCCTTCATATTTAAATGTTTTGAATTGTTCCTATTTAGGAAATCATATGAAATGCATTGTTTTTGTTTTTTTTTTGTTTTTTGTTAGCGTATCACGTGCTTACTTTATAAAAAGAAAATGAACATTCTGCGATGAGGTATCACGTGATTAATATATATACGAAGGGAGTTAAAATGAAATGGAGTGTCACGTGGTTGATATATATATATACAAAGGGGATTGAGACGAGATGGTGTATCACGTGATCTACAGTATACGAAGAGGCACCCGAGACGACTCGATGAGCAAAGCAAGTCTTTGTTGAGAGTGAGAGTAGAGAGAGGAGAAGGGATTGGTGTTACTCGATAAGCGACACTATCGAGCAGCGACACTATCGAGCAGCGACACTATCGAGCAGCGACACTATCGAGCAGCGACACTATCGAGCAGCGACACTATCGAGCAGCGACACTATCGAGCACAGCGAGATAGTGGAGCAGTACTGACTAGCTTGTTATAACACTGGGGAACAAAGCGAGCTAGTGTTGCAGTACTGACTAGCTAGTGTTGCCATACTGACTAGCTAGTGTTGCCATACTGACTATCTTGTTATAACACTATCTCGCTCTGCTCGATAGTGTTTCAGTACTGACTATCTTGTTATAACACTATCTCGCTCTGCTCGATAGTGTTTCAGTACTGACTATCTTGTTATAACACTATCTCGCTCTGCTCGATAGTGGAGCAGTACTGACTATCTTGTTATAACACTATCTCGCTCTGCTCGATAGTGGAGCAGTACTGACTATCTTGTTATAACACTATCTCGCTCTGCTCGATAGTGTTGAAGTACTGACTAGCTTGTTACAATACTATCTCGCTCTGCTCGATAGTGCAAGAGCTCTCTCCGCAATTCAAGGCGTGATGATCATCTCAAAATTAAGCGCCGAAAAATTTTCTAGTTGCGAAAAGGTCAGTTAATTTTAGTTAAATATCACCAGTTTATTAGGAACCCGCTAAATTTGTAAGATTATATACATTGTCCAGCTTTCTCTTATACAGTTTATACAGTATGAGCACAAACAGTGAGTTTATAGAATTAATAACTCCCAAGAATTTGGGTATCATCTCTGATGCCAAATTCTCTCGTAATCAACAAGACCAATTATTAGTCTCGACATGGTGTAATAGGATTCTATTATACAATTGTAAATCATTTATTAATTATCCTCACCAAGAGCCTACAACACATCCGATATATACTTTTGACACTGCAGAAACCCCCTTATGTTTGTTATATCCCGGAAACTCCAATTCTCCTATAGTTGGCTCCCTAGATGGGTCTATTCGTGAGTTGGATTTCGAAAATATGAAATTGGGTAGTAATTTTGGTAAGGAGTTGGTGGATGATAGCTGCCACATCAACGGGATCAACAATATATGTCAAGGGTCTAATCACACAGTAATTGCCAGCTCATTCAATAAGGAACTACAAGCATTGGATCAGCGACAACAGAAACCAATAGCTGTTTACAAAAACAAGCAAAAGATTCTAACCATGGATTCAAATGACAAGTACTTGATATTGGGATTGGCGGGGAATAAAATCGAAATATATAATCTTCTGGACTTATCAAAGCCAGTGGAAACAAGAGATGTTGGTTTGAGATTCCAATTTCAAGATATAAAGGCATTCCCTAACCAGGAAGGATTTGCAATTGCAACTATTGATGCAAGAGTTTCAGTAGAGTTCTTTTCCCCCTCTCGAGATGTTCAAGATTCAAAAAGGTTCATATTCAAGAGCCATCGACATTACGATAAGACTTTAGAAATAGAAACAGTTTACCCCATAAACAGCCTATCCTATGACAAAACACGAGAAATGCTAATAACAGGTGGTTCAGATGGATATGTATGTTTGTGGGATATTGCAAAAAGAAAAAGAATGAAACAGTTTAAACAATTCCAAACTAGGGACTCGCAGTGCATTGAAAGTGTTGCCAAGTTGGATGTGAGTTTTGATGATGATTTATTAGTCGTTGCTACTAGCGATGATTCATTTGTTAGGCGAAGAAGCTTATCTGAAGATATTTATGCAAGACATTCAAGTCGAGTCTATTTGAAGCAATTGAGAGAATCAGAAAACAGAAACCCAACACTATCGAGCTACTAAGTGTGGCAACACTGACCAACACCATCGAGCTACTAACTGTTGCAACACTATCGAATAACAAACAGAAACCATTCCCCGTGTGTAGAAACAGAAACCATCCAAAACAAATAAATACACGAGCAAGAAGAGACTCATTTTAAATAGATACAATAACACAGCCGAAATGGTATTTCGGCTGTGTATACTCTCTGCTACTGATCCACTCTTCTTCTCTTCCCCCTTCCCCAGATTTATCATCATCAGTAAGGAATGATTTTGGTTTAGGTTGGGTGGTCGGTGTTTTTTCCTAAAAAGGAAATCGTACCGGCTCATCGCATAGAATATGAAAAATATTTCATTAGTAGAACCTCCAACGATGAAGGAACAATTCTTTAGAAGAAAGGGTGGTGTAGGTGGCTAGCAGAGAGCATCATTATCATTGAGAGATTCAGGAAAAAGAGACCCATTCTATACTTTGATCCAAGTTCCTTACTTTTCTCCCTTTTTCACTAGTTTGTTTTCTTAACAAGAATGTCATTAGCATCAGATGAGTTTAATGAAAAGACAAGGAATTATCTAGCATGGGCAAAAGACAATGCTATCGATATTAGTCTGAAAATAACCATTCATGACTATACTTTGCAAGACCAGGGTCGCGGAGTCATTGCATTGGAAGATATCCTGGAAGGTGAAGTAATAGCTACAATACCGAAATCGATTTTACTCAATGTCACTCAAAACTCCCTCATTACCAAATATCCTCATTTGCAATATAAGCTTTTACATTTAGACCACTGGGATGCCCTTATTATAATACTTTTGTATGAACTTCAGTGTGAAATCGAGAGCAAATGGAAGGCATATTTACAAGTATTGCCAAGACAGAATTTCAATCAACTCATATTCTGGTCCGATGATGAGCTTAATCTGTTACAACCTTCTTTTATATTAGACCGTGTAGGCAAAGATTCAGCAATGAAGATGTTTGAACGAATATCAAAGGTTATTAATGAATTGGGGATTAAGGAATTGGAGAATGTTTGTTTTGAAAAGTATAATGTAGTTGCTACACTAATCATGTCGTATTCATTTGATGTGGAGACAACTGAAGAGGAAGAGGCAAAAATAGAGGAAAAATTACTAGGTGGTAGAACTGGTGAAGAGAAGGAAGAAGAGGAAATGGATAAAGATGATGAAGAGAAGGAAGAAGAAGAAATGGATAAAGATGTTGAAGAGATGGAGCAAGTAGCAATAATATCAGATGGGTACATTAAATCAATGGTTCCATTTGCAGATGTATTGAACGCAGATACTAACTACAATAACGCCATTGTTTCCGACTCCGATGACAATTTAATCATCACGACGATAAAACCGATCCGAAAAGGGGACCAGGTATACAATACTTACTCGGAGCACCCGAATTGCGAGATATTACGAAGATATGGCTATGTCGAATTGGAAGGATCTAAATTTGACTTTGGTGAGATCCCATTGTCCACCATTAAACAATTTTTTGTACAAAAATATAGCATTTCAGAGAAGGACCTTAACTCACTAGTGGTTTGCATTAGCGTCATTTCTTCTCAAGAGCGGATGGATGAACATTCCGAAGATGGCACATTTGACATTGTGATTGAATCATATGACTGTTTCAAAAGCGGAGAAGTAATAATAGAGCTTATACTCTTTCTCCAGCTCCTCACTACATTTCTTTTACTTGATGAAACAAAAGTCGAGCCCAGTATAGTTCGTAAAGTGTATCAACTAATTGGATCGGAAAAAGTAACTCATGAAATGGTTGAAAATCTTGGTGAGATTATCAGCCTGAGACTAGAGGAGTACCCAGACTTTGCGTCAGAAGCATTTGAAACGAATATTAGTAAGCTAAATAGAGAAACCATGGCGAAAATCGCATTGAAATCAGAGTATCAATCACTTGCGCTATGTAAAGAAGATATCAAAGGCAATATTGAAAAGACATTGGGTGCACCAATCAAGATCATTAGTGACGAAAAATTCATCCGTGCAATAAAGAAGAAAAGACAGCCACCAGAGGATACTCTGGCAATGAAGAAACAGAAGAAGAACAGTTAGTTGAGAGAGAGAGCTGTAGAGAGGTGGTGGAGAATGGTTGAGAGGTGGTGGAGAATGGTGGAGAGGTGGTGAAGAACGGTAGAGAGGTGGTGAAAAGCTGTAGAGAGGTGGTGGACAATGTCTACTCGATATTGTCAGTGGCAGCTAGTGTTGCTAGTGTCGGTGTAGTCAGTGTGCTCCACTATCTCGCTCTGCTCGATAGTGTCTCTAGTGTCAGTGGCAGCTAGTGTGCACCACTATCTCGCTCTGCTCGATAGTGGAGTATACTGACTAATGACACTATGGACAGCTAGTGGTAGCATCTCGCTCTGCTCAATAGTGTCGATAGTGTCGGTGGCTAAGTGCTGCTCCACTATCTCGCTCCGCTCGATAGTATCAGTGAACAGAGTGGCTCCACTATCTCGCTCCGCTCGATAGTGTCGATAGTGTCGATAGTGAACTAAACACTGCAACGTGCCAGCTCATTGGCGAGCTCATCGGCTGAAAAAAAAAAGTGAAAAATTCTTCAAGCTCATTGAACATTAAAGAAAAATCTAGAAAGCTAAGGATATCACTCTCTTTATTGTAGATTTGCAAATAGTAAGACTTCAATTGGGGTTTATAGTCAAGAATGTCACAGGGTACTTTATATGTTTTACCAACTTCTCCAAGATCATTTATCTTGGAGGATCTTGTAAAGTATTACAAGTTAGATATTAAAATCAGTGATGAAAAAGATGAGAGATACCAACATTACTTCCCATTGGGCAAGACCCCAGCTTTTATTGGCGCTAAAGGGTATGCATTAACCGAGGTTATCGCTATTGCTAGATATCTCTTCTCATTGGTTCCAGCCGACCAAGTTAAGGGTGTTTTGGGTAAGAATGGTGCACAATATGCATCAATTTTACAATGGGAATCATTGATCAACCAAGAATGGATAGGTGCTTGGGTTCCAACTTTTTACTTAGCTGTTGGTAAAGCTCCATTTAACAAAAAAGTCAATGACGAGAATTTGGCCAAATTGAACACCATTGGTGGAATTTTAGAGACTAGATTACACGATTATACATTCTTAGTTGGTGAAAGAATCACTTTTGCTGATTTATTTGCAGTTGCTGCTATTTCAGTAGCATTAAAGACTACTTTGGGTGCCCCATTTTTAGCCAAATTTCCAAACATCAATAGATGGTTCAAGACTGTTTCTCAGTCACCCTTTTGGAATGGTAGATTTGAAGGATTTGAAGCCGTTAAAGAACCATTGACTTTTACTCCACCAAAGAAGGAGAAGAAGAAGGAAACCAATGCTGCTGCTGCTGCTGATGCTGCTCCAAAAGCCCCAAAAGCCAAAGCTGCTGATGCTGCCGATGAAGCCGGCGATGAGCCAGCCCCATCAGCTCCAAAACCAAAACATCCATTAGAAGCTTTGGGTAAGCCTAAGAACCCATTGGATGAATGGAAGAGAGTATACTCCAATGAGGAAACCAGAGAAGTTGCCATCCCATGGTTCTGGAAAAACCAATACGACGCAGAAGATTGGTCATTATGGAAGGTTGACTACAAGTACAATGATGAATTGACATTGACTTTTATGTCAAATAACTTGATTGGTGGGTTCTTCAACAGATTATCTGCTTCAACCAAATACATGTTTGGTTGTTTAGTCGTTTATGGGGAGAACAACAATAACGGTATCACAGGTGCTTTCTTGGTCAGAGGTCAAGATTACGTTCCTGCATTCGATGTTGCTCCAGATTGGGAATCTTACGAATTTACCAAATTGGACGCATCGAAACCCGAAGATAAAGAATTCATCGAGAATATGTTTGCATGGGACAAACCAGTCGAAGTCAATGGTGAAAAGAGGGTAATCAGTGATGGTAAAGTGTTCAAATAAGTGGATTTTGCGACACTAGCGACACTATAGAGCAGAGCGATATAGTGGTGCAACACCGACTGTCAGCGACACTAGCTGCCATCGACACTAGCTGCCACTGACACTGACAACTTTAGATTTAATAGTTAGAGCTTAGAATAAAGAGCGATATCAATCAATAAACAAGTATCCCTATCCCTCACATTAAATTATTATATACAAGAACCTTTCAGAACACTATCGAGCGACACAATCGAGCACACTAGCTGCAACTGACATTATCGAGTAGACATTGTCCACCACCTCTCTACCGTTCTTCACCACCTCTCTACAGCTCTCTCTCCTAGTCATGTCCACCAGCTCTCTACAGCTCTCTCTTTGTCATTTCCACCACCTCTCTACCGTTCTCTCTCTCCGAGGTTTGAGAGTAGTCAGTGTGCTCTACTATCTCGCTTTGCTCGATAGTGTCGGTCAGTGTGCTCTACTATCTCGCTTTGCTCGATAGTGTCGGTCAGTGTCTAGTCATGAACTTTCCCTCTTAATTTAGGATACAATCTAGAAGCATGATAATTAATAGTACTGATCTGCTCCTTAGCAGGTTTGTAAGTTTCCATACATTTCTTCAAGTCTTGTTCAAACCCATGACACACACTATTACCTTCACCGTTCGATGCCCAACAATTAAGTAATGAAGACATGAATACAAAACATTGATTTGTTTGTTTCGCAAGAACGGGACGACGCACTTTTAATCGCGGTAAGGGAGGTAGATTCTTGGGAGGAGGTCCTACTTTCTTATACGCCATGGTTACGGTGCTAACTGCTGTGGCTGTAGCGTGTCAAGACAGGTACTAAGTGGTTGAAGTTGAGTTCCAAGGCCTGCCTGGTTGAATTCCTTTGAAAAAAATTTAGAGATGAATCGATGCTACCAGATGTATTTCTTCAATGACAGAGATGCACTATATAAGAATATGTAGATTAACACCATCGAGCAAAGCGAAATAGTGCTGTAACGGGCTATTGCAACAAGTTACTAAGCGTTGATCCACTATCGAGCGAAGCGAGATAGTGTCGCTTCGCTCGGTAGTGTTGTACCGGGCTATCGCAACAAGTTACTAAGCGTTGATCCACTATCAAGCAAAGCGAGATAGTGTCAGTTAGTGTGCTCCACTATCTCGCTTCGCTCGATAGTATCGCCCGATAGTATCGCCCAACAGTGGCGCATTACTCTATCAAGTCCTCTCCAATCACAGCAAAGTCAACTTTTTTAGCACCTCGTCTCAATTGTCTCTCATCTCCTTCGCTTTGTCCCCGTTTAATCCAATAAATTCTCTTGAAACAAGAATCTGTAAATGGCGAATAAACAACAGCCTGTTTTTGCTTATATTTCGATTTCAACAAGGGTAGCAGAATACTCAGGTTTAAGCTCAGTATTGCTGCTGCTGCTGCTGCCAGTGAACTTATCGTACGTTTATTTATCTTGAAATACCGCCAAAGTCTAAATTGAATAGTATGCCCAATATTTTTCAATAAAGTCTTCATGAATTTAGTGACGTCTCTTGTGTGATCGTATTTGATCTTGAATAAAATATTAATATAATCTTCAAGGTTGATTAGGAATAGTTTATACAAATGGGTGATCAAAGTACGCTCTCGACGTTTGGTCAAGGGTAATATGAAGTATAAGGGAAGAATACTAAAGCTTTTCCAAATGAAAATAGTACCTGGTAGCTTATCCTTGATCTCACACAAGATATATTGATTCGACTTGATTGCGTCTTGATGGAATGTCTGATTTGTCGACATTAGTACAATATTTGATGATTCAATAGTCGCCTTAATTTCATCAGTTAGAAGTTTCTTCATAATCCGAATCTCTTGTTCTATTCGATTGGTTATTTGATGGTTATTCAATTTCAACCGTCTGTAGCTATAACAGTTTTTGATCGGTATATATTGTCTTGGTAATCCCAAGTTGTCACTGAGATATTGATGTGTTGCCTTGTGGGTGTATTTCACCCCTGTCTTGGTCTCGAGAGTTGAATAAACCCCCCCTCCTTTACCTCTTCTGCTCCCTTCGTCATCATCGTCGTCATTATTATATTCATCATGACGGTTGAAATCCCGATTTTCATAATCATAAAGATCTTTAAGTGGAGTAACCTTGTTGGGATCAACATTGATACATGCATCTTTCTCAGCAAAGTTGAAATCGGTTTTTTTCAAATGTATCTTGTGGTCAAAGTGGGGCAAATCTTGAATAAACTCTCTTGGATATACTCCTGTTTCCATATTACTTCTCAATGGCATTCCAAGGCAGCTTCGGTCGAATCCAACTACATTATAGGCATATTTCATTTTATCGTGTATCAATTCGTAAATGGTACTCTCGGGTTTAAATTTATCAGTTTCATTTCTTCTCAACTGTTTAAATTTCGACAGTATTCCTCGGAGATGTTGACTCAAAAGTATTAGGTCGTTATTATAATCGAAAAAGAACCTTTTCAAGAACTTTTGATGCATTTGTGGATTTGAATCTAGCTTATTTAACTTTGCGTAGATTTCATCGACTTTTGCCATATCTTTGGGGTTGAATAGGTCTAGACTGTCTGGAATCAGACAAAGTATTTTTTTGGAGTTTACAAAGTGTGGATTTTCAAGGGACATAAACGGACCGTCGCCATCTAAACCGATTTGAAAAATCAAATCCTCCAAGGACATTTGATGTAGACTTTCGGACATTTCTTTTATGTACTGTTGTATGAATTGCTGTTGCTGTTGCTGTAGTTGCATTATATGTTTTTGTTGTTTTTGTCGTTGCTGCTGCTTTTTCTTCTGCTGCTGTATTGGATTGCTCTTCTTTTTTGAAGTGGACTCCTTGAAAAGATCTCGTTCTTGCACTGGTGCCGCCAGTTCCAATTCCTGTTTCTGCGTCTTTTCGAGTTCCAGTTCTTGCCCCTGAGTCTGTTCCTGAATCTGCTCGCGCTCGCCCTCTTGTCTTGCCTTCTGGGCCAGCTCAAGCTCGCCCTCGTCCTCTTGTCTTGCCTTCTGAGTCAGCTCGAGCTCAAGCTCGCACTCGCCCTCTTGTCTTGCCTTCTGAGTCAGTTCAAGCTCAAGCTCGCCCTCGCACTCGCCCTCTTGTCTTGCCTTCTGAGTCAGCTCGAGCTCGCGCTCTTGCCTTTGCTTCTTTTCCTTTCCCCCTCCTTGCTTTTGCTGCTTTTTCTCTTCAAGGTCTACCTTTTTCTCTGGATTTTTCTCATCTTCAGATTCATTTATATTTCCCTTTTGCAAATTCAAACTCAAATCCTTCAACATCTGCTTTGACTTTTCGTCTTTCCAAACGGCTCTGGAGCAATGAAAATGGCGTAGCCTCAAGTTTCTAAAACATGTATCTGCAAGCAATAGACCTGTCCTCTGAGTTAGTCTCAACATCTTTTGATTGGACAATCTTTAACCGTATTGTCGAATAACCACTCAACAACAACAAAAAAAAAAACCCTCTGTAAAAGCCAATACAAGAAGATACTTCTCTTTACTATAATCTCAACCTCTTCTCAAAGCAAACTCCTCTTCTCTTGTATTCTCTTTATCAACTTTTGGGCCTTTTCAATATCATTCGATAAGAATTTGCTTCATCAGCTTTCGTTGGTTTGATTTGTTAGGCAGGTGTTTATATGCAGGAATTTTTTTAATTAGTCTAATGCGCCGTATATGATGCGGCGCGTATATATATATTTGGTTGATAGTGGCAGGGGATGGGGCAGTGGCAGGGGGCAGGAGGCAGGAGGCAGGGGGGTGGCTACACTATCGAGCAAAGCGAGATAGTGGAGTAGCATGTGAGCCAAGTATATTTGGTTATAGATGTCTCTTTCTCTCTATTTTTTTACTGTCGGTGTAGTCAGCACTGACTACTGGGGCAGCACGGTTGGATTTGCAATGCTGTATAGGGTTTGATTAGAGAGGTATTTAGAGTGGATAAGTTATATAGGAGCCGATAAGTTGGTATGAGTTTTGGGGAGGTTGAGCCGTAGGGTTAACTTGACGGGGTTTAAACTAAATACGACACTAACTGTCACCGACACTAACTGCCACCGACACTAACTGTCAGCGACACTAGCTGCCACCGACACTAGCTGCCACCGACACTGACACTATGCTCGATGGTGGAGCAGCTACCACCAGCACTGCTACTGCTAACTACTATTTCTTTTATTAAAAAATGTATACGAGATGGGAATAGGATTTTCACCTAAAAGACATCTCTAGATGGGAATAGGATTTTCACTTAAAAGACATCTCTAGATGGGAATAGAAGGTTCTCATGTAGATATCCCCGTACGATAAAGTTCAAGTGTCGCGCATACGGATTGAGAAGCTAAGGGATCCTTTTACATTGACAGAGTATTAATTTGGTTTGTTTTGATACCAAATATTTGAAACTCATAGATGTACACTATCGAGCGCGAATGAAGCGAGGTAGTGGAGCAGTGCCTTAGCAACACTAGCGAGCGAAGCGAGGTAGTGAAGCAGTACTTACTAGATGAGCGACACACGGGTTTGATTCCATCTATAAACCTCTATCTATAAACGTCTATCAATAGAAACCAGCTTATTTGGAACACCATCTCGCTCTGCTCGATGGTGAGGATAATTTATTATGTAATTTTCAGACAGCTATAGAGATTAGTATCATGATTATACAATATTTTATGTAATCACATACAATACCTAATCGATATAGTAATCGATTTTACCCTGGTAATTTGGTGATTCGCCATCTTTCCTATAGCACTACTCCACCATCGACACTATCGAGCAAAGCGTGATAGTGTTGATGAGAGCTAATGTGCTCCACTATCGAGCAGAGCGAGATAGTGTTGATAAGATGAGAGCTGGTGTGCTCCACTATCGAGCAGAGCGAGATAGTGTTGATGAGAGCTAGCGTTGATGAGAGCTAGCCAGTGTTGCTCCACTATCGACACTATCGAGCGAAGCGAGATAGTGTCGTGTCGTGTCGTATCACGTGACGTATTTATACTATTTATAAACTTCTCACAGGGTGAAAAAATTTTCACATTCTTTACAACTTTCTTCTTCACATCTCATCGGGTTTGATGTTATTCAAATATGGATGAGAGAATTATGAAGTTTAAAGAGTAAGGATTATTTTTCAAACTTCATAATTGAACCAATTTCCACTTTTCGGATTCTCTTGTATAAGGAAATTATGATGTTAAATTTTATGTGACGACAAGAATCGCTGTGCACCAGTCTGAGTACTCAACTGCATGACAGATTATCGATATACCCAAATTTCTGATTCAATTTAATATCTATTTCCTTTGCAATGAGAAGGTGATTTTTAGTTGTTAACACTATCGAGCGAAGCGAGATAGTGTTGTAAGAGATAGTGTTGTATGAGCTAGTGTTGTATGAGATAGTGTTGTATGAGCTAGTGTTGTAAGAGATAGTGTAACAAGCTAGTGTTGTAACAACCTAGTCAGTGTTGTAACAAGCTAGTGTTGATGAGAGCTAGTTGTAACAAGCTAGTGTTGAGAGCTAGTCATTGTTGCTCCACTATCTCGCTCTGCTCAATAGTGTTATCTCGGTCTGCTCGATAGTGTCGATATAGTAAGAAGTAAATTCTCTCCCTTTGAGTTTAATCGCGTGAAAAAGAATTACGCATCAAAGAATTACGCATCATAGAATTACGCATCATAGAATTGCGCATAAACCTAAAGTATTAGAGTAAAGGGGTGAAACCATTTTTAGTGCCTCTTTAACTAAATCATACTTAACAACCTTCCCTCCCTAACCACTTATCTCCCCATAGAAACATGTGCAAATATCGCTTGATTTTATTAGAAACAAATGCAAATTCTAAACACATGCTATGACATTTCTAAACATATGCTATGACGTTTCTAAACACATGCTATGACGCTTCTAAACATATGCAGTTACGCTTCTTCTGTTTAACGTTTCTAAAGATCCTCCTTCCTCCTTCCTCCTTCCTCCTTCTTCCTTCCTCCTTCCCCCCTTTGCAGAAAAGACGCGTTTTGTAAAACATTTCTCATTTGACCTGAAAAGTAAAGTGAAAAATATTTCATAAGCGAAAAAAAAAAATAGGACGCGGTTTGGCGCCCTTGCACCAAAATATTTATCATTAGGCGCATAAACAATCAAACGCGGAGGGCCCCATAATTCAATGATTTTATTAATTGGCAAGGAAGGGGGATGAAGGAAATCGACTAAAAAGGGTTAATTTCTGAAACCCCTTTGATTATTTATTTTTTTTTTATCGCGCGAGAGATTTAGATAAACTTTAATGAGGCTTTGTCAAAGGGGGAGCATGAGGTCTAGCCATAAGTTCCCAAGCCCCTAAAGCTCCGAGTTTATTGGATTTAGTGCGACAAAATAGGAGTATCAAAAATTAGTTAAAACAAAAGGGGGTAGAAGGTAGGAAGGCCACAGAAACAAATGCAGATGCAGTACCATTCTGAAACAATAATGAATCAAGTAGATGAATTTTAATCTCGGTTTAGTGATTCGACTATATAACTTTTATTTAGGCGCTACCTGAACTTTCAAGATGCTACCAAGATGCTACCCAAAACTACCCAAAACTACCATAAAACTACCAATATGCTACCAATATTAGCAATCGCGCTACCAACGCTGGCTGATTTCCAAATCGTATTAGTCCATCCACATCAGCATCATTAGTCAATAGGGCTCCACTATCGAGCATTTATGTGTTGTATCGATGGAGAATCGAGGTCACGAATTGAGGTACACGAATTGGGGTTCACGAATTGAGCTGGCTAATGGAGAATTGAGGTCACGAATTGAGGATCACCAATCGAGGTACACCAATCGAGGATCACGAATTGAGGATCACGAATCGAGGATCACCAATCGAGGATCACCAATCGAGGATCACCAATCGAGGTAGACGGAAAATATTTTATCCCTTATGCTGGATCTTGGTGGCTAGTGATTTCTCACCAGTAGTAAGTTGCTGTCTACATAGCTTTACATACCAAGATCTACTCCCAAGAGAATTTAGAATTTTGAGATCTGCTACAAAAACCTGACCCATTTACTTCAAGATACATCAACAAACATAAAAGCTAATCATTTTTACCCAATTGGGCAATCGGTGAAGTGTTTGCGTGTTACAAGATTGAAGCCAGGAAGGATTGAAAATACACAAAACAAAACAATTTAACCCACGGTCATCACTAGTTAGTACCATCACGCTAGCTGGCTAGTTTCTCCTAATTGCCAATAGCCAATTGCCAATAGCTAAAAGAGCTGGCTGGCTCTCCCTCCTTTAATCCATCACGTGACCTTGACTATACGCGGAAAAAAAAAATAAGGCCACATGACACAAAACCAAAAAAATGAAAAACTTTTTTAAATTAAAAATTGCAAAAAAAGAACTTTACAATTTAAGCAGTGGAAGAATAAATAGCTACAATGACAAAGGCGAAGCTTAAGAAAGGGCAAAACTAGGATGTTTTCGTTTCGAAGGAGTCGAAAATAAGTTACATTCTCGTTTTTTTATTTTTTTGTTTTTTTTTAAAAAAGTCCAGGGAAACAAACTTATGCGTCCTTTGTATCATTCGATGCAATAATTGAATTAAAATAATAGTATCAATAATAATAATAATAGTCGCCCCTTTGTGGAAAAGCCTGTGTGCAACTAAAAAGTCAAAGGTTAAAATCGTGAAGAGCTGGCTAGGCATTAGAGCTTAGCCCTTTTATTAAGCTATACTTTATTTTTTTCGTTGTTTGTTATTCTTTTTTTGCCTATAGAAAACTGGAATCTATATAAACACGGGTTGGGTTCTTATTTATCTATATATACCACAGGGATTCCCAACCAAAGTTGAGTCATCTTCAAATCTTATTTCAAAAAAACCTTCATCATCTTTGTTGCACATCAAAAGCATCCAACTATTGTTTCAAATTAAAAACCAAAAACCAAAAAGAAAAAGAAAATGGTTTCTTCACTTGATTTGCAAGCATTGAACATATTTCTTAGCCGCCCAATTACTCACGATATGATCCACAAGTTGGTTGTGGCTACTTTACAAGTTATTCCTTGTAAAGATACCAAATCTCAAACTTATACAACGACAAATAACACGGTAAAACAGTTACCTTCATTAATGACTTTTTTATCGAAATTGATCAAGTATACAAATGTCTATACTGGAACATTAATGGCCACTCTTAGCTATTTACAAAAATTAAAAGACAGGTTGCCCAAGAATGCCCAGGGTTTACCATGTACCAGACACAGAATCTTATTGAGCTGCTTAATCTTATCAAGTAAATTTCATAATGATTCAAGTCCCAAGAACAAACACTGGGCGAAATACACCGATGGGTTATTCAACGTTAAGGATATTAACCTTATGGAGAGACAGTTGATTTATTTACTAAATTGGGATTTAAGAGTTGATAACAAGGAGATGTGTCAAGCATTAGGATCATTCTTGGAGCCAATAAAAGCACAAATTATTAAGGCAGAGAAGATTAAGCTTTGGAGAGCACAACAACAGCAGCAGCAGCAGCAACAACAACAACAAAAACAATCCCAATCCCATGTGCAATATCCAATTCACTATAGACAAGATTCAACAAGTTCAATCTCTTCACTATCATCTACAAATTCAATGGATTCAATATACAGTCAAGGCTCATCAATATCCTCAGCAACATCAACGAATTCTATAATTCCAATAGTTGCGGAAACCAAACCAACTCCCGCCACAAGAATTGATGTGGTGGATCCAATAATTGAGCTCACTGCAATAAAGGAAGAAATTGAATTGAAGAACTTGTTGAAAAAGTTCAGTACTAGTACCATAAAAGGATAGCAAGATTGAATTACAAAATTTAATGACTAAAAAGTAGAGGGAAAGAGAATGTGAAATGCTGGACATCACCTTATTGGAATCTCACCATTTAGACAATACATGATTTATGATACCTTATAAAATTATTCAGTTCGTTACTTAAATTAAAAAAAAAAAAAAAATTAGGGGTGGGGTATATTTATAGATTTTAGAGTATAGACAAAAATGCCATTATAATATAAGCAGGTACACTCTCACTCACTCTGGTACATTCGATTCGAGCTGGCTCGATAATCCCAAAACGAGTTAATTCAAGATTGCAGATTGCAAATTGCAAATTGCAAATCAATAATTTCTTTTTCATTTTTTGATAATTTCTTTTTCATCCTTGATAATTTCTTTTTCCTTCTTTCCTTTTTTCTTAATGGTTAAACAACCTTTACGAATAGCTTATAAGACCAATTGAGAGGGTGCATATAATAATACTTTTCTTAAATAATTAATATTATATTACCTTTCAATTGGTTGTTGGTTCTTGATTGGTGATTTGGATAATCGTCAAAATGATCGAATTTGGTAGCGTTGATCACTAAACCCATACCCGTATGTTACTGTTTAAAAATAAGCCAATTTAGGCGGGGGGGGGAGGGGGGTTAAGGGAGGTTCCATCGGGCGAGGGTTCTGTTCGTCTAAACTGATCTGATGATTTCGTATTCTTCTGTCAACAGCCTCTTGTCTGTCTCCCGCCCCTCTGTAATTTTGCTACCAAGTATACATCATTGGTTAATACTAGGTATATCGATTATTATTCAAGCCCAACATATCCTCTAAAGGTAATGCATTGAACAAGTCGAATTCATTCATCGTATTCCAATCATTGGCAATGGTACTGACATTACCAAAACTCTCTCCATTGACTCCAAAATTTGGATTCTGGGCATTTATATTCGTTGTATCCCCATAAGTCATTGATTGCGATGTACAAGAAGGATTAAAGTACGAATGTATCGTGCTGTTTTGTGATGAGGGAAATCCCGTATCTACACTACTGTTTGAGTCGCCCCTAAGATTGCTGGCACCTGCAAAGTCCCCACTTAATGGTGCGCCAATCCCCACAATGTGCAGCATAGATGATTCATTTTTCATTTTTGTTGAAATCCACAAGTTGTCAATCTCATTATTATTCATAAACGCAGTATTCTCTATACTTGACACATTGGACTCTGAATTGGATATTGCATACCCATCACCAGTGTTAAACATCGATGACATACTATCATAAGAATCTTTTTTTGTTGGATTATCACTATTACTCACACTTGAACCCCCCACCTCGTTTGCAAGGTGAGAAGGCACTGAGTCAGATTCACTAGTACTCTTATTATTGCTATTATCCTTCCGTGGTGTTGCCTTGGTTTGCCTACTAGTACAGAAACTACTATCGAAATCTCCATCCTTGATAATCTTAGCCAACTTCTTATACTTTTTCAAACTATCTTCAGAAATCAAAACTATTTCATTCAATTGCTCATCATCGCATTCTAAAAAGGAAACCAAACCTTTTCTTGGTGATGCTCTGTAATATTCATCATTATGTACAACATTCTTTAATATGAATGAATGGGCCTTGGTAATCCTCCACGCGTAATAATACCTTTGACTTAGTCTCCTTAACCCTAAAAGACAAATCTCACTTATTCGTTCAAAAATCTTAACGAGTTTGGATAATTTGGCAAACCTCTTTAGATATGCTACATCGTCTCTCAATTTCTGATTGTGATTAGTTTCATCTTGTCTCATTAGTAATAAACTTGTCTTTAATCTTAATAAGATGGCAAAATTCGCCTGTGAGATTCTATGAATAGTTGCTTGAATAGTAGGCATCAACATTAAATCTGTGACTATACTGGTCTTGAAACTCTTACTATTTGAAAGTAGTTGAAAGATTGTGGGGAAAAATTCCCCATGATATGAACTAATCATCTTTTTGAAGTAGAACAAAGCTAATGATCTCGGTTTTTCATCATCAACATCAACATCGCCACTGCCACCACCACCACCACCACTATTATTGAGAATTTGGTTCTCATAATACAAAAATAAATGGAAAAAAATAACATTAAGAAACATCTTCATATCGATATAGCTTCTGCATTTGATCACTTTCAAAAAAGGATAGGCAAACTCATTTTTGTCAAATGGTTTAAGAAAGCCATCCATTGTTCCCAAATTATCATTCATAAACACTTCAAAATCACTAATGGCTCTTGACAATTTTCTCACTTCAACCAGTTTTCTCAAATCTAAGCAATCACTCAATATAACCATTAATCTCTCACGATACTCATTAAATAAAACAAACATCCCAATAACTTCCTTTTCCATTTCAGTATCTCTAATATTTTCCATCCTGGGCGACCCGTATTCGGGCAAGTGAGTATCATACATCCCATCATGTATAACCAATGGGTTTCCATACTGATATCCTTGCATCAAATCACAATATGTCATAAAATACCAAATCTTTCGACACAAATTTATCAGTCTTGAATCATCTTCTGGATCAAAGTATTCGCTACCGTCTCGATTGAGTCCAATCGCAATTGCCATTTGTATAGCTAACCCATTGTAAATTTGAGAATCACTTCCGTCTGCTCCATCACCATCCTCGGGCGAGAACGCCCTATACAATTTCATTAAAAAAGTACCCTGTAGTACAATCAACGAAGTTCGTCGATATAGATCAAATTGGTCAAGGCATACGGTTGCCATATCAATAAAGTTGTTCTCGATAGGGTTAGCTAACAAATACAGAAAATCTGATTGCGCAATCATCAGGTTCGCTTCACTAACTTCTTCATGAGGATCACCTCCATGACGATTGGATGATGCAAGTGAAATATAAGTGAATCTCAAAATGATCATCAACACAGCAAGGAATGCAAAATCTAATCTTTTCTCAATCTTTAAATCAAACGATAATTTTTCATCCTTGAATTCCTTGTTGCCCAATAACCTCTCAATTTCAGTAGTAAAACTCATTTCATCCAATATAGGCATATATGGGTATAAATGGTGAAAGAAGAAATCAACCGATTTCCAAATGACCTTTTGTTTTGGTAGAATCTTCTTTACTCGGTCAATCAAACACATTTCTTCTTCGATCTTGCCTTTCACTGTTCTTGTATTATGATGAGTAATAGAACAACTGTCCTTCTCATGAAAGTCATCTTTCCTTTTTATTCCCCTAGCTAAAGGACACTCCTCTCCTCCGACTTCTGGTCCAGCTTCGCCATCGCCATCGCCATCGCCATCGCCGTCCCCTTCCTCATCACTACACCCTCTTCTGAAATTCAGTTGTTTGAAATTCGTCCGTATATTCCCATACAACCTCAAATCATTATACCCATCACGATCAATGGCCTTTTCCCGAAAATCAATCTCATTAGAACTACACTGCTTTTTCCCATCTCCGCCTTCTCCGCTATCCCAGCAGCTTGCACCATCTGCACCTCCTGCACCATTAGATTGACCATGGCTGTTAAATGGTACAGCTACAGGACACATACTCCTACCTGCGCCACTACCAGGCAGTATTTTCAAATATCGCGGAGTCAGCTTAATTGCACGTTTGTGAGCCTGTCTCATTCGTTGCAAGTACTTCCAAACGTTGTGCAATGCAGGATCTTTCTTTAAAATAGATAGCCACGAAAACGGGCCATGGTTATATCGACGTGCAATATCTTGTATGTGAATCGAGGAATAACCACTATAGAAGTTGATATAGTCCGTTTGAGACTCATTATATGGATTTATTCCAATTAGTCCAGAACTGGTTGAGCTAGTAGCCGTTGCATCTCGATTGGTGTTCAATGGTGGATTATTGGATGGAGCAGCTTCTATCTGCTGCGGTGAAGCATTACCAGTTATCCCGCCACACCGAATACTCGATTCAAGTTCAGCTAATTTTGTCTTTAAGTATCCCAATTGTTCAAAAACAGTCCCAACACCATCACCAGCATCACCAGCATCACCAGCATCACCAGCATCACCAGCATCACCAGCATCACCAACATCATGAGAATTACCAGCATCACCAACATCATGAGAATTACCAGCATTTCCAGCATTTCCAGCATTTCCGGCATCACCAGCAACCTCGAGTCTTTGATTCAACTTAACCCTCAACCCCCTACCTTTCTTCTCCGCCTTTACAACTTTCTCAACTCTTTGCACACCAAACATATTACTCTGCAGTGCTTTGCTCCATACAGGCGTCTGATAAGAACACGATATACCAAGCTTACTGCACATGGAACATGGCTGATTCCTATTGCACTTTACTTTTCTTTGCTTGCAAGTAACACAGCTTAGAGAAACCCGGTGTCGTTTCTGCTTAGCCGGCGGCTCGCTCGACGCTTGAAATACAGAGTTCATGCTAATACGTACACCACCGCCCTATTGATATAGAGCTGCTATTCCGTGATACCTAGCTGATAAGAGATGGTGAATTGGAAAACTGGTCAACTTTTCATTTCTTTGATTTTCTTCTTTTTCCGGCGCGGAGGACGCGGCAGGAATTGTGGGGAGAGGGCGGGGGAGAGGGCGGAGTGGCTCGGTCGACTTTGGTACCACCATTTCCGGCGGGTCGGGCGTCAACTTCTACTTCAAAATTCATTATCAACAATACTAATACACTAACCAACTAAGAATACAGAATAAATAACAGTCTCTTTTAATAACAGTTCCTTTCAACGGTCTCAACGGTCTCAACAGTCTCAACAGTCTCAACAGTCTCAACAGTCTCAACAGTCTCAACAGTCTCAACAGTCTCAACAGTCTCAACAGTCTCAACAGTCCCTTTCAACAGTCTCAACAGTCCCTTTCAACAGTCTTTCAACAGTCTTTCTTTCTCTCTTTCTTTCTCTCTTCTTTCTCTCTTTCTTTCTCACTTTCTTTCTCTCTTTCTTTCTCTCTTATTGTCTTGAAGATGCAGCTTGAAACAAGTCATGGTCGAAATCACCATATATATTAAACAACTTGATCAAATCATCGGTACATGCAACAGGATCCAATACATCATCTTCGAGATTATTCAAGTTATTAAACACTTTACATCTACCTTCAAAAAATGACATGCCTGAACCACCACCTCCTCCTCCACCACCTTTGACTCCATTGCTATTAGGAGAAACACCTAAAAATGCCAATGATTCATCTCTAAATCTTTCCAAGTCCAAGTCACTAGGGTTAGTGGCAAATACATTCTCCATGCCATCGTCATCGTCGTCAGTTTCCTCTTTATTCTCTCCATCCCCCTTCTCCTTCTCTCCTTCCTCCTTGTTCTCTTGGCCATCATCATCATCAATATGGATCCCCTTTGCTTTTAATCTTTCTCGTTTCAATCTCCTTTGCTCATCTTTAGCATTGCGGAACTCCCTACATAATCGACAAAGATGTTGCAATTCTGCCACCGTGAAAAACTCAATCATGTTAGTCCCCTGATGGAAAAACAGCTGGTCATTAACTGCTTTTTCAAAAAACACATCGGGGTTCTCGGCACACTGTCGAAGAATGACGTACGTCATGATATGAATTCGATAACTGTTGATATAAGTTCGTGATAATTTCTTGAAATTTCCAACAAATAGCTCTGCTTCAATAAGCACAACCGTAAATAACGTATCAATGACTTCTAGTCTGGGTATATAGCTTGGTTCTTTAAAAACCTTAAACGACAAGTCCTTCTTTTGGTCCAATAACCTGACAAAAAACGAAGTTAAAAAAGAATGCGTTTTGATCATATGGCGCTCATTGGACGAGGTCAAAATGTAATCGTAATTCTTGCCAAATAACTCAACCGAATTTTCCAATACGTAGGACATAATATAAACCAACTGAACAACACTCTTGATATATATCTTGAACAATTCAATCCCTGCATTCATCGAGGGCGTTCGTGATGCGTTATACTCATTTTCGTAATGAATAGCAATCATATAATACATTCCAGAAAGATTAGTCCTCAACTGAATAAACAAACAATACTTTAGTACCTTGATGTAATTCTCTTCATGCTCAACACTATTGATCTCCAATTCCTGCTCGTTTGCACCTACTTTAGCCGGTTTACAAATAACAGTTTTGAAGAAGTCCTTACCAAAGAACTCAAAGAATATCTTTTCCAAATAGTTGGTATCAGCTAAAATATCAACAACCCTTGGTTTTTCATTGATGTTGCTGATTTTAATACACAATTGTCGATAGATCTTACAAATCATAATGATCTTCTTTATCATCTCATTCAACTGACCAGTTTTGTCCTTGGACTCATATGGCGCTTGAACATCGCTTACTTCCAAACTCATTAAATTCAAATTAGTTCCATTATGTATCGCACTTACAGCATCAGTACAACTCAAATAATGCCAAAGATACCTCCAGGACTTAATCAAGGAAGAGTTCTTGATAATGGCTTCATGGCCAATGTATGAAGTAGGATCACGATTCAACCCTATCAGCAAAGCATGCCTCATTGTAATTCCTAATAATGTTTGAGAGTCTGCTCCACATATGCCATGTCCATCGTCATGAGCATTCTCTTTGTAAAAATAGTACAATGTCAACAACTGAACCAATTTAAATGATGATTTTGCTCCAGTTAAGCCATCGGAAACACATAGATTTATCACTTTTATGAACTCCAGAGATGGCACTTTTTTCACATCTTCAATCATGGACATTTCTTCCTCGTTGTAGTCATTATAAATATCATCATTGTGAATCATACTCATATAGCCTAATTTAGTTATTAAAAGGAGAATTCCCAATGTTCTTAAATCATTGTCATTTTTGATCTTTACACTTGTCCATTTTTCATGAATAAATGAAGGAAAACTTTTAAACATATGGTTAATTTCAACAATCAAGCTGTTCTCATCGATAATAGGTATAAAAGGATGAACGTACTTGAAATATCGACAAAATAGTTGAAATGAATTGAATTGATCAGGTAGTAATTCAACAACTACTTTTTCAACCAATGAATAGTAGTCCCTTTTACCCTGTTTCCCACTATAGAACATTTCCAATGATGGCATAATCGACGGAATCTTGGCATCTTTATTCAGAGATGTATCTGGTGCTGAGTGTGCTGGATGTGCTGCTACTGGCGAAAAATCGTCAAGCGGAGAGGCAACATTAAATGCATTCAACGGTTGTTTCTTCAAATCATTTATCGACGCTTGTTTAAACTGTTGTCCATTTTGATCATTGCTAATTCTTGATTCGTTAGAAACACTCAATCCGGGAGTTGCAGCTTCACTTATACTGAATCCATGTGTCTTTTGTTTCTTAGCAAACGGCGACATTGCACAAGAATCCGAATTTTTTGAAGATCTTATTGACGAGCTGGCATTTGAACTCCTTCTTCTCTTAGTCATATCATTAGTCAAAAATCTAGTCATTTCACCATGTCGAAATAAATGCACGGTGAAATTGCGCAATATTGTAATGAATGGATCACATTTAGTCAACCCGACATAGGATAATACTCCTTGAACCTGCATTGAATACCCTTCAATGCTGATTGCGTTACTGGCATTTGCAAAGACATTGATTCTATCATCGGGACTGACTTGTAATGATGAATTGGGCCCTAATGGAATCGATACCAATGCATTTGACGAAAACGACGGGTCTCCTCTTACAGTAGATGAACCAGGAGACTCATTTGCTGAAGTTGGTGTTTTTCCCATCGAGTAAGAAGCTGGACTTGAAATAGATACGGCTGGAGGGCGAGGCATCCCTGATGTTGGAGATACAAAAGTATCCGAAATTATCGATTTCAATCTTGTTATTGGCGGGGACGCATAGTTATCTCCGCTGGAACCTAAAGGTGAAGATTGATGATACGTAAAGTTTGCAAGCGGTGATGGGATCATTTTGGGTAGGATTTGATGTAATTGGCCTTGGCTTTGGTTTTGAGACGTATTTGAATTTGATGGTCCTGAAGGTGGTTGGGGTAATGGAAAGCCGGAAGTAGAATTAGTATGCTGATGGTTTCTAGATTTTAGTGATCCTGAATTACTACTTGGTTTCGCGGGACTATTAGTATTCAATTTTCCTTCTGATGAATTGCGAGCTGGTGATTGAGGAGTAGGAATTGGTAATTGAGGTGGGTTAATTTTATGAGAGCCATTCCCGTTAGTATTTAGTTGTTGTTCGTGTAACTGCTGCTGCTGCTGCTGTTGTTGTTGTTGTTGTTGTTGTTGTTGTTGTTGTTGCTGTTGTACTTCCTGTTGCTGTTGTGGAGGTATAGGTAATGGAGGCGGTATTGGGTGGGTAGCATAAGTAGGGCTTTGTGTCATAGATTGCGGATAAAATGCAGATGGCAGTTGATGCAGATATGGATATGGGGGCAAATGATTAATTGGATCTGATGAGAAAGGCGATTGTGGAATTTGGCTAAAAGGTTGAGGCGGTAATTGTGGATGCTGCATTATTGTCCCATTATGCTCAATATGATGATTTTGTGATAATGGAGGTGGGGGAGGATTAGATGGGCCTTGTTGATGAGCTATTGGAGCTTGTAGTGGAGCTTGTATTGGAGCTTGTGGCAGTGGTTTTGGCGGTCCTGGTAATTGTGTTTGATGATTTAGCTGGGGATGCAAGCCGAGTGGCTGTTGCAGCAGTGGCTGAGGTTGAGGCTGAGGCTGAGGCTGAGGCTGAGGCTGATATTGGTTTGCATAGTCAGTATAAGGATTTGCAGCATAGTAATTAGGAGTGCTCAAAGATCTATCAGGAGACTCATAATAACATAGATGAGCTATAGATCTTTTAATACAAGAGCCACAAACAGGTCGTCGACGATCGCATCGACTTTTCCTCTTCCTACAAACAGAACAAGATGCCGGGATACGATTTCTAGTCTTGTATGGTCTTGCTTGGACTGAATTGGGATCGGAATTTTCCTGTGGTTGCAGATCTTCAATTAATTTCTTTGACGTCTCTGAGGGCTCCAAATTGATGGCCGTATCCTCCGACAATATTTCCTGCTCAGTTGACTTGAGATGAGTCAAATCAGATTCTGCTTTTGCAGAATCTTGCTGTATATCTTTAGAGTCCATAAGCCCAAGATTTGCTAGATCTTCAAGCTAGATCTACTCTAGAACCAAGTTGTCTATACTCCGCTAGAACCAGATTGTTTAGACTCCGCTAGAACCAGATTGTTTAGACTCCGCTTGAACCAAGTTGTCTACTCTGCTAGAACCAGATTGTCTACTCTGCTAGAACCAGATTGTCTACTCCGCTAGAACCAGATTGTCTACTCCGCTAGAACCAGATTGTCTACTCCGCTAGAACCAGATTGTCTACTCCGCTAGAACCAGATTGTCTACTCCGCTTGAACCAAATTGTCTATACTCCGCTAAAACCAGATTGTTTATAACCAGATTGTCAAGTTAAGGGGCAATATAGTAGTTGTTACCGAGGGTGCAGTAACCAACATATACCCGAATTTTATTCACAAACAAGCAAAATAGAATGAAAACCGAAAAGTGATTCGAAAGCTATGGGGCTGTATTATGTGTCTAGCCAGCAACTAGATTTCTTCCTCTTCCTCCTCTTATATCTAGGACCCTTTTACACCTTTACTTCTTTACCTCACACTTGTGTGCAATAAGCTATTAGAGCAGAAAGTGATTTGAAGTATTCAACATAAAGGGTTTTTTTTCAAATTGTTTTTTTTTCAACATTGTTTGCCGAAGGGGAAAGAGTTTCGAGAGATGCAAGAGAAGCCTATGGGGGGAAGGAAAGAGTATACGCGGTTGGTACCAACCGGGGAGGGAGGAGGAGGGGGGGTCGGTCACACGGGTTTGATTTACTTTTCCTTTCCTTTCCTTTCCTTTGCCCCTTTTCGAAACATTTTCTTTTACAAATTGAGGGGACAGGGGAGTTCTCAGTTATATAACCTTTTTGTAAATGGATAAAAAGTATATTTCAGATTGTAGAAAAGTAGTGAAGAAGATTGTAAAGTCTCTTTTGGGTAGAGCTTCTATTTAGGTCGAGGTTGTATAGTAATGATGTAGAAATATACATCGTCATTGCTTTAAATTAAGGTTGAATCTACTGTTAAACACTATCGAGTTGAGAGTAGAGAGAGTTGAGAGTAGAGAGAGTTGAGAGTAGAGAGAGTTGAGAGTAGAGAGAGTTGAGAGTAGAGAGAGTTGAGAGTAGAGAGAGTTGAGAGTAGAGAGAGTTGAGACTATCTCGCTTTGCTCGATAGTCGAAAGAGAGTAGTGAGAGTAGTGAGCAGATAACACACGGGTTATTACAGCTACTGAGTGTTGTAAAACTAGACTCGTTTCACTTGTCTAGTCGAGAGAAGAGTAGTGACCACACAAACTAGCTTATTACAGCTACTGAGTGTTGCTCGCTCTGCTCGATAGTGTTATATAGTACAATGGACCTCAGTACCTCGATACCCTTAGTTTATAATAATTGATACTCAATTATATACAAATTACAATACTCGATATAGACAATACCATCACAATAATATCATATCTTGTTCCATTACTTGTTTCTTATTATCTGATTCCCTTTGGTGAGTCTCCCCATTTAGGTAACAAAACTCCGCCCGTTATGGAAAACAAAGTGGGGAAATTGAGGAGACAAAAAAAGGTTTGGTGTGGGGTGTGGGGCAGAGACTAAGAAAGACTAGACGAGTGATGAGACTATCGAGCAGAGATAGACTATCGAGCAGAGCGAGATAGTGTATAGAGAGCAGTGTATAGTGTATAGAGAGCAGTGTATAGTGTATAGAGAGCAGAGATAGACCACCGAGCAGAGATAAGAGCTCCATTATCTTGCTTTGCTCGATAGTGGAGCAAAACTGACTACCGACACTATCTCGCTTTGCTCGATAATGTCGCTTCTCACTTTGCTCGATAATGTCGCTTCTCACTTTGCTCGATAATGTCGCTTTGGAGATCGGAAATTAAAAAACGGTATTCGGAAATTGGAGATTGGAGATTGGAAATCGGAAATGGAAATCTCCTAGTAGATCTATAGTATACAGTCTATACAATATATACAATACAGTATAGTATACAGTATTTATATAGTATATGGAATATATACAGTGTATGGTATACAGATGCGACACTATCGAGCAAAGTGAGAAGCGACACTATCGAGCAAAGTGAGAAGCGACACTATCGAGCAAAGCGAGATAGTGGAGCAATACTTTGTAACTTGTTTTATATACTATTACATATAGTATACAGCTATATAGTATACAGCAAAATACAGTATACAGCAAAATACAGTATACAGTAATATAGTAATACAGTAAAGTAATAGAGAAATACAGTAAAGTAATAGAGAAATACGGTAAAGTCATACGGTAAGGTAATAAAGTAGTATAGTAAGATAGTAGTATAGTAGAGTAATACAGTTATATAGTAAGATAGTAAGATAGTAGAGAAATACAGTAGAGTAATAGAGTAATGCAGTAATATAGTAGGGGAATACAGTAGAGTAATAGAGTAATATAATAATATAGTATACAGTGATAATAATATAGTATAGAGTCTATATAATATGGCATACAGTATATATACAGTCTATACAATATATATACACCATATGATGTACAATGTAGTACACAGATAAATACAGTCTACAGATATATATAGTATATGGTATACAGAAAACAGCTCAGCTTTGCAGTTTTCAGTACACTATCGAGCAAAGCAAGATAGTGGAACAACACTTTGTAGCATATCTCGTAATCTGGGATACAGATATATAGTACGCAGTATGTAGTATATAGATAAATATAGTACACAAATATATAGTATACTATATAGTATATGGCATACAAGATACAGTCTAGTCTATAGAGTGTAGATATCTAGAGAAAACACACACGGTGGCAGCTAGTGTGCTCCACTATCGAGCAAAGCGAGAAGCGACACTATCTTGCTTTGCTCGATAGTGGAGCAATACTTTGTAACTTGTTTTATATACTATGACATACTTTTACTAAGGCCCTTTATAAGCAATAACTACAAAGTTTAGTTGAAATACAACATGCGACACTTTGTAGCTATCATAATCTGTAGCAAACTTGTAAGATTCTTGCGATAAAGTTGTAGCAGTACCTAGCAGTAGCCTCTAGTGAGCTTCTAAGCTTCTAAGCTTCTAACAAGCCAAGGTTAAGGGTTGTTCATTTAGCAACCAATTTGGAGGCCAAAAAATCAACTTTTTTTTTACAATGAAAATTGCAACAAACACCAAAGTTGCGATACTATCGAGCGACTCTATCGAGCAAAGCGAGATAGTGGAGCAACACTGATAAGCAGCACTGACTAATGACACTGATAAGCAGCACTGACTAGTGACACTATCGAGCAGCACTGACTAGTGACACTATCGAGCAGAGCGAGATAGTGGAGCACACTGACTAATGACACTGTTTAGCAGCACTGTTTAGCAGTACTGATTAGCAGCACTGATTAATGACACTGTTTAGCAGCACTATTTAGCAGCACTGACTAGTAATACTATCTCATTCTACTCGATAGTGTTGTAACAAGCTACAAAGTGTTATCTACTCTTGTCTCATTTACTCTCATTTCATCTACTACCCACCTCACCTCATTTCAACTTACTTACAACCACCACCTCATTTCCGTCTATTCTACTACATCACTACCATCTACCACCTTTATCTCACTTACTACCTCCAACCTCCCCTAGACACACAGGGGGGTGGGGGGTTGCAGGTTTGCATCGCTACTTGCTGGTGGTTATCATCACGTGACTCCTTGTTGCAAAAAAGTATCAATCTCGATTATTATCACGTGATTAATTGTTTCCAAAAAAAAAAAAGCAATGTATGTCAATTATTTTCCACGTGACTCAAGACGCGTTTTTCTTTTTTTTTTTTTTTTTTTTTTTTTTTTTTCCCAAAACGCGAAACTGAAAAATTTCAATTTCAATCGGAACACTTGCATCAAATAGGGTTGATTATTAAAGGCATATTGGTATTGAATTGAGGCATATTGGCATTGAATTGAGGCATATTGGTTTCAAACAATCTCGGGCACTATACAAGCTAGTTAGTGTTGCTCGATAGTGTCGCACTTTTACAATGAGCAACGTTGCTCAAAGTGACTCGGAAACAGATAATTACTATGATGCAGAATTAGACGACTTTATAGACTACAGCGAAGAGGAAAAAAATGTAATACTTGATAAGAAACAATTGGTTGAGATTGAGAATAATGAGTTGGCCCGTCGTCGCCAACAAGAAGGGGAGCAAGAGGAGCAAGAGGAGCAAGAGGAGGAGGAGCAAGAGGATAGAATACGGACCTTAACAACAACTCTAAAACCGACTGAAACTCAAGCTCAAAAATTGTTGAAAGCTCATATCGCAGTACTAATCTCAGCTTTAGGTGGTATTGACCACACTTTGGATATAGTTCCTCCACTATATAAGCTAGGCCACGACGCTTTGGCGTGTTTGAAAGATATCAAAAGATGGATTAAAGCTGTTGACGAAAAACAAAATAACTATGAGGTCGCTATAGCATGTGCCGAGTGCAAATTAATACAAAATGATCTTATTGTGATCCTATGTCAATGGGAACAACAGATGCAAAACCAGAAAAGAAATTTTCAAAATGACCAAAAGGACCAAAGAAGATTGGGGTTGGGGTTAGGGTTCAGAAATAAAACAATAACCGAGAAAATCATGCTATCGTGCTTGGAAATATTGGTGCTTTTAACATGGCCAATCGAATTTGATGAAAATTTATCGCAGAACCAAAAACTACTATTTGCTGATATCAAGAAGCAACATGTCATTTACAAAAAGCATATCCTCACTTATAATGATGGACAATTATTGAAAGCGGTTATAAGACTAGCACTATCTCCTATTTCAAAGTCAAGAATTGATCGTGAACCAAGAGATAATCAAATCATAAGATTGGTGCTATATTTTGTGAGAAATTTGCTAGCGATTGAACCGCCTGGCTATTCCATATCTTCTAAAACGAGAAGTGCGCGAGTTTCTTCGTCCCAATTGCCCATTGGTGTTTCGTATGATGACATATCGATTAATAACACGCTCAAAGTGTTTAAGAAAAACAAGGTGCTCATGCTACTCCAAACTATATCGGGTTCCATAAACTCGGAATTCGATAGTGACCTATTCAATGAGATATGCCTTGAATGTGTCTATTTGATGATAAAAGGTTTGAAGGCAAAAGACGTGCTCGTTGCAAAACCAACACAGCCAACTGCTGAAGCTAATGCAAATGTCAATGCTTCTACTCCATTGGTGTCCCTCTCAAGTACTGTTGGTCTTGAGTTGCAAGACCTCCTCACAACAGAAGCTAAAAAGAAGCAAACACAAACACAAAACATTGCAACAAGACACGGAAAGTTTGGTACACTACTATCAATAAGATCGCCTTCAGATGCAAATTCGTATGTAGTATCAGGAGAAGAAGCTTTATTCAACACCAACGGAACGATGGAAAAACTTGATAAATCCAAGTCTTGGAAACATCAGAACCATTTTAAGTATGATTCTGATGAGTATATTAAAACTAGTTCACCAGTATACTTAAGTGGTCAAGGGAGGTCAATCTTTTTCCACTTTGTTGAGGAGTTTTTGGCCGGCGGATGCTTTAATAATTTAATTGAAAGTATGAGTTCAAAGTTGACAAGTGCCTCCGAATATTCCTATATTGACGAATTGACCCAGGCTAGTTATTTCTTTACTATCGCATGGTTTTTGAATTACCGAAGAGAACAAATCACTTTGAGTGGTTCAAACAATTTTGATTTCGGGTCAGTAAGAGCTGCCTTGAGCGAAGTCAACTTTATATTAATTATTGCATATTTAAGAGATTCGTATGGTAAAAAGTTATGGAACTCTCTCCATGTTGCCATGATTTGTTTTAGAGAATTGTTACAGATATCACAATCAATATTTGGTAAAAAGAGAAGAAAAGAAAAGGAGAATAACAACAGCGATGATGATGATGATGATGATGATGATGATGAGAATGAGAACTTTCAATATGAAATAGATCGAGAGTTAGCAGAGGGGATAATAAGAAAACTATTTTCGTTTAATGATTTTCTTAATGTCTTGATTCAAGTACCACAAATAGCATACAAACATTCACCTATGTTTCTTGGAGAATCAATTCGCGTCATCACCATTATTCTTAAATCTTTTGAATCATTTTCCAAGGAAAACTTGCAATTGTATGTGCAAACGAAAAGGAGAAGGAGAAAAAGAAGAGATAAAGCACAACAAGAAAACGGCAGAAGAATTAATGAATTGGACAGAGATACTGAGTCTAAGCTACAAACAGCTATTTACGAATCGGACGAAGAATTAATCGAAGAAAACATAAGAGAAGTTATAAAAGAAAGGAAATTGAACTTTCAAATGACTGAAGTGAGGTTTTTCAACCAAGGTATTGTCACCACTTATATCGAATACTTATCGCGGTTTGAGGATTTGACTTATCAAGATATCAAAATGTGTTTAAGCTATTTTCACAAGTTATTTGTTATTAGAAAGGACTATAATGGATTATACAGGTTGGATTTTATGCAGTTGTTGGTGAAATTGAAAAACCATTTACCAAGAGGAAGTTCAATTCGAACAACAGTTGAAGAGTTTATCTATTATTTCATGAAGAAATTCAAAGTTGCCATGGCAAGGTTTCCCAATTGTATTGAGATTTTGTTTCCGAGATTTGAAGACGCGAGGTTTAAGCTTTATTTAACAACGGGAGAATTATACGAACTTGATACTGCTATTTACCCTAGATCAAGCAAACATGATAGCAAAGATATGCCATATCGAGACGAAGGGGAAGAGGAAGGTGATGTGGAAAGTGCCGCTTTTAACGGAGAAGATGATGATGAAGAAGCAATTGCTTTTGAGATAGCTGCAAATCCAAATTCTACAAGACATCACGCATCAGACTTGGACCATCTAGATGAGTTAGAAAACCAATTAAATCAATACCAATCAAGACTGAAGTCGTCATCGTCGTCATCATCATCATTGGAAAAAGGAAAAGCCAAGAAACGGAAACCAAAACATAAAACCTCAAAGGAAGGATCTCCACACAAGACTAGAATAAGAAGAAGCGTGCCAAGGGATTTATTGGAAGATATTCAACCTATAAAGTCTTTGGAATATGTAAACAACTCAGATGATGATTCCGATGATGAGAAAAATGCCCAGTTTTTCGCTAAAGAAGAGAGATTGAGACAATTGTTGAATGAAACTGGATGTATCACTGATTTTCAAAAGTTGGAAGAGTTTAAAAAAGTATGGATGCTGTATTCTAAAACAGGTGGTTCTACCACAGAGATTGCGGTAGCTAATGCTGTGAAGGAAGTGTCTTTATTTGTTGAAGAAGAAGAAGAAGAAGAGGAGGAGGAGGAGGAGGAGGAGGAGGAGGAGAAAAGGCATAGTAACCAGTCTCATATTCTTCAATCTCAAACTGATGAAAGTGAAGAGCACATAGACCATCTTCAATCAAGTAGCGCGTCTGAGTCATCAGATGATGAAAATGAAGCTACAGCTCACTCTTCAAACACTTCAGAGATGGAATCGTTAGACATGTCAAGGGTAAAGCGCTCTAGAATCGAAAGTGACGAAGAAGACGAAGAAAAAGAGGAGAAGGTTGCTGAGCAACTCTATCGTCCCAAAAAGAAAAAACCAACAGTAATTTGTGATGACGAAGATTGAAATCAAAATCATAATCTAATGAATATTTAATGCAGAATATCTACTTCAAACTATTTTTCTTGCTCCCCCCCCCCCCCCCCCCCCCCTCTATCTAATCCACAACGCAATGATCACTCGTATCTTTGTTCAAAATAGCATCTCTAATGGTCATTCCTGATGAAATAAACATTACTGTGAATCCAAACAAGATACACGCGATACTAGGTACTGCTTTTGATAAAATAAACGTTCTTCTTTCTTGTTTGGTGACGCTTGCCCAATCCAATTGTAACCACGATAATTTATAATAACACATTGGCGGTATAATATAAGCCATAAGACTGGCAGAGGTGGCTCCTATCAACTCCAAAATCATACCTAAATTACATGTAAATAAACTAACACTCATCGAACTGAAAACCAATATTGATGTGATTATGAAATGCTGCTTTGTAGATAATTCCAAATCGGAAGCACTTGAAACACCTTCACGTTTCACTTTGCGTGTTAGTAAAATATCCTTAATTACATCTCTTACTACAAATATCTCCAAAGGGAATGTAGTTAACATGTTCAACCCAAAACAAAATCGAGCTACATTAATCCAGTTGTCATTACTTTTGAAGTTATTTAATATATTCCCCTTTGTTAGATTTCCAAAATTAACAAACCCATTGAGACCCATAATCATACAGAATACCATGGAAATTGAACACGAGAAATGAGTAAGTTTAGTGAACTTTGCCAACAGCGGGTTCTTCATAGATTGATATATAAACATGGTATTATGGTGACAAACCAATGCAAATGAAATAACTGAGATTCCTTGAAATATATTGTAGTTGATAAACCATTCATGCTTTGCAATGGTGCCTCTCAAATCAGACGATACATATGGTGCACGAGCAACAGTAAGCACAACAATGACCAACATCCCAAATAGTGCAAATGCCGAGGCCTTGGCTAATTTCGAAATATCTCGGTTCAAACTTAAAGGGTACGATATGCAACATGTGAAAACAACAATAATTGTATTGCGATGAAATAACCATGCCCAGCCGCCACTAGTTACAGATTGAGGTATAAAGGTCTTGAGCACATGAGGGATGGTATCGCCAATGATGACGCAAAAGGCCATACATCCACCATAAGCAAAAGAACTGATTGCCAAAAGCAACACAATCTTCCCTGGCAACCCAAAACAGTACTTGACCGTATCTTGATACGATTTGGCCCGTTGTGCCAATATGGAGTTGCGTACAATAAGACATAAGGTCCAGTCAATCAACATGGTGAGTAGAATCATGACAAGAATCCCACCTAAAAAGCCACTGTTTTTAAAAGCTAAAGGCTGGCCAATTATACCAGCGCCTAGTATCGAGTTTGTCATATTCATAAATGCCATTTTCATGTTTGAAGAGCCAATAATGGTGGTAGAAATGGTGCTGGCTGCTTCTTCTTCTTCGATATCTACTTCATAATCGAGATTATCTAGTGTTTCCAACTCGATTTCTTCCCCTTCGCCTTCACCTATTCTCCCTTCTTCTTCTTCTTCTCCTCCAAAATCAAATTCCTCGCTCGTGTTTAGCTTGCTATATTGTGCCGAACGGGAATTGGTCTTCTTGTCTCGTGGTGGTTCCGGTATTAATGTATTTGCCGATCTAGTATCATCGATATCTTCTTCCGCGGCTTCTTCAGCCTGGGGAATTGCACTATACTGGTTACTTTTCGGTATATATGTTGAAGACGACATTATCTTATTTCACGTATAATCTTAAAGCTACAATCCGTCAGCATGCACCATAAACAAGAGCCTCGAGTCGCTTGTCCAATCCAACTTGTATTCTGGAACTAAAGAAATTATCTCGTTAAGGGGAAATTTTACTTTGAAATTTTTCACCCAGTAACAAGAAATAAAAATCATCAACAAAACCAACAAAGGGGGGAACAACTATGGTAGTAATGGTTTAATATAGAGTAGAGCGACACTATCGAGCAGAGCGACACTATCGAGCAGAGCGACACTATCGAGCAGAGCGAGATAGTGGAGCAACGTTTAGTAGCTTGTTACGATAGCTTGTTACGATAGCTTGTTACAATAGCTTGTTACGATAGCTTGTTACGATAGCTTGTTACGATAGCTTGTTACCATAGCTCGTTACAACACTATCTCGCTCTGCTCGATAGTGTTGCTCTGCTTCATTCTAAGCTCATCTTACAAAAGCCGCCTAAGTTGTGAAAATACCCCCTAAGATCTTAATGTCGCGTTTTTTGCTCATCTCATCTCAAATTTCATGTCGCGACTTTGGTACTCATCTCTCATGGACGAAAGGAGATGAGATGAGATGAGATGACCAACTTTACTTGATCGTTTCTTCTTTACTTGATCGTTTCTTCTTTATCATTGATAAGTTTGAGAGTTGGACGTAATGGCTAGGTTACAAGGAAGCCAGAAGAGGTATACTGACCGGAAAGAAGTTAAAACCGCTGATATTAAACGAGCGCTCACACATAGGGCAAGATTAAGGAAGAATTATTTCAAACTATTGAAAAAGGAAGGGCTAGATGATGATGACAAGGTAAAGGTTGGTGGTGATGACAAGGTAAAGGTTGGTGGTGATGACAAGGTAAATGTTGGTAATGATGACAAGGTAAATGTTGGTAATGATGACAAGGTAAAGGTTGGTAATAACGAGGATGGTACAAATACAATTCTCAAAAAACCCCCGGCAAGCGGTAAAAGCAAGTCAATGAATTTTGCAGAGAGGACGGCTATTGCCAAACAGCGAAAGGCCAAAATGAGACAAGAAAAGCTTGTTCAAGTACAAGAAAAGCTTCAAAATATCAAAGAGCAAGAAAAGATCAAACAGTTGAAGAAACAGCAATTGAAACAAAGGACAAAGTATGGACAACCCGTGATGGGACCAAGGATCAATATGCTACTAGACAAGATCAAACGAGATGACAACTCAAAATGAATATATATTTATCTAATTTCCAATCTACAAATGTATAGCTTGTTTTTTCCCTTTATAATCTAAAACGGTGGAACTTCAAGGAAACATCAAAAATGTATAATGTAGCCAACCTTTTGCAGTACTGTATCCAATTGGTAAACCTCTTGAAAACCCAGGTAAAGCCACGGTAACGTGAGTTTATAGTATCGATTCCTTCGTCATAAACACCCTTGGCACAGTAGTTGGCCATGATTAAAAAAGTCCTTTCTGGCCCAAGATCGGTATGTAAACTTTCATCCAAATTTCGTGTTAAATCATTAGTCTTTAGAATTAACAAGATCATTCTTGGTACGCTGCTTAGTATCTCCATTAGATCCTCCAACACACCAGATTGGCTATCGTTCAACTGTGATTGAATTTCGCTTATTTCCTCGGTTGACCTCTTTTTCTTAATGTTTCTACTATCTAATACAGCATCTGGCGCTCTACCGGTTATTGCACTTATGAAAATCTTAAACTTTTGTTCACCTTCAATCCCAGCCAAGATCTTGGCATATTTTTTCATTTGTGGAATATCGTTATCCAATACAGCTAACCAGAAATGACTGTAATCACGCTTCATCTGTAATGGAATATCCCTATATAGCCCATGGTCGTACAAGATTATTTCAAAGTTGTACCTGCTGTTGTTCTTGTTGTTCTTGTCAACACTCCTTATAGCGAGATTACCCCCATGTGGATCACAGTGCAATGCAACCCCAGGAGTAAAGATCATATCGTTGAAAATATGCGACAAACAAGCACTTACTTTAGAAGGGTCAATGTTATGTTCCTTGAGATACTGTAAATTATCCAACCTTGCCCCGGAAACACACTCCATAATCAAAATCCTCTTCTCGGCTTTAACAATCTTGGGGATCTTCAAAAAAGTCGATTCTTCAAAATGCTCAGCTGTCCGTTGTGAATTCTCAGCTTCCTTTGTGAAATCCAACTCGGTGTATATAGAATTCTGCATCTCGTCGCCTAGCCAGGTCAATGGGTATTCAGGAAATGCTTTGTACATTAAATCAAAAACCATCTTGGTCATTTCAACATCAATCGGCACAAACTCCTTCAAACTTGGATGCTGTAACTTAACTGCCACTTTCTGTCCATTCAGTCTCAATCTGGCAATGTGCACTTGAGCTAAACTTGCCACCCCAATAGGATTAGGGTCAAATTCAATAAAGATATCTTGCAATTTCACACCCATATCGCTTTCAAACATCTTTTCAATCTCTTCAACTGATGAGCGAGGACACCTATCTTGTAAGGGTATCATGGTATCTGTCCATTCTCGAGGTAAAAGATAGGTTAATGCGGTGATATGCTGGCCCAATTTAATATAAATGCCCCCGTTTTTCTCCAATGCTTTCAATGTAATCTCAGCAGCTTTCTTATGCGTTTTGGATAGCTCTTTTTGACGATCTGCAACTGTGTCAAAGGACAGATCTAATACTTCCTTATATAGCGCAAAACAACGAACCATGGCAATGGAAACAACACCAACACGATCAAAGGTTTGCACTGCGTGTTTGAACCTATCATCCGAATAGTATAATATGCTCCCTGCTAGTCCCAAGCCTAGTCCTATATAGAACCGTCTCTTGTACTTGAAATATCGAGCTTTTTGACTTTTAACCGGTTTGGGAGGCAGATACAGCGACGATAATGGCGGCGGCGACGATGACGATAATGGCAGCGGCGGTGAAGACGACGACGACGACGGCGACGACGATTTCAACGTTGAAATAGAATACTTTTTAGTTGCTACAACTACTTGCTGATAAGGTATCTGCTGTCGACATTGCAAACATTTTACCAAATGTGAAATCGGCTTATACGGCCGCGGCTTACAAATGCTACTCACACAGTGACCCAATAGCCTAACCATCTCACCTACTTCATCCACTAACTAGTATCTTACCCTTTGATAACAAGTCATCCCTTTGCTGAAATTTTGCATTTGAGTGAAATTTTTTTGATTAAAATGTGGAGAAATGCTACCATGTGTATATCGGCTTGCGATGAGCTTGGTTCAAAGAGGAAGAAGAGTAGTAGGGGGTGAAAGGTTGAAAGAAGAGTAGTAGGGGGTGAAAGGTTGAAAGAAGAGTAGTAGGAGGTGAGTAGTAGGAGGTGAAAGAAGCAAGGGGAGAGCTTGGTACCAATAGTATCAGCCACATGGGCAAGTATGCTTTTCTATTACTGAAAGAAATCTTCAATATTCTCAGCTTGGCCGTTCAAGTTTCCGAAATTATTGATTTCGACATTCTTTATAGCTCCCATAGCAGTTGTGCCATTATCAGTAGATACATTCCTGCCGAAATGTTCAAACAAATTATCGCTATTCAAAAATTCAAAATCAAAATCACTAAATTGACTTAGCATGTCAAAATGGCTATCAAACATGCCATTGGGATTACCATTGACACTGGGATCAAAGTCAGTTGGAATTCCCATTGGAGGATTACCTCCACTCATAAATACCTCGTCCATCGGTTTTATTGTATCCAGAGCTTCATCAGTCATGGTATGAGGTAGAGGCTGGTGCACTGATTGTTGAGTAGGTAGAGGCTGGTGCCCTGATTGTTGAGTAGGTAAAGGCTGGTGCCCTGATTGTTGAGTAGGTAGAGGCTGGTGCCCTGATTGTTGAGCAAGTAGAGGCTGGTGCCCTGATTGTTGAGCAAGTAGAGGCTGGTGCCCTGATTGTTGAGCAAGTAGAGGCTGGTGCCCTGATTGTTGAGCAAGTAGAGGCTGGTGCCCTGATTGTTGAGCAAGTAGAGGCTGGCGCACTGATTGTTGAGCAAGTAGAGGCTGGTGCACTGATTGTTGAGTAGGCACTGATGGTGTAGTGAATGTTGTGCTTAATGGACTTGACGTATGAGTCTTGTACTCATTACTCATGGACAAAACAGGACAACCGCTTCCAATACTATTATTCATGCTTCCTCCGCTATTATTTCCTCTTAAACTTGATTCAATTTGATTAGGGAACAAACTTGGTCTAAATTGAGTTGCATGATTAAATGGACATCTTTTCTGTTTTTTAGTCACTGGTCCTGGAGATGATACAGATGAAGATACGCTAGATTGTTTATTGGAACTGGTAAATTGCGGTTGCAATGGAGGTGGTGCAAAATTGGAAAACTTAATCCGCACATCATCTTCATCAACATCACCACTAGCATCTTCAACTCCATCATCATCATCATCGTCATCATCTTCTTCTTCTTGCATCGGAGTTGTGATATGGGAAATTGGACATTTTGTAAACTTTTTCCTCGCCATGTTCAGAGGCATTGCAGACATCAGCGCCTGCATCGCAGTAGATGAAAGGGGTAAGTTATTATGAGCGCTTATTGGACAAGTCGCAGTTTGGGGGGTTGTTGAATACAGTGACGGCTGAGAAGGCATGTCTTCATGATTCAATACCGGACAACTTGATGGAATGCCAGTAGGTACACCATTATGAGTGCCGCCGGTACTAAAATTAGGCAACCCAGCATGCAACTTGGCATAGTTGATATTCTTTGTCAATGTCAAGTATAGCTTCCACAATTTAGTCAACTTAGAAACGCGCTCCTTGTTCACCAATACTTTACTTAATGCTGTCACTACTGAATTCACTTCCTGGGTAAATCGATTCATAAACTCCGTTGGTGTAACCATGCCCCATTCAAATGTCATTATTTTATCACAGTTCTGCATTAAGAGACTTGGGGCTTGTGATGATGACTGATGTGACATATTATCCTTCACCCTTAAAATCAAACCAACCACAAATTGAATCAGCCTAGTCAATACCTCTGTAATCACCAGGTAAACATATTGGGAGTGCTCACGATGTTCACCAAAACTCAAATTGTTGAAATGTTGAATCAACTGTCGCAAGCGAAGCAAAATCTCAGGCACTACTAACCCCTGCATTATTGTAGAGTCGGCATTTTCTTCGCTTTGTAACATTATAAGGTATGTCATAAAATACCGCAAGTAACCAAGTATGACCAATATTTCAAATTTCCGAACTTCACTGGTTAGTCTTTGTATGCCAAAATCCTGAATCCAAGTCTGGCATTGCTTAATCAAATTTTCCAATCGGTCAATGGTTAGTCTATTGGAACCCATATTCATTATTCCATGACACAAGGTACAAGATATATTAGCAATCAAATAGTGCACATGCAAAGTAATTACCAAATCATTTTCATTCCTGTTACTAAGGAACTTCAAGTGGTACTGCAACAGATCAACTTGTTCAATTCTCTGATACATTCTCTTGAGTAGATTATCCAAGTATTCAGAGTGCTTCACAAGCGGAACAAAATTTAAAGTAACTAGGTTACTCAACCTAACGATGTTTGTCCAAAGGTAACAAAAATGCAACTTTAAATTATTCTTGCGTTTCCTATGTTGTACTTTAAACTCAACTAGTTCGGGATCTTTCCAAAGCTCCATGGGCAGGGGTTCATCTAGTAGAATATGAAGGAAATTAGTAAAAAACAAAGTAAACGAAGTTTTGGTATCAGATATACTTGAGCCGGGTTTTTTGTAATCATCGATTTTTCGGTTCAACAAACTGATAACAACGGCACAATAAGATAGGGATTTTTCCGTCTCTGGATCGTAACTAGCAAGGAGATCTTGAACCATGGATAATAGATTGGTCTGTTTTGGACCTAATCTAAGTAATGCAACTTCATGGGGGAAAAGTTTCCCAAATTGTACACATAGATCCTCATCAGTGCCGCTTCTAACAATCTGCTTAACTTCATTCAACGATTCCTCTACAATCAAAACCAACATGGATAAGAAAATCCCTGTAGATTTTAGCTGGAACCTAATATCTTCTTCAACTCCCTGAGGCAAATTCAATCCAACTTCGTCATCCAATCCCTTTTTGAGAACAGATTGGATATCGAACTTATAAAATGATAAAATGTTTTTACTTTCAATATTGCTTTTGTAGTAGTATTCTAAAAGGAAATGGATTTGTTGAAACTTTAGTTTACTTTCTCCTCTACCAACTGTCAATAATGCTTCCCATAAGGTGATAAGTTTATTATACACATTCACAGATTTGTTTATGATAAATCTTTGGTCTTTTTTTCCCGACTTGACAAATTGTTGTTGTTGTTGTTGTCGTTGTTGTTGTAATTTATCAGAGTTGGATGGTACATCAAAACGGAGTGTCATTTTGTAAGGGCTTGGGCTTGAAAATTGTAGTTCATCAGTCATAAAGTTAAAATCGCATTCAACAACGGGGCATCTATGACGTTCTGATGTTGTGACCAGTGTCACTTGTTGTCCTGTTTGCAAATCGTCAAAGTTGCGCGATGGAGGCTGTAGTGAATATGTAAAGTCGATTTCGTTGATTCTATAATTTGATTTCTTTTTATCGTTATTGTTATTGTTACTGTCGTTACTGTCGTTGCTGTTGTTGTTGTTGTTGTTGTTGTTGTTGTTGTTGTTGTTGTTGTTTGTTTTCTTTTTCTCAATTGGTTGCTGTTGGTTCTCTTTCAAGATATTCATCTTATACACATGATACATCTTTTGTAAATTGGTGATTCTATACCAAAGTGTGGTTAGCTGCGGATCTAGTTTTATCAAATTTATCCAAGAATAAGTGTCAACATATATAGACTTTGAGGAAGATGTGGAGTTAGGGATTAAATTTATACGATAATCATCGACCACCTCAATTCTATGAGCTGAATAATTTGTTGTCAAAGGACATATCTTATTAAGCACGGTTATATGGGTGCAACCAACTTGAGATGGCACTACTTGATGATGTTTGCCATTAGAAGTTTCTCTAGGTGAAAATTGTTGTAATACAGATAACTGTCGTTTTAAGTCGTCTATCTCATTTCGCTGTGATTGAATAATCTTTTCATTGTTTGCTTTTAGAGTTCTATATTCCTCTGTTTGTAGTATTTTCACAGGAGGCAATAGTTTCAGTTGCAGCGGCAGTAGCTGCTGCTGCTGCTGCTGCTGATTAAGTTGTTGCCGAAGGGTCTCTTCATTTCCATTATTGTTATTGTCGTTTGATGATTTATTAGTTTCTGGAGATGACGCTGAGCCATTTTTTTTATTGGTTTCGGCCCATGGTGGCAAAGCGTATGAACATAAATGGCCCACAAAGTATTTAACACAATTGCTACACGCTGGTCTCTCCTTTGAACAGAATATTTTTCGTTTTGAACACTGTATGCAACTTTTGGGAGTCCTATTTCGATGCCGCTTGGGCTTGTCTAAGGCCTTTGACGTGGTTCTAGATCCTTTAGCACTTGTGGGGCCCTCCTCTTTCACGGCAGCAGATATACGCGGCAAAGTGGTAGTCTCACCAGCTTTAGTTGCGGTAGTTGTAGTTTGCAGCATTCTCAATACTTGCAGCTAACCAAACCAAAAGAAAAGGTTTCCAGTCCAAACCCAAACCCAAACCCAAACGAATTAAAGATCTTTTTTGGAAAACAAGAAATTAAAAACTCAGCTTCTTTCCATTTGGATCTAATCGGCCCCAATAAAGTCTCTAAAAAAAGAGCTCTAAACCCGCCAACAAAAACCTTGGAAAGCACCTCAAGAACCGTCAAGAACCGTCAAAAAATTAAAGCTCGATTAGCCGCCAACTAAAACCTCAATTAGCCGTCAAATAACACCAAAAACGGGACAAAAACGGGACAAAAAACGGGACAAAAAACGTATGATTGTACTTACTCTAAAATACCAATCTCCTGCAATATCTCCGTAACCTCAGAAAGCCCGCCTGTTTCTGTTTTAACCCCCTTTTGAATTTAAATCCTTATGCACCAAAGGTATACCGAATTTAATTTTTCTTTTCTTACTGAAAATGGCGTTCTTTTTTTTTTAGTTTTCCGTGCAATAAGCTAGACAAAGTGATGGGCGAGCTGAAAGAAGTCCAGCAGTGGTGGGTGGGGTAGAAGAGGGAATATGATAAGAGGAGGGAGGGGGGAGGAAGTAACTGTATAAAAGATTACGGGGCAAGTGCTTCAAGGTTTGGATAGAAAATGGCTCTTCGATTTATTAATCACGTGACTAATACTATCGAGATAGTTAGGCAGCATTAAAGGGTACTAGCGAGCGAAGCAGCATTAAAGAGCACTAGCGAGCAAAGCGAGATGGTGTTGTAACAAGCTACTTAGCTACTAAGTATAGCACCACTGTCTCGCTTTGCTCGATAGTGGGCAATTTGGCATGCTTTTATTAAATCCGGGACTCTTTATTCACAAACGGAAATTTACCATATTGCATATTTCCGAGTTTTTTTATCTATTCCATCAATAACTATTGAGCACAACACTATCGAGCACCGCGAGATAGTGTTGTAGAGTAGAGTAATGAGGCTTAAGCAATGAGATAGAGTAGAGTAATGAGGCTAAAGCAATGAGATAGAGTTGATAAGAGCTTGTGTGGTCCACTATCTCGCTTTCCTCGATAGTGTTGTAACACTAATAAACACTAGTAACACTATCGAGCAGAGCGAAATAGTAGCAGCTTTTTGTATTGACAGAACTAAAAAAACGCAATTGCAATTAAGCCTTTTTACTTTTTTGCAGGTTATGAGTTTGGAAACACCGATAATTCCAGCCAATGAGATGCTACACTATCGAGCGACACTATCGAGCGAAGCGAGATAGTGGAGCAAAAAGAGCAGCTTGTTACAACACTATCGAGTGACACTATAGAGCGAAGCGACACTATCGAGCGAAGCGACACTATCGAGCGAAGCGACACTATCGAGCGAAGCGACACTATCGAGCGAAGCGACACTATCGAGCGAAGCGACACTATCGAGCGAAGCGACACTATCGAGCGAAGCGACACTATCAAGCGAAGCGAGATAGTGGAGCAATACCCAGCAGCTTGTTACAACACTATCGAGCGACACTATCGAGCAGAGCGAGATAGTGGAGCAATACCCAACAGCTTGTTACAACACTATCGAGCGACACTATCGAGCAGAGCGAGATAGTGGAGCAATACCCAACAGCTTGTTACAACACTATCGAGCGACACTATCGAGCAGAGCGAGATAGTGGAGCAATACCCGGCAGCTCGCTCTGCTCGATAGTGGAGCAATGCCCGGCAGCTCGCTCTGCTCGATAGTGGAGCAATACCCGGCAGCTCGCTCTGCTCGATAGTGGAGCAATACTCGGCAGCTTGTTACAAGAGTATGTCGCGACACTATCGAGCAGAGCGAGATAGTGTCGCTCGATAGTGTCGCTCAATAGTGTCGCTCAATAGTGTCGCTCAATAGTGTCGCTGCTCTTTGTATGACAATAGTGTCATTTTACATCATGTATATTAGTACACGGGTTTAATTCTTTAGTTTCTTATTAATTATTGTAAACTATATTAAATTATCAAGACTAAACAATTATTATATCCAAATTAATAAAGAATTGTAACATCTTCAAGTGATAGCAGCTACTAAATCAGCTACTCCAAAGTAAATGATAGCAGCTACTAAATCAGCTACTCCAAAGTAAATGATAGCAGCCACCAAATCAGCTACTCCAAAGTAAATGATAGCAGCTACTAAATCAAGTGATAGCAGCTACTTTACAATCTATCCTAGGTACCCACAATGCTGTCCTACATCGATTGTCGCTACCAAGCGTTAAGTGAAAAATCGTCACTTTTGCAAAGTTTCTTCTCAAGGTCCAGTTTCCAAATCTTTGAGCCAAATTGCCTCCTTTTCTCCTTACTGTATTTCCTGCATATCCTGCGTATCCTGCTTCTCCTGCTTCTTTATCACCTGCTTCTTTATCACCTGCTTCTCTTGCTTCTTTATCACCTGCTTCTTTCCAATTAGTTCTCATTTACTAAATTAGCCAATTGGTAGCACCTCAGCTCGTCAATATATATTCGAGTCATTAGCATTCTACAAAATATCATTTGAACTAAACTCTTGCTTCTTTGACAAGTTTTGCCATTATATTTCTTTAACAATGCCACCAGGAATACCCGTACGACTTCTTAACGAAGCCCAGGGGCATGTAGTGTCTATAGAACTACAAAACGGTGATACATACCGTGGGAAACTTTTTGAAAATGAAGATAACATGAACTCGACTTTATTAGACGTATCAATAATAAATGGAAAAGATGGCTCAGTAACACATATGGAACAAGTGTTTATTAGAGGCAGTATGATTCGGTTTATCAGTCTTCCTGATATTTTGAGAAACGCCCCAATGTTCTATATGAAGCCCGGTGATAAGCCAAAGCCACCTATCAGAGGACCACCACTCAAAAAAAAAAAGTACTAATTCATACGTTTTAGGTATATAGAGATATATATATATACACGTAATGTCTAAAAGAAAAAAAGCCCACAGTTTATCAAGTCATGGTAACCAACTCCTCTGCAGAAGTAGGATGGATAGCAACACAATTATCAAAATCTGCTTTAGTAGCACCCATTTTAATTGCAACTCCAAAACCTTGCAAGATTTCAGCACTGCCATCTCCAACCAAGTGTAATCCAACAACCTTTTCGTTTGGTCCTTGAACAACTATTCTATAGACTGTTGGTGATTTATCATTTTGATCCTCCATCATGGCATAGTACATAGCTGTGAATTTCGAGTTGTATACTTTAATATCATCCTTGCCATACTTTTCGATTGCTTCCGTGGTAGATAATCCAATTGATCCACATTCTGGATGTGAAAATACGGCAGATGGGATGTTGTTATAGTCCAAACGGTCATTCTTAAACTGGGGACCTCCAAAGAGCCTGTTTGACAATTTACGTCCTGCAGCAATTGCAACTGGCGTCAATTCAGCTTTGCCAACCACATCACCAAGAGAAAATACCTTGGGGTTTGCAGTAGCCTGATACTCATCAGTTTCAATTTGTTGACGATCATTGAGCTTAACACCTATTTTATCCAAGCCAATACTAACAAGTGATTTTCTACCAACACTCCAAATCAATTCGTCAACTTCAAGAATATCGCCATTGAGTAAAGTAATCTTCTTTTTCCCATTGGCACCTTGTTCAACTTTTTTGACACCCGATTTTTTAATTATATTGATTCCCAAGTTATCAGAATAATAGCTTGTTATAGTATTTTGAATAATATCATCAAAACTACGTAAAACCGTATCACCTCTAATAATGAAATCCACTTCTGTGCCTAATCCGTTAAATACACCGGATAACTCAACACCAATATAGCCAGCGCCAACAACTGCAACTTTTTTAGGTTGTTGTTCCAATTCGAAAAATCCATTAGAAGTGATACCCAATTCGGCTCCTTCTACATCCGGAGGAACAATGGCAGTACCACCAGTGGCAATTAATATCTTGTCACCACTAAAGACCAATTTTTCGCCCTTTTGAACCTTTTTATCTTGTAAAAATGGTAAAACCTGATCCCCTGTGGAAGTAACCTCAACGTCTCCTTGATCATTGACAAATCTGGCAAAACCAAATAAATAATCAACTTTTTCCTTTTTCAAATTGCTCTCATAAATTCCATTTAATCTGGAGACATATGCATCTCGTTTTTGTTTAAATTGACTCCAATTGAAGTCGCCATACTTGGTTGTCTGTTTTTCCTTATCCAACTTATAGGGAAACAAGTCTGCTCTTTTATGAGCCAAATCAGAAGCATACCACATAACCTTTTTAGGAACACACCCAACGTTAACACAGGTACCGCCCAACTTGTTGAAATTAGACTCTATAAGAAGCACTTTGGCCCCATATTTCGCTGCACGACGAGCACTAGCAACCCCACCTGAACCACCACCAATAACAAGATAATCGAAATTTTTCAACGGTTGTTGCGTTAAAGTAGGCGCCATCTTAATTGTACTTGTTGATAATTGTCTACTCAATTGACAAAGTCTTTCTGTTGATGAATGAAAAATTTGTCTATTTAACATACCCTGAGCAAAAAAAGGCAAGAAAAGAGCAAAAAACACAATACCAGCAGGATACTCTTACACACCAGCGGGATAGACTCTGCTTATTGTACTCTTTAAAAGTTAATTAACTCCAGTTAGATGCTCTAAAAGGAGAAAGCAAATGTAATTAAAAAATTATTCTGCTTTTTGGTGATTGCTTTCGCACTGAAAATTGAAACTCACGGGTTTGACGATGAATACTGGAAAAGCCCTATTAAATATACTTGCTCTTGGGCTTTGGAGAGTATACTTGGCAGAGGTTGAGAGAGAGAGAGAGAATGCCCAAGTGTTGGAGTTTCGGTTGGTAGGTTCAAGAATGTTACCCTCCGATTGGTTTCACTTGCGATGCACCTCGGTTAAGATACCTATTTGGGTAAGAATATTTACTTCGGCTCCGATACCTAATTTCACTAAGAGCTGCCCACTATCGAGCGAAGCGAGATAGTGGTGCAGCACCAAATAGCTTGTACCTCGCCTCTTTCTTGCTTCACCTAATAATACATACTCCGGCTCAGCTTGGCGACACTATCGAGCAAAGTGAGATAGTGGAGCAGCACTGACCAACACTATCGAGTAACACTATCGAGTGACACTATCGAGTGACACTATCGAGTGACACTATCGAGTGACACTATCGAGTGATACTATCTCGCTTCGCTCGATAGTGGATAGCTTGTGCCTCGTCTCTTTCTTGTTTCACCTAATAATACATACTCCGGCTCAGCTTGGCGACACTATCAAGTGACACTATCTCGCTTCGCTCGATAGTTCACCACTTTCTTCCTTCATAATTGCTCTCAAATGAGAGATACCCAATCTTACTAATACCTCTTTCCCCCTTTTCGACAACAATTCCTCATCGACGCCTATTGACCCTTTTAAAAACTTGTCTAATCCAAGTTCAATTTCATTACAGCTTTCATCAAAGGCATCTTTATCATCAAACATACTCAAATCGTCATCTACTAACCTCTCCGTTTTCCTTCTTGTTTTTCTCAACTCTTCAAGATTAAACTTAAACGTCAACTCCTCGTCTAGTAGAAAATTAATCTTATCTCTATCTAAATACTGCGGCTGCGGCTGCGGCTGTCCATAAAGTTGTTTCCTTGTTGTTGATCCACTATTTAGCACTTCGTGGTTCATACAATTGTTATCGCCAAATATCTTAATTAACATCTCTCTTTGTTGTTCCAATTGTAATTGTCTTTTAACAGCCATTGAGCTAGTTTTCAAATATAAACATTCCTGTTTCTGTAATTGTTTCCGTTTATACTCCTCAAGAATCCTTTCTTCTTCAACTTTATCTTGATTATAATAGTCTGCATTGAATATTGAGGGCGTTGATGGCGTTTGCAATAAAGCATCAAGTTCGCCTCTGGTGTATCCGGGAATTGACCGTATTAAACTGCGCAGCGATGGTAGCCCCATTCCTAGTTCCTCGTCAAGATTGTTCTCTTCTTGTTGTTGTTCTTCTTCTTCTTCTTCTTCACTAGACAGACAGTTGGCAAAGATTAATGATTGACATATATATTCGGCATTATTATGAGCTGGCGCTTCTTTCTGAAGTGCCGCAGTTGCCAGTTGGATGTGATGATGAGACTGGTGCAGATGCTGCTTCGAAGGCAGCGGTACTTGTTTCTGCTCTATACAATCTGGTTTTAACTGTTGTTTATGAGATTGATGAAGGTTCAACAATTTGTTTTTGATCAACTGACCATTCCTCAGGACTCTGCTAATTGTCTTGTCCTCTTTCTTGTGCTTCTCATCTCCGTAACCGCGTCGCTGCTGCTGCTGTTGTTGTTGTTGCTGCTGTTGCTGTTGTTGTTGCTGTTGCTGTTGCTGCTGTCGTTGTTTGTATCTTCTTATATTATTACTTGGCGTACTCAATATTGACGACGACGAGCTCACAGTTCGATTAAATGAGAGAGTGTTTGCAATAGAATCAATTATATCGTTTGATACTATACGAGATTGAGTTAGTTGCAGCGGCGGCTGTGTTATTGGCACTGCATTGTTAACATTATAATTGTTTAAATCGGCGTTACCATGATGATGATGATGACTATGACTGAATTTCGGAATAAAATTGTACTTTGACGACGTGGTTGAAGAGGTTACTATATTGTTAGTCGACGTATTCATTCTTCTTTTCCATTCACCTGGTCTCTTGTCTTGCCGCTGTTGTTACAGACGGATCCTACTTCTCGTAATGGAGTTATCTATTGGTATTTTATTTGATATTTCACTTTTTTTAGTTTTGTAACTCTTTTTTGTATGGCTTTTCTTAAGCTTGCAATTTTATTAAAGCGATGACGTCCACTATCGAGCAACAACTCAGTAACACTTGTTACAACACTATCTCGCTCTGCTCGATAATGGGGCACATTGACTAATTTATCTAGGGGAGAGATATTAGGGAGGTATAGAATAGAGGTATAGAATAGAGGTATATGGAAAATGTATAGGGCAAAGGGAAATAGTGAAATGTAGACACACGGGTCTAGCTTGACTCTAGCTTTCCTTAATGCAATTATACAAATTTCTAAACTGTCATATACACCGGTTTCTTTGTTTGTTTGTTTGTTGTTGCTACATTACTACATTGCTAGCTCGAGTCGTCACTAATCAGTGCTGTTGCTGCTGCTGCTGCTATTGCTCAATAGTGTCGTCGTTGACAAGCTTATTTTGCACCTTTTTCGTTTACCCAGCCGTTGCATTCTGTAATAGGAAACTATATTCCGCGCGCGCAGCACTTAATTTATCTTTTGACTGAAAACGGTAACTGTAATTTTTCACGTGTCCTTTTTGGATATTAGGGCCACACCCTAATTTTTTAAGCAACTCAAACATCCAAACATCCAAACACTCAAATCGATTCCCAGAAGAAGAAGAGGGAGAGGGAAGAGAGGGGGGAAAAAATAAATATGTGTGCTACCATGTGCTCTCTCACTCTCACTCTCTCTTTAATTTTGGCGCACGCTTCTGGTGTATATGGTAGCGCTTTCACTCAATAGAAAATTTTCAAATTGGAAAATTGAAATTTTTCAGTATTGAATATAGACTTATTAAGCTTTGAATAACCTTCACCGATCATGTCAACTGAGTTAACTGTTCAATCTGAAAGAGCTTTTCAAAAGGTTTGTAGTAGATAATTATGAGAATGAAAAGAAACTGGCTTTGGGGAGGGTAAATTAGAGACAAGAGAGTAAATCAGAGGTAAATCAGAGACAAGAGTGATAAACTTTATTGTATGAAAAGTGGAAAGATATCATACTAGATCTACTTGGTAGAACCAAATAACAGCTTGCAATGAACCAGCAGTGGAAAGTTGGCAAGTATATGGGAAATTCGGCGCATGTTGCTACACACGAATCTGTATTTTGAATCTGTATTTTGACAATGAATTTTCTGGGTTTCACCACAAGGGCTGTTTATCTGCTATTTCCTCCCCTCCCCCCCTCCATTTTCTTTTGTCTTGGATGACTCCCTTTTTTTTCCATTTCAGTCTAGCTCTTAAATACTAACATCTTTTACTAGCAAATACACATCTTCACCAACCCAAAAGCTAAAGCAAACAGAAAAACCAAGAGATGGTATAAAGATGTTGGTTTAGGTTTCAAAACCCCTAAAACCGCTATTGAAGGTTCATACATTGACAAGAAATGTCCATTTGTAGGAACTGTTTCAATCAGAGGTAAGATTTTAACCGGAACAGTTGTCTCCACCAAAATGCACAGAACAATCATTATTAGAAGAGACTATTTGCATTACGTGCCAAAATATAATAGATATGAAAAAAGACACAAGAATGTTGCTGCTCACCTTTCACCAGCTTTCAGAGTTTCAGAAGGAGATGTTGTTACCGTGGGTCAATGTAGACCAATTTCCAAAACCGTTAGATTCAATGTTTTGAAAGTTGCTGCTTCTGGTTCAAAATCGAAAGCTTTTGCCAAATTTTAAAAACATAAAAAATTGAAACTCAAAAAATTTGGTAAATGGTGTATGGGGCAGGGTATGTTCATGGTAAAGTTATGAGTGTTTTATAGCCTTTTTTTAATTTTACTTTACTTGTTTAATGTTACATTAGTTATTGATTAAAAAAGAAAAAGAAAAGAGACTCCCAAAAGTTTAATTGGTGAAAAAAATTTGCTTGTTAAGAGGTGAAACCGTTTTTCTATGATTGATGTATTTAGCTACTTCCCTATTCATGCGTTTGATGGCGTATCGATTTTAGCAACCTGTAATTGACCTTGTCCCCAACTAGTCAACAATTTTGCAAGTTGATTCTTGTTATGATACTCTTGAAAATCATCAGACCCACCTCTGCTTTCCAATGATGAGCCAACAAGGACATTGGGCACTGTGCCTCTGCCTGTCTTTTCTAATAGATAATTTTGCAATTCCTTGCCGTGATCATGAATATCTAACTCTACAATCTTTGGTTCAGGTAAAATCTCATACTTTTCGAGTAATTTCTTTAATCTTTTGGAATATGGACATTGACTTTTGGAAAATATAGTCATTGGTGATAAAGCACGGACCGTCATCAAATCGGCTTGTGGGTCATATTCTCCATTGTCATTCACAGTCTCTTGCTTGTTACTGCTGCCGCTGCCAATGCCACTGCCAATGCCGTTGCCAATGCCGTTGCTGCTACTACCGCCAGTGTCACTGTTTGATTGGTCCTTGCTTATCTCCTTGATACCTTCTTCACTCTTACCTTTGGATATCTCCTTATTTATTGCATTGTCTGTCTTTTCATCGTTATTGGAGTTCACCAAATTATTCGATACTACTATAGGATTCTTTTTATTAGTAGGTACACCAACTTGATTGGCATCTATTGGTTGTTTATTTGCATGTATCTTGTTACCAATTTGATCTGAAGCTTGTGAGTGCACCAACGAAGCGGCATTCTGCCCAACTCGATGTAAGACAAATACCAATACAAGTACTAGTCCTGTTAAAAGGAAGACTCTCAACTGTCTAACTCCAGCCATAAAAATATCTGCCTATCTTTCAATATGAAGAAAACCTAAATCTAAAAAAAAAAAAAAAAAAAATGGCTCAATCAAGAAGGACTCCTCGTTGTACTAACCCCTAAATTACAAAGAGAAATCGATTTCTGATAGGTTGTGTTTTCTTCTTATTTGGTCCTGAATCTTCCTTATCAAGCTGACTAGACTCTAATGTCTTATCAGCACTACAAATGAAAACCTCTTTGCTTCCATTCATTTTCTTCTTTGCGTTAAATCGAAATTTTGATAATTTTTTAACGCTCATTACATGGTCACGTGATCTTGAAGAAAGAAAAGAAAGAGAAGAGGTTTTGTTAACTCTTCCCCCTTTCTCCTTTTTAGTTATGCTTGACTTGACTTGACTTGACTTGACTTGACTTGACTTGACTTGATGATGATGATGAATTGGGAATGGGAATGGATGGTAACGAGGTTTCAGAGGTCCAGCAGTAGGCGTCATAACAAGCTTTCAGAGGTCCAACAGTAGGCGTCATAACAAGCTTGACAAAACTTTGGTACATTGAAAGGTTCCTTGAAAGGTTCCTTAAAAGGTTCCTTAAAAGGTTCATTGTTGTCAGGATGGAGTTGAGCTCTGTCAAATTCTCTTTTCAAAATCATGCAATTTAAACAAACAGCAAAAAGGGAAGAGTTGTAGAAACTTGCTATTTGGAGACCGTTTTCCAACATCTTATGGGCTACTGTCTTGTTATAGCTAAGCTTAAACGTTGACATATTGGTTTCGTGGATATAGTTGGAATTAGGTTGATACATGATTACTGGAGGCTGATACTCTTTGTCATAAATTTGCACGTTTTCCTCTCCAACATTCAAAACTTCAAAATCGTTTACCAAATCACATCCTAAGAATATAGGTCTCTTGTTTAAACCCTGTTTTATAATCTGCTCTTGTGTAGGAACTTTGGGGAATATTGATCTTACTTCATCTCCATGGCCACTTTGATAAGGTAATCGAAAATAAGGAATTTGCAACCCGGTAGCGTTTTTTGCATTTATTGGTATTTGGTTAAACCTACTAGAAGTCTTTTGCAAAACAGTTCCATTGGGGTAGTTGTCCAACTCTCCACTCATATCGTAGGCCAAAATGATATCAACTTTTCGTGATTTCCTTAAAAGTGGCTGGAACGGGATATTTTGGCCGTCATCGCCTCCGTCAACTAGGTACAAATCAGGGTTTCTACCGACTCCAATATTATTGCTACAGAAACTGTGATTATTGGTGGTGGTGCTACTCTTGCTGTTGCAATTGCTGTAGTTGAAGAACGGATTAGGCGAGTATAATGCGTAATCCGGGTGCATTTGCGGCACTTTCAAATAATTCCACTCTGAACTAAAACCAAATAACTTGAGGATATCTTCAATTGAAGACATTATTTCCAGTTGATACTTGTGGAAAAGTTGATAAATGTATTTGAAAATGTGATTAAACAAGGAAGAAGAAGTCCCAACTAAAAACCCTACATTATCAAACCCCGACACACAATACGTCAAATTGTCTCTTTTTACCGTTGCCATCCCGTTAGATAAACGAGTTCCCAAATATTCCAAATCAACAAAGGCATTTAAGTAACAATCCCAAGAGCCAAACTCGTACGGAGTAAATTCAAAAATGTGACTATCAATACTCGATACTTTTGCACTTGGATCCTTATCCGCTGCTGCTGCTGCAGGATCTCGTTCAATAGTTCCGATGATGGGGAAAGGTTGCTCAAAGCTTTGAAACGACTCAAGATACCTGGCAGCCGATGTCATTGTTATTCCGGGGGTTCGTGCTGCACTTGTGAATATCTTTCTAGCTAAGGCTCTTCCCCAGTAGTCAGTGAGACTGGTATAAAACCCCGCTTTTCTTTTATCTCTCACTTCAATTAAAAGTTCTTTGTAAAACTTGAGATATTTAGAAACCATCAAGTTTTCGTTTGCATTTGTAGTTATTGTACCGTTGGTCAAAAAGCTCGTCAACCATTTCTGCAAGGGATCTATTGTTTTAATATCATCCTTCTTACGGAAAAACCCAAGATTCACAAATTTAAACCAATTAACAAAACTTTTATCACCTTTAGCCGGTTCTATATGTGGCTCCTTTTTAATAGCACCAGCAAACACAGAAGACGCTCCTTCTCCTTTTCCTTCTCCTTTTCCTTCTCCTTTTCCTTCTCCTTCTCCTTCTCCTTCTTCTTCCCCCTTCCAAGCTTCCTCAAAATCTCCTCTTTCTTTGGTTGGATCAACATCAGGCATTCCTTCCAATAATGGTTCTTTCAAGTTCCATCCTTCGTCATCGTCTACTTCCTCATCTACCCCACCCATCATCTCACTGATCTTCTTGAAATCATTGACAAACTGAGAAATTACAAGCCATGACCCGCCACTAATCCCAGCAATATAACTAGTAGCTTGCAAAATCCCACTCGCAAAAGTCAAATTGTTCAACTCTCGATCATCCAATCCCTGAATTATACCAGCACCAACTAGCATCGACCTATAACCACCTCCGCTCAAAGCAATGGCTATTATTGTTGGCTTTTTCTTATATCGGAACCAGAATTGTTCAATATCAAAATTGGGAATTTTATTCTTGTACAAAAGCGACTTAATATTGGACTCGGTTTTGATATTTCTATTGGCTATATAGTGAGCTTCCTTTTTACATATAGTCTATCTCGAAAAAGGAAATAAGTTAATAATAGGCTTGTTACTTCTTATGTTGCTTCTCTTACATACATCATTGGCTTCTCTTATCAAGTTATGTTTGGGACATATTACTGGATATGGAGCATACGATAAGTTCCAGTGTCTTTTTGTTGTTAAAAAGTCGCTGATATTCTGAAGCAACAACCTGTCTGTCGTTTCCATGATCTTATTGAAAAATTGCACTTGTGACAATACCAAAATACCAAACAGACATTGTAATAATGAAATCTGGTGGAGCTTCATTGGTTAAATGGCCATAGTCGTTTGGGCGGCTAACTGATATTTGATTTGATTGCAAAAAAAAAAGAAACAAAAAAATGGAAAGAGGAATGGCCGCATGACACTATCGAGCTATCGACACTATTGAGCGAAGCGAGATAGTGGAGCAGCACCGACTACACCGACTCTATCGACACCATTGAGCGAAGCGAGATAGTGGAGCAGCACCGACTACACCGACTCTATCGACACTATTGAGCGAAGCGAGATAGTGGAGCAGCACCGACTACACCGACTCTATCGACACCATTGAGCGAAGCGAGATAGTGGAGCAGCACCGACTACACCGACTCTATCGACACTATTGAGCGAAGCGAGATAGTGGAGCAGCACCGACTACACCGACTCTATCGACACCATTGAGCGAAGCGAGATAGTGGAGCAGCACCGACTACACCGACTCTATCGACACTATTGAGCGAAGCGAGATAGTGGAGCAGCACCGACTACACCGACTCTATCGACACCATTGAGCGAAGCGAGATAGTGGAGCAGCACCGACTACACCGACTCTATCGACACTATTGAGCGAAGCGAGATAGTGGAGCAGCACCGACTACACCGACTCTATTGACTCTATCGATACTATCGAAGCAAGATAGCGGAGCAGCACTTTGTAACTGCCGCTGACTAGCGACACTAGCTCGCTTTGCTGGATAGTGGAGCATTGATAAATATATATGTGCTATATATATATATATATATATATATATATTCAAATTCATATGAAGTGGAAATGAGTACTGTTTATATAGCACTCAGAAACTGTCTCACTACAAAGAGAAGTTCTCTCACCAATACCTACAAAGAGAAAGTTCTCTCATCAATACTTTGTAACAGAGAAGGAGTACTGCTTCACTCGATAGTGGAGTTCTCTCTACAACAAAATTGAATAAAATGTTTTCTCTTATAAAAAAGTTCCAGAAATATAACAGTTTCTATAATCCAAATGGTTGGTTGTATACACGAGAACACGAAGGTTTAATAAATCATTCTTAGTTTTATCTTTTTTCCCCTTTTTTTTTCTTTTCGAAGGCTTTCTTAAGAAATCAAGTTGATGATTGATGTGATAAATAAGAGTTGAAATTAAATAATTTGTTTAATCAGGGGTAAAGCAGGGAAGCACACCCTCTTTTTCCTAATATCAAATTGGGAAAGAATGGCTTCCCCTTCTCCTCTTCTTTTGCCCCCCCATGAACTAAAACAAAATTATTCAAAATCAGCTTTTAGATATCAATCTAAAAATCTTCATCATCTTCGGATACATAAGCATCACCCAATTCCTTCTTTTTCTTCATTCTTTCCTTCTTCTTCTTTCTCAATTCAGCTGACGACAATTTAGACTTCTTCTTACCACCAGCAATCTTGTTACCCATAGCATCGAATTTATCTTCTTCGTCTTCCTTCTTTTCAATTCTTGGACCAGAACCTTGACCTTGGACCCAGTTGTGACCAGATGGTGTCATTCTACCATCCAAAACAGCCCAAACTTCTTCAGTCAAATCTTTAGTGAATTCGGCAGAGTGTGTGATGATAACAATACCACCTTCAAAAGCCTTCAAAGCCTTGGATAATGCACCCAATGAGTCACGATCCAAATAGTTGGTTGGTTCATCCAAAACAATCAAGTGTGGTCTTTGCCATGTACAAGCAGCCAAAACCAATTTGACCTTTTGACCACCAGATAAACCTCTGATTCTCGAGTGTGAAACTAATTCAGCATCCAATCCCAACATGGAACAATGTTCTTCAATTTCTCTTCTGGTTAATGGTCTAAATTGTCCAGAGGCTAAAGCTTCCTTCATATCAACTTCAGCAACCAACTTGGCGTGTGTTTCCATCAATTCTCCTCTTGGTAACCATGTGTTGTCAACAGACATCATTGGAACCCACCTTTCATTCTTCAAACCAACATTTTCACCCAAAGACCATGAAATTTCATACTCATAAGAGTTTTTGAATTTTCTTCTTGCATGAATACCAACAACTCTTCTTAAAGTACCTTCAACTTTGAAGATCTTGTTCATGTTTTGTTCATCTTCTTCATTGATTTGTCTTGAAGCTCTATCCATGGTTTCTCTATCTTCACCAGTTTGGAATCTCCATTGGATATATTCAGATGGAGTCTTGTCCAAGTGGTTATCAATATGAGCAAAAGCGTGTTGTTTGATATAAGCAATACGACAGTTTTCGTGAACATAAACTTCACCAGAGGTTGGTAACAATTCACCAGTCAAGACATTGATCAAAGTTGATTTACCAGCACCATTAGGACCAATGACAGCAATTCTCGATGATAATGAACATTGGAAATTGATATCTCTGATTTGAGGTTTTGAAGTACCTGGATATTGGAAAGTCATGTTGGAAACCTTGACAATTGCCTTTTGTTTTGTCTTCACACCTTCCAAGAAACCTGGTTCTGGGAACTTGAATTCCAAATCAGAAGCTCCTAACTCATAGTATGATTGGGCTGATGGACATTTCTTGACAAATTCAGACAAGTTACCCTTGTATTTTCTTAATTTGAAACCTTCATAGTGGATAATGTATTGACAGATTTTGTCCAAAAATCCAGAATCGTGGGAAACAATAATGGAAGTAATACCACATGTTTGCAAGTAGTTGACTAACCAAGCAACGTTAACAGTATCCAAGTGGTTAGTTGGTTCATCCAATAACAAGATATCAGCGTTTTTCAACACGGCTCTGGCTAAAGCCAACTTCATCTTCCAACCACCGGATAATGATTGAATTGGCATAGTGATCATCTCTTCTGCAAAACCAAACTCTCTCAATTTGTTTTCAACAGATTCTCTGGTCAAACCAACTTCACCATCTTCAATAACAAAGTCAACAACCGTTGTATCAGCGTGAGTACCGTCAATATCGTGCTCAACATACACAGTCTTACATTCGTCTTGAGTTGGGAAACCTTCAACTTGTCCATTAGCAATGGCTCTCATCAATGTAGATTTACCAGCACCATTTGGACCACATAAACCATATCTTCTGTTTCTCTTTAATCTGAATTGAGTCTTGTTCAACAAAATCTTGGCACCATAAGCCAATGAAAACTCACAGTTACACAAGTCTTCACCTTCATCTTCCTCATCTTCAAAGGATGGTGGCTGTGGAATATTGTCAATAGCTCTTTTTCTATATTCTTCAATGATATCCTTACCTTCCTTTTCGTGTAAAAAGATTGTAGCAAATGGCAAAACGTTTTGTAACCAAGCTTCTGGTTGAATTTCTCTTTCGTCAACCAAATCACCAGCAATAGCAGCAATATAGTTTAAGGCAGTATTGAATCTCTTGGCGATTTCTTTTCCTTCCAACAACTTGTTTAATTCACCCAAGGTAACTTCTACATCACCTGCAGTAGAGATTTCGGGGATCTTGTCATCGTCGCCAATAGCACCGACTCTTCTCAAAGTGTTCAAAGCTCTGTTGGTAACGTCTCTGGCTTCTGGATCTGCCATGTTGGCAAAGTTAGACTTCAAAGCTGGCAACAATTTTTCCAAAAATGGAGCAACAACTTGTGGATCGTCAACCAATTTACACATGTTATCAACAATAACAGCGGCTTTACGCTTAATTGCGGTATCTCTTTCAGCTAAACCTCTTGATAACAATGGTTCCATAATGGACAAGGTAGCCATGGTAACTTCGGAAACAAAAGTGGTTGCACCCAACAAATGAACGGTTTCTGGAACTTCAGTTGGTTTAGCAATACATTCAATTAATTTAGGAATGAATTTTTCAATATCCTTATTATCAATGGTTTCAGTACACTTGGACATTGTTTTGGTAGCAGCATCTTTAACTTCCTTTTTGGTGTCCCACATAGTTTCCGATAAAATTGGAATCAATTCCGGCATTCTCAAGGCGATTTGAGCCTTGGCGGTATCAACCAATTGAGAAATAGCAGCCAATATAGCAACTTTTTCGGTCCATTTATTAGTATTTTGTAAATTTTTGACCAATTTAGGCAAGATTGCCTTTACAGCTGTAGGGGTAATAGCAGCTGCGATAGCCAACAAAGCGTTTGAAGCAGCAACTTGGATATCCTTGTTCTTATCACCAGCCTTGGTAGCGACTAAATCTACCAAATCAACAATATATGGTTCAACTGAAGGGGACAAGTCATTAGCTGAGGAGATGTGCTTATAAGCGTCCAAAGCGGCAACAACGATTTTTGCGTCCTTAGATTGCAATTGCTTCTTTAAGTCGTCAAAAAACTCAACTGGAACATCGTGTTCAACAATCGATGAGTTTAAGAAAGTTGCAATATTTGTAGCAGCTTCATCCTTGTTATCAGCAACTTGTAACTTGGCTAATAACTCGGAAAGAACCTCTGCAGAGTATTTAGATTCACTAGCAGCAGTCATCTTAGGTGTTGATACCACTTCCAAAGAAAGAAAGAAAGAAAAGGAGAAGGAGAAGGAGAAAAAGAAGTGAAAAAAAGGGAAAGAAGAAGTAAGTGAAAAACTTTTAAGATGGGGGGGGCCTTTAGCTCATCTCAAGAAGAAGAAATGAAAAATTTTTTGTAATCAAATGTACACGACTTTGGTAATGTAAGTGGTCACGTGTGTCAGGATACTATCGACACTATCGACACTATCGAGCAGAGCGACACTATCGAGCAGAGCGACACTATCGAGCAGAGCGACACTATCGAGCAGAGCGAGATAGTGGAGCACATTGACTAGCTAATAGGATGAATGTACTGCTAGGTTTTTCTCTATCTTGAGTTAAATGTGACATTATCGAGCAGAGCGAGATAATGTGACAACACTTGGTAGCTTGTTTGGTTATAGAGGTACTGCTATAGCTGTACTGCTATAGGTGTACTACAAAAGATGTACTGCCATAGGTGTACTGCTTAGGTGTACTGCCATAGGTGTACTGCTATAGGTGTACTGCCATAGGTGTACTGCCATAGGTGTACGGCCATAGGTGTACTGCTATAGGTGTACTGCTTAGGTGTACTGCCATAGGTGTACTGCTTAGGTGTACTGCCATAGGTGTACTGCTATAGGTGTACTGCCATAGGTGTACTGCCATAGGTGTACGGCCATAGGTGTACTGCCATAGGTGTACGGCCATAGGTGTACTGCTATAGGTGTACTGCTATAGGTGTACTGCTATAGGTGTACTGCTATAGGTGTACTGCTATAGGTGTACTGCTATAGGTGTACTGCTATAGGTGTACTGCTATAGATGTACTACTATATGTTTACGGTCATAGATGTACTGCTATGTTTACCTTTATATTGAGTGTGTATGTTCCACTATCTCGCTCTGCTCGATAGTGTCGCTGCTTGATAGTGTCGATCAAACAGAGCTATTGAGTAAAAGAAGGTGATAAATAGTACAAACAATAAGCTCAAGTCGAGAAAATAATTGAGAATAATTGAAAAGGCGGATTTTTAATCAAGTTGATGCAAATTTTACCGCAAAATGTAGACACTATTGAGCAGCGACACTATTGAGCAGCGACACTATCGAGCAGCGACACTATTGAGCAGCGACACTATCGAGCAGAGCGAGATAGTGGAACATACACACTCACAATTTACTAGTCACTAGTTGCTACATATTGCTCCACTATCTCGCTCTGCTCGATAGTGTCGCTCTGCTCGATAGTGTCGCTCTGCTCGATAATGGAGCAACATTTGGTAGCTTGTTAGGTTATAGATTTTCTGTTATAAATTTTCCACTATAGGTGTACTGGTATAGGTGTACTGCTAGGTTATAGGTGTACTGCTAGGTTATAGGTGTACTGCTAGGTTATAGGTGTACTGCTAGGTTATAGGTGTACTGCTAGGTTATAGGTGTACTGCTAGGTTATAGGTGTACTGCTAGGTTATAGATTTATTGCTATAGGTGTTTCCAACTGTTGTTCGAATTTACCCTTCTTTTTTTTATTCTCACTAGTCACTACTTATTGCTCCACTATCTCGCTTCGCTCGCTCTCACTATATATCACTCCACTATCTCGCTTCGCTCGCTCTCATTACATATCACTCCACTATCTCGCTTCGCTCGATAGTGTCGCCAGAGATTTCATAAATTTTCGCACACATGACCTGCATTTAGGCTATCAGTAAGAAAGCTTATTCGAGTCTATGCAGTGTTTATAAAAGAGAACCATAATTACACTGTATAATCGGATATCACACTATCTCGCTCGGCTCGATAGTGGAGCACACTACCTTGACACAACACTATCGAGCAGTGTCAATATGCTCGCTAGTGTCGATATGCTCGCCACTGTCGATATAGCCAATGTCGATATAGCCAGTGTCGATATAGCCCGTGTCGATATAGCCACTGTCGATATAACCACTGTCGATATAACCACTGTCGATATAGCCACTGTGCTCCACTAGCTCGCTTTGCTCGCTAGTGTCTATTGCAGTTATTTAACAAGATACCTTCTGATAAGGTCTGCAATGATAAAGAAGTTTGAATATTTAAGCAATCCTGCCTATTGCTTTTGCCGCCCCTCCTTATTGCTTCGCCACTTACAATAATTATCGTCTGTACCCCTCACTTTGCCACAACTCTGCCATCGATTCTATCGCTTTGCACTCATCGCACTACAAACTACTCTAGTGTCTACTCAACCCTCAACCCTCAACCCTCAACCCTCTCAACCCTCTCAACCGTCAACCCTCAACCGTCAACCGTCAACCGTCAACCCTCTCAACCCTCTCAACCGTCAACCGTCAACCCTCAACCGTCAACCGTCAACCGTCAACCCTCTCAACCCTCTCAACCGTCAACCGTCAACCCTCAACCGTCAACCGTCAACCGTCAACCCTCTCAACCCTCTCAACCGTCAACCGTCAACCCTCAACCGTCAACCGTCAACCGTCAACCCTCTCAACCCTCTCAACCGTCAACCGTCAACCGTCAACCCTCTCAATATTCTCTGCCCTCTTTGCACTTGCTCTAACAAATACGTTCAGCCTCTTCAATCTCATCTCGAATCAAACGAAAATCCAAAAAATTTGATACATCAATAGACGAAGAATCGAAACAAAAAAATATTAAAAACTTTTATAAAACAGAGTTATTCTAGTACCAATTTTTCTTTTGATCCCTCCCCCCCCTTGTTTTCCCTTGTTGTTTTACCCTGTTGTTTTACCCCGTTGTTTTACCCTGTTGTTTTACCTCGTTGTTTTACCCCGTTGTTATTCCCCGTTGTTTTACCCCGTTATTTTTCTGGGTATTTGGGTATTTGGGTAATTGGGTATTTGGCTGATCAGAAATGAGTGTTGACAAGGAAACCAAGTATGACAGACAATTAAGACTATGGGCTTCTACAGGTCAACTGAATTTGGAAAATAGTTCTATATGTCTCATCAATGCCACGGCAACAGGATGTGAAATCCTAAAGAACCTCATATTACCTGGAGTGGGCAAGTTTACAATCATTGATGATTCCAAAGTCACGAATGAACAATTGTCGAGTAATTTCTTTTTAAAAACTAGTGACCTAGGTAAAAATGTGGCTGATTGTGTTTTGCTGAATCTCGCCGAATTGAATACTGAAGCTGTTGGATTCGCAATTGTCCAATCTGTTGAACAAGTGTTACTATCCGATAAACAGGGAAAATTCTGGGATCACTTCAACTGTGTTATAGTAAGTGATTATATTCCCCAGCTCGATAAACTAATCGACTTGCTCTGGGAAAAACAAATCCCCTTATTGATTGTTAATACAATTGGCTTTTACGGTTCCTTGAACTTGCTAGCAAATGAAACAACAGTCATTGAAACTCACGACCCTTCAAAGTTGTACGATTTAAGAATAGATAAACCCTGGCCCAAATTGCAAGAGTATGCAGACTCGTTTGACTTGGAGAAATTGGACGATCAAGAACACGCACACGTCCCGTATATTGTCATCTTTATAAAAGCACTAAATCACTGGAAACTGCAACATAACAATTCTTTGCCAGCAACCTATGGTGAAAAAAAACAGTTTAAAACTTATATCGAGTCTTTATCAAGAAATATCAACTTGGAAACAAACTTTGTCGAAGCTGTGCAGTCGTGTCATCGAGCTTTCCAAAAAACACAAGTTCCTGATAGTATCAAGAATTTGATTGAATTGAGCAATGAGAAGAAATATTCCAAAATAGATAGTTCATCACTGTTTTGGGTTTATATCGCAGCATTGAAGCAGTATTTGGCCAAAAATGATAATGTACTACCATTACCTGGAACATTACCAGACATGGCCTCCAATACCGTGAATTACACATTGTTAAGCAAGATATATCGAGATAAAGCTCGTCAAGATCAGTTACTATTTGCAAAAGAGGTTTACAAAATTCTCGAGCTGCAAGGGAAACCAAAAGATATAGTCACTGAAGATGCAATTGCTTCTTTCTGCAAAAATGCCCAACTACTATTTGTCACTATTGGGTCTAAGAATTTGTACTCTTTAAAACTTGTTGAACAATTCCACAATGAATCAAACCACCTGTTAGCCATATACTTGGGAATACTAACATTTAATGCATATATCTCACATTATCAAACGCCGCCAACAATCGAAAACTTGGACAAATTCATCCAACTCTTTAATAAAGAAATCAATACTATAATCAAACCAATTGCAGAATCAACAAAAAAAGTGTTTACGGAAATGTTAACTCACAACTCGAGAAATTATCATAATCTAAGCAGTTTTATGGGTGGAGTTGCAAGCCAAGAGATTTTGAAATTAACAACTGCTCAGTATATTCCATTGGATAATCTCTTTGTTTTCGATGGAATAAACTCAAGCAGTGAAAGGTTTAAAATATAGTTGCCTTTACTTGAAAATGAATGCTATGAAGAAAAAAAAATTGAAAAAAAACATGAAAAAAACATGAAAAGTAACGTGAACCACTTATAGATCATCGAAAGAACCCTGCACCGCAGAGTCATTCTTCTTCTTCCTCTTCTTCTTCTCCTGCTTATTCTTTCTTATCATATCCTTCCAATCCTCCTTTGTCTCATCATCATCATCATCATCATCATTAGCACCACCACGTCCATCTTCCTGGATAAGTTGCTTTTCAATAGCTTCCCTTTTCCTCTTCAATTTCTCCTTCCTCTCCAATTTAGCCTCTTTTTTATCAGTCTTACTGGACCACGCTTCATTCTTTGCCTTCAACTCCTTTCTTCTCTTTGCAGTTGCAGCTTTCGTCAATTTGTCCTTTTTTAAACTCTCCAATCTTGACTTTTCCTGCAACTTATCAGCATATGCGTATTGATCCATATCTATAACGTCGCCTAGCCAACCATCCTGGGGCATTTGCGCATTGTCAATATACTTTGATTCAGGCATCTTCGGTAGTCTTAATAAACCATACATCTTGGCAATTGCCAAGTAGTCTAAACTTGCCATTCGGAAAATCAGACTAGCGATATGTTTGGAATAATATCGTATAAACCCAACATAGGACTTAACTGCAAGTTCATGTCTTGCCCTATCTTCAAGGATATATTTGCGCACATCTTTATAGAATTTATCGTGGTTAGGATTTCTTGGTGGCTCCATTTTGGTCATGAAAATATTCTTCACTTCCATGAACCCAACATAGTCTTCTTCTTGGGTATCGTTATTCAACATTACTATGGCTCGACCTACTTTGTTTGCCCTTCCTGTTCTTCCACAACGGTGAATAAACACATTAGGATCCAAAGGTGGATCCATTTGTATTACTAGATCAACATCTGGAACGTCTATACCTCTAGCGGCAACATCTGTAGTCACCAATACATATTTTGTGCTATCGTCATTCCCCTCAATAAAACTCTCCAAAGTTTTTAATCTCGACTTTGTACTTAACTGCCCATATAGTGAAAAGAATTTCAACTCTTGAGTGTCTACTAATTTTGTTACCATTTGGTAAAGATGCTTGACAAAAGAACATGTAGGTAGATAAACAATAACCTTTTTAAACACAAAACTATGCAACATTTGCAATACAGTCGTCAATTTGTATTCTGGATCAATCATCATATAAGAAAGCTGTAACGACGTAGGAGCACTATTATTTAGTTCTCCCATAAGACTCTTTGTTTTCACTTGTAATTTGACTGGGTTGTTCATTCCAGTTCTAAAGATCGTATCACCTGCAGCAGATATAGTTGCTGAAAACAAAGCAGTCCTGCGTTGTTTTGGCAATTGCTTCAAAATCTTGACAACATCAGTTTCAAATGAAAAATCAAGCAATTTATCTGCCTCGTCCAAAACAACAATCTCTAAAGATGAGGTCTTGACATATTTTGAGGACATGATGAAATCCAATAGTCGACCAGGGGTAGCTACCAATATCTGTGGCTGATGTTGTTGAAAAAATTCGAGATCCCCCCTTACGTTTCCCAATGACCCTACAAGCAACTGTGTTTTAATCACTGGTGTCATTTCCTCTGGCAAATACCCAAGTACCTTATCAAACACCATTTGAATCTGCTTGGAAAGTTCTCTCGTGGGAGCCATTACAATAGCTAACACATGACCCCTTTTCAAAGTCTCGGGTCTATCTTCGCCTTCTGGTACCAGATACAATACTTTAGACACTTTTTGTAATACTGGTATGACATAAGCAAGTGTTTTACCTGACCCAGTTACTGCTTCAACTATAACATCTTTGTTCCCGCTTAATAATGGGATAGTCGATGCTTGTACTGGAGTCATTGTCGGATACTCTAACGAGTGTATAGCATTTTTTAGCCATGGCTCTAGATCAAAACGTAAATTATCCCACGATAGCGACTCTTTATTTGTCTTCATGCTTCAAACTCGAGATGAGATGCGATGCAATGAGATGAGATGAGATGAGATGAGATGCGATGAGATGGGTGCGAAAAAACTGAAAAATATGAAAAATATGAAAAATATGAAAAATATCTTGAATTCCCATTTCCTGCTCCTCCATTTGGGATTGGATTGACGACGGCGACGTTCAAGTACATGATACGAAGCAGAGGGTTAGTTCAATGTCTCATGGTGAAAAGACAATACAGTAGTATCCTTGAAAGCACATCACACAGCCAAATCGCAATGTCTAGCACCAGCTCCAGCTCCAGCTCCAGCTCCAACACCAGCTCCAGCACCTCTGATCAGGCATTAGATTACTCGAGTTGGTCGAAAGAAGAGCTCATTATCAAAATCAAGGATCTTGAACAAAAGGCACAAGGCTCAAATGGAAAGCTGGACATGGATATACCTCACACTAGACCCAATTTGAAGAAAAGAAAAGAGTTTGACTGGAGCAAACAGAATTTTCGGTTTGTTGCTATAAAATTTGCATATCTAGGGTGGAACTATAATGGACTTGCTTATCAAGCAGAGCCAACACAGTTGCCTACAGTAGAAGAAACCATATTGAAAACCCTTTCTAAAGTAAAGTACATTCCTGAACCTATAGAAGAAGTTGATTTTGCCAGATGCGGAAGGACAGATAAGGGTGTAAGTGCAATGAATCAAGTGATTTCCATCAAGTTGCGATCAAATCTTACTGCTGAAGAACAACTAGACGCGGCAAACGACTCAAGAGAAGTTGATTACTTGGCAGTAATAAATCACAATCTACCACCTGATATCGTAGCCCATGCTATTTGTCTAAGACCACCAGAGAATTTTGATGCAAGGTTCAGTTGTAAGAATCGTCACTATAGATATTTGTTTAAAAAGACACTCAACTTGGATATTGGCCTAATGAGCCAAGCAGCCCAGTATTACTTGGGTGCGCACGATTTTAGGAACTTTTGTAAATTGGACGGATCAAAGCAAATCACCAATTTCGAAAGGTTCATATCAAGGTCCGAAATCATTCCTTTGGGAGACGATTGGTACTGTTTCAATCTTATTGGAACTGCATTCTTGTGGCACCAAGTACGATGTATGGTGGCTATGTTATTTCTCGTGGGTCAAAAACTCGAAGATCCAAGTATCATCAAAGATTTGTTAAACATGACAAAGTATCCAACGAAGCCACAATACGAAATGGCAAATGAAATTCCATTGGTGTTGTACGATTGCCAGTTCCCTGAAATGGAATGGAAACGACTTGATTGTGCCAATCACTTCAACAAGTTTTTAAGCAAATTCCGAGGTATGCACTACAACTTGGCCGTAAAAGCCCAAATGCTGCTGATTATGGAATCTGTATTATTTGGACCAACAACTACAATTGATCAAGCTACAACAGCAAAAACAATTCCTCTTGGTGATGGTATTGGCCGTAGTTTTGCAAATTATATTCCTCTTGCCGACCGTCAACGAAGTGAAAATTATGAAATCTTGAATGCCAGATGGATGCAACGAAAGGGTCATAAAAGACAACAGCAAAGGGAAATAAAAAGTGACTAATAAAAAAAAAAGAAAAGAAAAGATAAAACAACTAGTTGCACCCTTTGTTAATTAGATATCCAAGATGGTTCCCAATATTGTGGCCCATCTTCGCCTTGTGAATCAACCCATAAAATCCCATTCATAATCATTTCATTAATAACATTTTCGCTTCTAACACCATCCCATTGGAAATTATCCTGGATTAATCGCTTAGTGACATACCCACCCGTAAACTCGCACAATTCATAAATCTTGATTTGATCTTGTGACAAATTATCCAATGATGAGAATTTCAACCATTTGATGCCATTGATAACTAAGATTTCATAGTTTTTACTACCCATTGAGTTCAAAACCTGTATAGCTTGCTCGATATCTTTCAAGTCAATATCAAGCTTCAAATCAGAGGAGGATATAGAATTAGCCGTAATTATACTTTGCAATTCCTTTAAAGGGATCAATCCACCATTAAAGTCTCTTGTTTCCTGACATATTTCAACAATTTTTACTGATAATCCTATTGTAAAGTTATTACTTTTATTATTATCGTTTTTTCTTGTTTGCTTCTTGAAACCGCCGTTGCTATATATGAGCAAATCCAAAGGGTCCATACCAATCAGCTGGGAAATCTGGTTGAATTTGGTCCTAAACTCAGAATTGTGTTTAATTTCATCGCCATGTTCATTGATAAAATTGATCATTGCTGATCGGAAAACTTGTAATTGAGTAGACAACTGCTCTGAATGTTGCTGCTTTAACCTTTGACCCAATCGCAAGTAAGCATCTCTATCTGAATCGTGGTTCATTTCGAAACTAATACCAACACTAACACTTGAGAATCTTGCGCTTTCAGCCCAGCCCAGCCCAGCCCAGCCTCTAACTTTTACAATTTCCAATAAAAAACTAAACTTATTAGCGCTTAACTAATTAAATTACTAAAAGACTTTGACCCTAGTTGCCACAGACACTATCGAGCTTAGTAAAGAGAATGGAATAACGATCTACTCTACTACCAGTCTTAGAGGAGGGGGTGAAGGGAGCAGGGAGCAGGGAGCGTGGGAGGGGAGATCCCCTTCTAGACTCTAGACCCTAGACCCAATTATACTCTTCAACCATTGCGATGCGATGCGATGCGATGCGCGATGCGATAATATAATCACGTGACTAATCCCAAGTCCAGGAAAGGATAGTCACGTGTTTATGGAAGCCGAAGCCCTCTCTCCTAAATTCATCAAATCTCTAATCACATGTCTAATCATGGTAAAATGGTCACGTGTTTATGAAAAGTCCTCTCTCCACTATCGAGTAAAGCGAGATAGTGGTGCAATGGAACTCGTGTGTTGGTAGTGTCGGTGGCAGCTAGTGTTGCTTTACTATCGAGCAAAGCAAGATAGTGTCGATAGTGTCGATAGTATCGGTGTAGTCAGTTCTGCTCCACTATCGAGCAAAGCAAGATAGTGTCGATAGTGACGATAATATCGGTGGCAGTTAGTGTTGCTCCACTATCTCGCTTCGCCCGATAGTGTCGATAGTGACGATAGTGTCGATAGTATCGGTGTAGTCAGTTTTGCTCCACTATCTCGCTTCGCTCGATAGTGTTCGTAGTGTTGGTAGCAACTAGTGTACTCCACTATCTCGCTCTGCTCGATAGTGAGTTAATCACGTGCTTATCAAAATTCCTCGGATCTTTCATTTTTTGCTTTATCCGAGAAAATTGATACCTCAGCGGCTAATAGAAGCCTGAAAAATTCCCCCCCCCGTTTTAATGAAGGATCAGTTTCGAGTAGGCCAATTTAAGGTCGGTTTTTGGACCCGCATTTTGACCCCTCAACGTTTACCTCCCTCCCCTTTTCCCCTCCTCCTCTTTCCTCCATTACTCTCTTAAGTAAAGGTTGGTCTATTCTTTTTTCTTTTTTCTTTCTCTTTGGGGGGGAGGGAGGGTTCTGGAATGGATATAAGACCGATATCTTTTAGTATCTGACTGCTGCCCCGTTCTTTTTCCCCAACTCTTTTTTCTTTTCTTTTCTTTTCTTTTTTTTCTTTTCACTGGGGTTTCTACTGTTAGGTCTACTTTTCTTCATTTCAAGAGGTTATGGCTTTGTCGTCGTCTTCTTCTCTTCCTCCTCTTTCGAAGAGGTCAGATCCAGCGGTGCCACGTGAAATCCAGGTAATTTTAGGTAAGGGCGTTTCAGCTACTCTCGCTATACCCCACTCGTATGGATTAGAGAATCCCTTTGAAAATAATTTTGCACCAGTAACTCATAAGGCAGCGTTGATTTTACATGGACAAGGAGGTCATAGAGACTATGTTTACCAGAGGTTGCTAGCTCATAGGTTAGCAAAGGAATTGGGTGTATTCAGCTTGCGGATCGATTTTAGAGGATGCGGCGATTCTAAAGATAATGAAGATGAATTAGAAGGTAGGACTTTAACTCAGGATGTTGAAGATATTCAAGCGTCTGCGGAATTCGTTATGGATGGGAAATTGAATGGCGTGGGAATTGACTTGACTTTGAGTGCAGTCATTTCTCATTCAAGAGGCAGTGTTGCTATGTTTTTATGGGCTTTGAAGCAGGATGCAATGTTGAAAAAGGGAGACCCAAAAGCTATAATTGTACCTAATTTGGTTAATTGTGCAGCTAGATATACCTCAGTAACAGTTTTGGAAAGGTACCATGCATTTAAGGATTATGACTTTATACCTGATATTTCGGCATTTAGGCATGGTAAATATCAAAAAGTCAACTTGGCAGCTAGAGAAATCATCACTTTATCCAAACCCGATTTCAGTACTTTGAAATCCTTGTCTAGAGATTGGTCTTGCTTGAGTATCTATGGACTACAAGATGCGATTATCCCAAGATACGATAGTGCTGAGTTTGCCAATGCTTTGAATAGAGGCCCATTGTCACATACTTTGAAATTGATACCAGATGCCGATCACAATTTCTTTGGCCACAAGATGATTCAACCTGATGACGACTTGGAAGATGTTAACCCTTTGAATTTACCATTGAAGAAAAATAGAGTCAATTATAACTATCTTGTATGCGATTACATCATCGACTTTCTTTCACCTGAGAAGGAATTGGATAGATTCTTACACTCAAACAATGAGATTGGAAGTATTTCAAGATGGAAAAATGTTGAAGGGGTTAGTAATTTCAGAGATATAGGTGGATGGAGAATCCATGATCCTACATTCAAGTTGGTTGAAAGGAGTAGCAGCAGCAGCAGCAGCAGCAGTAAAGACAATCATCACGTTTACTATGTCAAACCACATTTGGCTTTCAGGTGTGCCAATATTGCTGGCTTGACTGAGAATGGTCTTGAGACTATAAAAAAAATGGGAATAAAAGCTGTGTTTGATTTACGATCAGATGGTGAAATTGAAAAAGATGGATATCCAAAGGATTTGGAGAAACATGGTATTAGAAGAATTCACGCACCAGTATATTCCAATGATGATTACTCGCCGCAAGCTATAGCGTTGAGATACACCAATCTCATGACATCTTGGTCAACTTATGTTCATGTTTATGAAGACATGTTGGAGTTTGGTTGTGAATCTTTCAAAACTGTTTTCCGGTACATTTTGAAGGAAAATAAACCATTTTTGTTCCATTGCACAGCAGGTAAGGATCGTACGGGTATTTTGAGTATGTTGTTTCTCTTGTTGGCCGGTGTTGACAAAGATACCATAGGTAAGGAGTATGAGCTTACCACAATTGGGTTAAAACCAGACCACCCTGTGCTCAAAGGTAAATTCTTGGAAACAGTTACTAAATTAAGAGAAAAATTGGACATAGATGGGGCAAATGATATAGAACAAATGATATCCCAAGGAAGATCAGATTGGACTTTAGAAAATGATGGGTTTAACAATTTAATAAGTTCTAGATATGAGGCAATGTTGGCCACGATAGGTCACTTTAATTCCACTTATGGAAATATCGTCAAGTACATGAATGACAAGTTGGGATTCACACATGACGAAATAAAGCAAATCTACGAAAGTATTGTTGTTTTAGACCCTGACAATTGCGGATTTGAAATGAATTCTAATTTTGACTGGCAGCATAGAAACATTGGCAAGGCTAAATTTTGAAACATACAATTTGTGGAAACAAGGACACACACGGGGTTGATACTATATACTGCTCCACTAGCTCGCTTCGCTCCCTAGTTTTTGCTCAACTATAGATATTTAGACAAGACTTTTTCTTTTACTTTTTTTTTATATATATCGAGTAGGCTGCTAGTCAGTGCTAAACAGTGCTGCTAAACAGTGTCATTAATCAGTGTCATTAATCAGTGTCATTAATCAGTATGCTCCACTATTTCGCTCCGCTCGATAGTGTCACTAGTCAGTGCTGCTAAACAGTGTCATTAGTCAGTATGCTCCACTATCTCGCTCTGCTCGATAGTGTCACTCACATTATGGGCAATGGACGCTGTTTGAAAATCATTTTAGCTCTAATAATATCAATCATTTCGATTTTATCCTTTTCATCGTCACCATCATCATCAGTAATTATTCTATTTGGATCCATTACAGGTATTTTCATCAATCCTAATGGTATATTCAACTTGACAATACTTCCAACTAATCTTTGACTCTTACCTATAAATAAGGTGACTTTACTCTCGTCTTTGCTGTCAAATTGCAAATTGCCAAACTTTACAGCATCGTAAATATCATCAATGGTTATAAATTGCGAAAGCTTTTCTTTTTCCGACTCGGATAACTCTTTGCAAGAAGCACATGCTGGCTTTTGTGAAGGTAAATTTAATTCCCCTTGTATTTCTAGCAAAGTAAGTCCGTACAGTGTAGTAACCACTGGAGGAAGATCAAGGCGACTTGGCAGTATAGAAGAAGACGGTAGTCTACTCACCGGCACAGAAGAAGACGGTAGTCTACTCACCAGCGTGCAATCAATAACTGCTACTGGCATTCCAACAAGTACTTTGTTTCTTGAATGAGAAGAATTGAAAAAAATAAAAAAAAATAAAAATAAAAATAAAACGCCAATTTGGCATTCACTAGCAGCGGAGACGAAAGCACTAGAGGGGACGAAATGAAAAGTTAATTGAGACAAATACAACGTTAGGGAAAGATTTGGGGGGAAACGCTACTAACGGGAGTTAAAAAAGAGAGGAGCTGCTCTATGGAGCCGTACAAGTGACCTAAAAGTACGGTTTGTTAGGTGATGACAAAGAGCTGGTGAGAAAGAGCTGGCGAGAAAGAGTTGGGGAGAAAGAGTTGGTGGGTGTAGAGTTGGTGGGTGTAGAGTTGGTGGGTGTAGAGTTGGTGGGTGTAGAGTTGGGGAGCGTATAATCCATTAAATGAAGTCATTCGAGTGACCCAAAAGTATAGCTCTAAACCCGGAACGTTAATTGAGACAAATACAACGTTAGGGAAAGAGTTGGGGGGAAACGCTACTAACGGGAGTTAAAAAAGAGGTGAGCTGCTCTATGGAGCCATACAAGTGACCCAAAAGTATTACCCTCAATCTATCAGATGCATCAACTTTTTAAATTGAAAAAAAATTAGATATAAAACATCTCATTAAAATTTACTAAATTCAAGTTTTAGCCATCTTCAGCCGACTCTATTAGCACAAGCCACTTTTCCTGAATAACATCACACTAAAACAATACCATGTATTCTCTTCCAGAATCTTTTTTCGCAATCCAACACTATCGAGCAGAGCGAGATAGTGTTGATAGTGGCGATAGTGGCGATAGTCAGTGCTGCCCCACTATCGAGCAGAGCGAGATAGTGGAGCACTTGTAGCAACACTAGAGTCTCTGTAGTCTATTTCTTCAGAGACTTTTGCAATTCGCTCAGAAGCTCTAGCTCAGAAGCTCTATCAAAGAAGCTCTAGCTTAGAAGCTCTAGGTCAGAAACTCTAGCTCAGAAACTCTAGCTCAGAAGCTCTATCTCAAAAGCTCTAGCTAAGTGCCATTCAGCAACAGCTAGCGCTGTTGCTTCAGAAGCTCTAGCTAAGTGCCATTCAGCAACAGCTAGCGCTGTTGCTTCAGAAGCTCTAGCTAAGTGCCATTCAGCAACAGCTAGCGCTGTTGCTTCAGAAGCTCTAGCTCAGTGACATTCAGCAACAGCTAGCGCTGTTGCTAGCTGTTGCTTCACTAAACAATACCATGTATTCTCTTCTAGAATCCTTTTTGCAATCATTAATTAATAATAAACGTTTTTCCTAATTAGGCTAAACGTTATTAATTTTCTTTCCTATTTAGTTAAGTAACACAATAAAAAAATAACATGTTTATGTATGGCTGCAAAATTGTCCTTTGAAATATTTTGTTATCTTTTTCTCTCTCTCACCAACAGATGGGAGTAACACACGGGTTTGACTGTTCGTTGATGCCCATTAATGTAGTTTGTGTCAATGAAGAAAGATGAGAATAATAACTTGAGGAAATGCAACAATTTACATTGTACGGGATGCATTGTTCTCTCAAGTTCCTTTTTTAGAATAACTGGTTTTCATACCTAGTAGTTTCCTTGAAAACATTTATTATATTAAGCTATATATGAAAAAGTCACAAGAAGCAGTAAGAAGCAGCTTGACACGGGTTTGATTTGGAAAAAAAGGGCTCACCCTTGACATCTTTTGCTTCAACAACCTTTTCTTTTTCAACCACTCCAACCCTTTTCTTTTTCAATCACTCCAACCCTTTTCTTTTTCAACCACTCCAACCCTTTTCTTTTTCAACCACTCCAACCCTTTTCTTTTTCAACCACTCCAACCCTTTTCTTTTTCAACCACTCCAACCCTTTTCTTTTTCAACCACTCCAACCCTTTTCTTTTTCAACCACTCCAACCCTTTTCTTTTTCGTATCACTTTGCTTCACAGGGTAAATTGAGACTTGGGTTCTATTTTTTTGTCTACTGAGCCTCGGGTTGTATTTATTTGTTTGTTTTAGATGGCCTTACCCAGTCCTTATGAATATTCGGCCGTTTTTGGCTTGATGAGACTACTTCAGTATCAAAATAATTATCCTGCTTTGGGTTCTGGATCGCATGCATTATCAACACAAGCAAGAAATCTATTGGGTCCTAGGATCCCAAAAGTCGTTGTTGACTTTCAAACGGCAGTACAATTCAACTTGTTTGGAAGCTATCCATTCCACAAGGATGTTGCACCCTCGGCCGTTTTCACAGCCTTGTTTTCAATTGTTTTCCTTTGCCATTTAGCAATCTTTTCCATCAATTGTTATCGAGGTCACTATTTTTGGCCACAATTGGGATTTATATTTTATTCCTTGTGCCGTGTTTTGGGCTTTGCCTTGAGAATAGTTTGGTCTGCCGACTTGTCTCAAACAAGTATTGGTATTACTGGTGAAGTGTTTTTGATACTCCCAACGGTGTTACTTCCCAGTTTCAATTTGATTTTGGCACAGCGTATATTCACGTGGCGACACCCAGTTGGTGGGTCTAGAAGACTTTTCTGGAATCTTATGTTGACTTTATATGCAATTGTTGCCGGCGTGGTGGCAATGACCATTGTTGCATCTGCTGGTATAAATATATACTTGTTGGGTGCTCCAAACTATGCCAGATTTGTGCGCTGTATCCAAGCAACTTCCGTTTTGATTATTGTTTATTCCTTAACTGCACTTTCTTTGATTGGTTTGGCTTTTTTCTTTAAGCCAACAACAAAAGACGAGAATTTGTATACATACCAACCATGGTGGATCGAATCGTTTGCACCAACGTACTTTGTCAGAAAGGGAGTACCTCAAGAGGCCGCGGAAAGTTTTTTGAAAAGAAACCATAATCATCGATTTGCTATTCGAGTTATTGCTGCAACTCATCATCACTACAAGATGGTTAAAGGCTTGAGCAATGAGCGTGGAGACTTGACGCATAATACTTCTTTGTTAATCATTGCAATAACTACCATCATCATCTTAATAGGTGCTATTCTCCGGTGTGTGGTTTGTTTTCAAGCAAGAATGATGTATGATCGATCGCCAGTAGGGTCAGCAGCTATGATGTATGTTTGGTGGGGAGGATTTGAAATAGTGACCAACATGCTATACTTGATTGGAAGAATTGACTTGAGGTTTTACAGACCAGATAGACTACCCAAACATATCAAGCATATCAAAACTGCTGAGCAGTCATTGTATCCTTCAGAAATTGAAAGTATGGACTTGGATGAGCACGGAAGATTGAAAAATACAGAGTCATATGAGGACCATACTCTGAAAGAAGACGAGGACGAAGATGAGGAGGAGGAGGAGGAGGATGGAAATTTCTACTTTGATGGTGAACAATCCGAGGATGAAGAGGATGATTTCGATTTTGCACCCAATTCTAATATGAAGGAGAAAAAGGAATTAAAACAAATGCTGCTGGAAAAACCTCCTATGGGTGCAGCTTACAATAAAACTGAACCACCATATCCAGATACAAACAAATCTGATACCGAATCCGAGTTCAACTTTTAGCATACCTGACATATATATATATATATATATATATATATATCTTCTTCCTACCTTTATGAGTATAAAATATGTATATGTATATGTATATGTATATATTAATATGATTTATAGATTGAGATATTGTGAACCTCTGCGCCCAACGTCTTTTATTATCGCATCGGAAAAAGGGAAAAAAAAAATTATTAAACGAGGCCTCATCTCAAAAGGTTTAAAAGGTTTAAAAGGTTTAGGGATATTTTGCAAGACTTGTGATAAGCAGCTATGTCGAGACCAGAGGAGTTAGCTCCGCCAGAGATATTTTACAATGACACAGAATCGTTCAAGTATACGTCGTCGACACGTGTGCAGTATATTCAGGCCAAAATGACACTACGTGCATTAGAACTACTAAATCTAGAAAGCAAAGAGCCACATTTGATTTTGGATCTAGGGTGTGGGTCGGGACTTTCTGGTGAGATATTAACTGAAGAGGGTTATAATTGGATAGGAATGGACATATCACCAAGCATGTTGGCGACTGCGCTTGATCGTAATGTTGACGGAGATTTGTTTTTAGCAGATTTGGGTAATGGAATACCATTTAGAGCCGGTACTTTTGATGCGGCAATATCGATATCTGCAATTCAATGGCTATGTAATGCCGATACGTCCAACGCTGATTCCAAAAAGCGACTTTTGCTATTTTTCAACACTTTGTATGCATCTTTGAAAAGAGGGGGAAAATTCGTTGCACAATTCTACCCTAAAAATGATTTACAGACAGAGAGTATATTGAACGCAGCTAAGTTGGCAGGTTTCGGAGGTGGGTTGGTGATAGATGATCCTGAGCTGAAGAGTAAAAAAAAGTTTTATTTGGTACTAACTGCTGGAGTAACGGAGAGAAATATTAATCTCCTGGGTGCTGAAATGGAATTGGTGGAAAACACTAAGAAGAATAATAAGAAGAAGAGGAAGTTGGCTGAGTCTAGAAAGGAGTATATTAATAGGAAGAAGGAAACTATGAGGAGAAGAGGTAGAATTGTTGCAGAAGACTCAAAGTATACCGGTCGTAAAAGAAAACATAGATTCTAAGGTTTTGTTAATACTCTTTGAATAATCAACAAATAGTAACATTATTGCATGTAACAAAGGATCTGGAGTTTCCAGTTTCCAATTTCCAGTTTCCAGTTTCCAATCTCTAGGGCCAGCCCATGCCAACTAAACTTGGTGAAAAATCTGAAAAAAAAAAATTAAAAAAAAAAAAAAAAAAAACCTACGACTTTCAACCATTCGTCATCATCACCATCACCACTACTATCAACAGCACCACCATCACCACAAACCATGTTGAAGTCAGTTACACGACCGGTAAAGGTGACATCGAACCTTTTGCAACCATTTAGGGCTTTCCACTATTTAAGGAAGAGTATGTAGATTACAGAAAAGAAGAATATATGATTTTTTTTTCACTCCATATACTAACCATTTTTTCATTAATAGAATTACCAACGGTTTATGAACCACTCCCACCAAGAAGGAATGGGGAGAATGTAATGACTTATATACATAGGGAACTTGTTAAGAAACACGATCCTACAGGTAAAAGAAGCAAACTAATTGATTACAAGAGGGGATTAAGAGCAGGAGATATTATAAAAGTAACTTATTTAGATAGATCGGATCTTACTGGACGAGTCATTGCTATCAAAAGGGGACAATTGAATTTGGGTTCAAATATCTTGTTGAGAACCAAATTGAACAAAGTTGGATCCGAGATTAGAGTGCCTATTTTTAATCCGAATATTAGAAATGTTGAGGTGCTTTATAAACCTAAAGAGTATTTGCCCAGACGTGCTCAATACTATATTAGAGGAACAAGATATGACATTGACGATGCAGAGGCATTTGTAAAACGTCAATATGCGGAAAAGAAAGAAAAGGAGGTGAAGACAACGGAGAAGACAACGGAGAAGACAAGAAGAAGAAGGAAGTGAGATGGAGATGAAGAAAGAGGAGGTGGAGGTGAAGAAAGAGGAGGTGGAGGTGAAGAAAGAGGAGGTGGAGATAAAGAGTATCGTGTAAATACTAAAATACTAAAATCTAAGCTAAGCTGTTGGTAGTGTTTCCTCTTTGTATTATCCCGTTTGCCATCTCTATTTAACAAGCAAGGTGCTTGTTCAATTTGTCTATTAGGGCATTTGCGAAACTTTCTTTAAATGAAGGACTAAGAGTCTGCATCATTGCTTCAAAAGTCTCATAATGTTGTGTTGAGCTCGCACCTAATTGATGCCAGCCTGCTAAATCAACAGTTACCTTGATGGTAATTCCTTCCAATGTTTCAACTCTCAAATGGTCAGCACTTAAAGGATCGTCCAAGAACAATTGTGATTCTAGGAAAAAGGCAGAGTATTCATTGCAAATAGATTTCAATTCTTTTTGAAGTTGTTGTCTATCCATTTCAGAGAAAGACTCACCTATATTTTGTTCTTTTTATCAAGAGAACAACTTGAACAACTTTGAATGAGGAAAAATAAATTACACTTTGAAATGTTGTTTTGGAGTTTAGAAAATGCTACACCAATAAGGTCTCAATAAGGTCCCAATAAGGTCCCAATAAGGTCCCAATAATGCCCCAATAAGGTCCCAATAAGGTCCCCTTGTCACTATATAATGACAAGGGAATTGATTCCCCCCACCGCTAATCTTACCACATTTGAGATATTGAGATAAAGAGCCAAACCTTAAGAAAACAGAGGAAGGAAAACAGAGGGAACTTTGTATATATAAATTTTTTACAATGCTTCTACTAATTTCTCTCTCAAGCATAAAACAAAGATCAAAAACTTTGACAAGTCTATAGATACTTTGCAATACAAATGTAGTCACAACTGATTCCCAATGTCTCATACTAAAAAAAAATTTATCAACATCAGGCGCCCAGAAACGTGCTCCACTTACAAGGTTAATCTACGCTTTTATCCACTTGTAAACCTCCGGATCTAACAATATGGAAGAACAAAAGTTAAATCTTTTATATAGAGGGTGAATCTGCGATTGATGTTGAAGAAGAAGAAGAAGAAGAAGAGTGAAAAAAAAAAATTGAAATAAAAATTGTAGAGAAAACTTTTCAGTGGTCCCGTGTAAAACGGCGATGTAGTGTGCGGCGAAAGTTGGCGATGATGACAAACAGTATCAACATCTAACTGTTGAGTTGAAAAAAAAAATTTTCCAATTCGCATGACGAGGGGGTGGGAATAAGAGTTCCATTGGTTGATAAAGTTTTTTTTGGGGGAGTTGATTTAATGGTGTCGGAAACAAAGAGTGGTATTGCAGTGGCACCAGAAAAGTTTATTGGTGCAAATGTACATGTCACGATAACAGATTCACGTATCTTTAGAGGTATTTTAACTGTAATTGATCCCTTTGGTAATTTACTTTTATCCAATACATACGAAATATCAAGGAATAAATTCGATTTGGAAAAAAAACACGTTAGAGAAATTGGACTTGTGAGTGTTCCACGAGCTACTATCGCCAGCATCAAGGTTGATAAAAAGACGTATAAGAATATTTATAATATGGAATGATAAAAAGCACATTGAGGAAAAAGGATCTTTGCTCCACTATCAACCAACACTATCGACCAACACTATCGACCAACACTATCGACCAACACTATCGACCAACACTATCGAGCAGAGCGAGATAGTGTTGTAACAAGCTAGTCAGTGTTGCTTGATAGTGGAGATAGTGTTGGTGTAGTCAGTGTCATAACAAGCTAGTCAGTGTTGCTTGATAGTGGAGATAGTGTTGGTGTAGTCAGTGTTGCTCGATAGTGGAGATAGTGTTGGTGTAGTCAGTGTCATAACAAGCTACAAAGTGTTGTAACAGCCACTAGGTATTGCTCCACTATCTCGCTTTGCTCGATAGGAAGGATCTTATATTTTTATGAGCTTGATTTTTTACGATAGATCTTGTGGTACTTGGGCTTGGCTTTTCTGACATTAAAGCTTCCGCCTAGTTTAAGTTTCCGCTTCCTAGAAATGGCAGCTTCAAATGAAGGCACTGGTTCGTTCATCTTGTTCTCATTATGACGAGCGAATGAACCAGATGGATCATTATTGTTATTGTTAGCGGAGTTTTCGGACAAAGCTGGCTGAGACGCGGCATTAACGTGGAACAGATCATTATCATAATCGATTAATGGCCTTTTCTTTTTTTGATTTTTCAATTTAGAAGCGGGTATTTTCTTTACTCGTTGAATTGGTCCGTTTTGGTTTTCATTCTGTTGTTCACTATTAGGCAAGTAGTTTACTGGATTTTGAATGAAAACACGTCTTGTATTACCAACATTAGCCGGGTTTCGAAATTCTGGGGGGACATTGATTGGCCGTCTGATTATGATGAAATTGCCATTTTTGTCTAGGGAATCCATTTCCTCCCATTCACATGGACGATTAGGGTTATAACCGTCATTGATGGATCCTTTTTTTCCTCCTCCTCCTCCTCCTCCTCCTCCTCCTTTCCCCTGATGAGGATCTATCAATTTTACAGGTGGTGTTTCTTGTTTCTTTTTGGAATATGGATATGGTCTTGGTTTGTTTATACTGGGCATATTTTCTTCGTAGCCGGGAGGTGGCCAAATAGCAGGTGGTGGATAAGGATTGGTCACTGATGGTTTTCCATGTTCTAAACAAGTGCCAATGAAATGATCCCGAGCACTTTGAAAGGTTCCAAATGGACATATATCAACTAAACATCCAACTAAAGCATCTTCATTTTTGCAAACAGAAGATATATCTTTTAAATTTGACGGACATTTGCGAGTAACTTCCGCTACACAGCTTAAGAAACATGCTGGAGGCGTACTACTACTTATACTAAGAAGAGTAAGCACCACTAATAGTAGCTCAATCATTATTGGAATAACGCCATATAGAGTTGGTTGTAAAAAAGGTATATAGTAGACAAGAGAAAAATATTAACACTAACTGAGCGAAAGCGACGCTACTAGCGCCAGCTAGAGCCTAGCACTTGCGGAGCGAAAGCGATGCTACTAGCGCCAGCTAGAGCCTAACACTTGCAGAGTAAAAGCGACGCTACTAGCGCCAGCTAGATCCTAACACTAGCAGAGCGAAAGCGACGCTAGTGGTTCTCTAGTATAACTACACTAGCACCAGCTAGAGCCTAACACTAGCGTCGCTTTCGCTCCGCTAGTAGTTCTCTACTTTTTTCACTAACAATGCTTTGGCTCTGCTACTGATCCTCTAGTATATCTACACTAGCGTCGCTTTCGCTCCGCTAGTGGTCCGCTAGTGATCTCCGTCGCGTTAGACTCGCTATTGAAAATCGGCTCAAGTAACGCCTTTTTTTTCTCTCTTAACAACAACCACAAAGACACCAAATGAAAAAATTGATTAACGTATCATAAATCAGCATTATAGAAGACATTATTCAAAGGCAAAAAAAAAAAGGATAGTCAAGTAAGGCTTCAGTACCTATCGAGCTATATAAGGTCATAAAAATAACAATTTTCATTGCATGGTATAGCACGCCAGCAAAAAGAAAAGCCGTTCTTTTTCTTAAATTTTTAGCATTCAACAAACCCATTTCAAATTTAGTCCCATATTTCAAATGCAAGGAAGTTATAAGAGCAATGGGTTACCGAGACCATACTACATGAAACCTTCGAGAAAGAAACGCTCGCCATATGATAATTTGAAGGAACCTATTGTTTTCTTTAATAGTCCCAGACGCAAACTTAGTGGTTATCTAGTAATGCTTATTATCTTTTGTACATTGATGTGGTGGGTTTCACAGGACATGAAGGCGCGGCCAGACGTAGAATATGAGCTAGAAACGGATATCGCATCATCACCATCGTTAAAGGACAACAAAATGGATAATAAGAACAGTGGGAATCTAGAAAATATAGTGAAAAATATAGGATCGCAAGCAGATAAGGAGATTGAAAATTTGGATCTAGCTGATAATTTAGCAGTTGGTTCTAAAGGAGAAAAGGGTTTAGGCGCAGCCGAAGCTCCAATAGGCGGTATGGCTAATGAAGGGCCAATGATAGGTAATGACGAAGATAAATCGATTGGGTCGTCGGGAAAAAGTAATAACCACAAGGGTCAAACACCGTTAAAGGGTAATTCGCCAAAACCAAAAGATACCGAAGTTGTTCTTGCCGACAAAGAAGACAGTCATATTGAAAAAGTTGGTGATTTTGCAAAGAAATTGACAAACCAGGACAAAGCCCATCAAATTATCATGGACACTCAATAAATAAATAAGAAAATAAATAAATAAGAAAAAACAAAAAAAAGAATGGATAACCAAGAGTAAGTCCTCTTCTTCTCTCTTTTGTCATCTCTTTATATACATATATGGACTTGGACAATTCCTCTACGATATTAGGTCTATTAAATAAATAAATTAAAAAAAAAATTAGTATCTGGCTTCTAACAATTTGTTTGTCTCAACGACGACAGAAAAAAGATCAGGTTCAACTGGGAATCGAACCCAGGTCCCCGGAATCAGAATCCGATGTGATCACCCCTACACTATTGAACCCTAACTAGTCTCTTCGAGAGCAATATAAAGTTGTTAATTCAAGAATTTTGATAATACACTACAAGGCCAAAGTCAGTGATGGCTAAACTATTCAAAAATGAACTATATTTTTAAGAATAAAATTTATAAACATATGCAAATACTAGCAGAAGAAGACTAAGATATCAAGACTTTACTAGAATATCTCGAAAATATATACTAAGATAAAACAATAGTGTAAAAATACTAAACACTGCACATAACCTCGTATCAATTACAACTTATAAACCTTCTCTATACCACATTAGCTTTTATCACGTAATGCTACCACAAGTAAATTTAATAAAAAGCATTATTTCCTAAGCCTTACGTAATCAACAAAACTGTCTCTCATGCTGAGCCCCTTATTCAACACAAATTTTTCTTCTTATAAGTTTCTTTGACTTTGAGTTACAATTTATAAATTGCTATAGGCTTTGCCTTAATCAAAAAAAAAACGCTTAGTTAAAAACAACTGAAGATAGTTTTGGAATATGCTCTCTGCAGTATGAAAAGTCCTTTGTAGTGTAATGGCTATCACGGTTCGCTTTCACCGAGCAGATCGGGGTTCGATTCCCCGCAAGGGAGTGTTTTATTTATTTATTTTTTTTTTTCTTCATTCATTCTCAAAAGCACATAGATCCACTTTATTCAAGACGGTTGAAGACGTATGAATGCTTTTCTGGACTGTTTCAAGTGTAGAGAAACAATATCAAAAGGGAAAAGATTTAGTGATTTACACAGTAACGCAACAATAATACCATCACCACCACCTTCATCATCATTAATTAATTCAATTTATTTTTCCCTTACATAATAGCACATTTATCGCTGCTGCCTATTATTTCATTGTATCTCTCCTTATCTCTATCTCTTATTTTCTCTCTCACCTCAACAGGAAAGTATTTCTTCATCAATTCCATAGACTTCAAATCCAAATTACTTGAATCTGCTTCAAGTATAGCTCCTTTTCGACGACACATGGGGCAGCTAGTTTTATCCTCTTGCTTCATTTTGACTAAACATCGAACACAAAACAAATGCCCACATGATAACCTGATGGGTTTATATGCAATGCTCATACATATCGGACACGAATAATCATCGATCTGTGGAACGAGCAGTAATACCGAATCCTGGATAACATAGCATATTGATTGTGCTAGCGACTTACCACCAACAAAAATGAAATCGGGCAAAATTAGTTTCGAGTAAATGTTTTGTATACCTAAAGAAGTTTGTTTATCAAACTTTTTGAGAATCTTTCGAATAGCTTCTGTGTTTATTGTTTGGAACTCCATCATTTTGAGTAGGTGGAAATTCATGGCCACAAACTGATTAAAAGCAGCAATACTATTTTTCTTTTTAAACTGTGTGAGTATACCGGATTTATCAACGTTTTTCAAGAATTGTTCCAAATGAAGTTTGATATCTTCTTCATTTCTCGGTTCTCGATCTTGATCATTATATCTGAAGTAAACCTCTGAATCGAGATATATTTTGAAAAGCTCTCTCCATTTGTAGAGCTCTGATCTTTTGTCTGTGAAATTGGTAACCAAGCCTGCAATTGCTTTTACTTCATCCATAATCTTAGACTCTTCATTCTTTGTTAGATCCTCCAAAGCTTCCAACTCTTCTTCCAACATTTGGAAGAATTTGCCATCAGAATTTAATACAATATAAATCTCGCGTTTCTTGTGGCTTGTGTCCAGCAATACTAGTTTATCTATCACATTTTTCACTTCATTTTCTGTCTCTGCCATGGACGATACTGGTAGTGGAGGAGACGTTGGCTGTACAGGTGGTGACAATGATCCTTCTCTACTTGAAACCAACTTCAACTCTCCGCCATCTTCTATCAATTCCACGATTTTCTCCTCATCTCCTGAACTGCTATCACCAACACCAAGCAAGCTTTCAATCTTTTGTTTTACCTCATTGCACGTTTTGGTGATACTATCATCTGACAAATTCTCGTTACTAAAATCCAAAGTAATCTTGAGTATTGGCTTTACAAGGTGGCTCCCGGGTGAAACCTTGGTTAAAGTATATTCTGCGATTATTGGATTTGGCGCATTTGTTGCATCATTTTTACTCCCAACATCAACAACCTTATCATTGAGTAACAATTTCAATTTATTTTGTTCCAATCCCAAAAATTGTAACTCGTCAACGACTTTATTTATACATTTCTTAAGAGCCTTATATTGGATTGCTGCTTCTACCCATTCCTCAGGAATGTCTCTCCTTAATTCACGCTCTAGTGTCTTGGCAAATTTCATGAAGATGAACCTTATTATAATCTAATTTCATAAAGATGAATGTTACTATAATCGTTTGACTTATATCATTACAGCAGGCAACAACAAAAAATAGCGACAATAAAATAATGATAGCGATAACAACAAATACAACAAATACAATAAATAATAGCTAGAAGACAAACTAGACAGTGACAAATACAAGTTGCAACTGAATCATCCAAGATCTTAAAGACTATTGCCGTATGGAAAAAAAAAAAAAGAAAGAAAAAAAAAAAAAGAAAATTATAATTTGAAAAATATACCAAAAGAGAAGAGGAAGAAACTGAAAGACGCTTTTCCACTTCATTTTAGGATTATGCCATTCCCAAAATTAGTAGACAAAACTAGTACTTTTTGACTATACAGGATGGAAAATTTATATCTAAAAGAGCTGAACATTATAGAGAAATAATTATGTGGTAAATCCTCGTGTATATTTTATGTTGGCGGCATTCTCAGTATTATTCGCTCCACGTGGTGCGAACCCCAACACACTATCGAGCGAAGCGAGATAGTGCAGAACTGACTGCCACCGACACTAGATAATTATATCGAGCGAAGCGAGATAGTGCAGAACTGACTGCCACCGACATTAGATAATTATATCGAGCGAAGCGAGATAGTGCAGAACTGACTGCCACCAACACTAGATAGAGCGAAGCGAGATAGTGTAGAACTGACTGCCACCGACACTAGATAATTCTATAGATAGTGGAGCACGCTATCTGCCACCGACACTAGATAATTCTATAGTTGTTGGAGCATGCTATCTGCCACCGACACTGTTAATCAAGTTGCAAAATAGATAATTCTAGATATACTCAATTACTGTTAATCAAGTTGCAAAATTTCTTATTGAAATTGCTGCGAAAAAAAAGGTAAGCAAAAAGTGTACACAAATGAGAGTAAACAAAAATGTACACAAATGAGAGTAAGCAAAAAATGATAAAAAAAGACTCATCGCCTATCATTTAGAAGAGGTATGTTTTGTTATAAGGAATAAAGGCATATTGTATCGAAAAAGAACAGCAATAGTTTCTATTAAGAACACTATTGTAATGGTTTCAAAAAGAAAAAAAATTAAAAGAACTCCTCCCTTGCGGGGAATCGAACCCCGATCTGCTCGGTGAAAGCGAACCGTGATAGCCATTACACTACAAAGGACTTTTCTTGTAAAATTTGATAGCCAAGACCATACAAAGGGTTTTTCTTGTAATATAACAGTTGATTTAATAGAGTAATATACTATCAAGCACGAGATGGTGTCATTAGTCAGTGTGCTCCACTATCTTGCTCCGCTCGATAGTGTCATTAGTCAGTGTGCTCCACTATCTTGCTCCGCTCGATAGTGTCGAAACAGTTGATTAAATAGAGACAAGACGTTGAATATGACAATATTTGCTACATGGGAAAGAAAGACCTAGACGCAATAAACAACCTCAATAGAGCAAAGAGGACAAGGCAGAGAATACAGAGATAGATATAATGCCATAAGCTTACTATTGAAATGGGAAGCTTTAATTGGTTTGATACGAAATTTTTTTATTGACTCCCTTAGTCTCTACCGATAGTAACATACCCTACTCTCTAAACCATTAGCCTTTTTAGCTCAAACTACTTGCTCATCACCTCAAACCACTTGCTTTTCTAGCTCAAACTACACGGTCTTTCCCTTACAGGTCTTCTTCACTCCTACTGGATTCTGCACACGACGGAAAAAAAAAAAATAAAAAAAAAGATTTCTGTTTAAAGTGAAAAACTTTTCCAATAGGTCAAAGGCTATTGAAGGTCAAGGCTATTGAAGGTAAAGAGAATAGTTTCCAAAAGTAGGGGAGGAGAGGTGTTCAACTATGATAAGACTGTCTATACGTAGGTTGCATAATGTATCTAGGGGTTCAGAAACTATTCCATATGTACCAGTACCCAAGAATAAATATAATATCAAAAGGTCAGCATTCAACTTTAAACCTCAAGCACAACCGGGGTTGATATACAACCCACCAGCAGCAATAATAAACCCATCGATGCAAACTCCATATATTTTTCTACCTCAAAATGACCCAAGACGAGAATTGGCGAAAGCTAATCGTATACCTGATGAGATCATTGCTGATATGCCTATAATAAGGCAATTCAAAGCACCAAATGAAAGAGAGTATAGTATATCAAGAGAAACCGTAGAGGAGATGAAGAAGTTGGCGGCACAAGATCCCGAGCGGTGGGATTTAAAAGCATTGAGTAAAAAATTTAATATCGAAATGAGAAAATTGATATATTTCTTTAGGACTGAACATCAAAGGGCTAAGAAGTTGCAAAACTTACAAGAACTGGGAAAGTTACCAAAACATATACTTGATAGACAAAAGAGGAGACAAATGTGGATGAGAAACGAATTTTGATCAGATTATCACCATTCAACTTATTAGTGCCTTTTCTACCTCAACTTATTAGTGCCTTTTCTACCTCAACCCATGAGTGCCTTTTCTACCTCAACTTATTAGTGCCTTTTCTGCGATTTAGGACACCTGTAAATATAACTAGGTATTAGAACTTGCAACCTTACATCTCTCGTCTTTCTCTTTTTCTCTAATGACCCTTCTTCTATAGCTTATGGGTTAGTGCTACCGCCTCTCATATTACAAAGCGCTTTAAATATTAACGAAAAAAAGAAGACAAAAAAAAAAGGGTCAAAACTAATAACTTGAAGGTCAAGTATCAGTAGATTATGACTGACAACGTAAGTGTTGGAGAGGATAGAATTGCCCAATGAGTTTGAATTACTAACTTTGGTCTTATAGGAGCATAGAAAATCGGGGCAGAAGTCGCAGCAGCAGCCGCAACTGCATCAGTATAGAAAGAAGGGTGGACAACAACACAATAATGACAGACCAAGATCGGAAGGACCTAAAAGAGAAGCTATACTAGACTTGAATAAATATAAAGGTCAAGAAATCAGAGTAAGATGTGTAGGCGGAAGACAAATTACTGGTTACCTTAAAGGATTTGATCAATTGATGAACCTTGTGCTAGAAGATGTGGTGGAACAATTAAGAGGTATGTCAACATTATAAATCCGTGTCTATTTTGACAAAATACTAACCGTTTCCATTTTTTCCCTTCTTTTCGTAGACCCCGAAGATGAAGATACGCTAACGAATGAATCCAGAAAGCTTGGTTTGGTGGTTGTGAGATGTACTAGTTTATTGACCATTTCACCTGTCGCTGGAAATGAAATTATAGAAAACCCGTTCGTACAAGAGAAATAGCTTTTAAATCTACAAAACACTATACAATTTGAACAAAATACCGCCTCTTATAGCCCTCGTTGCTTTCTATAGACAAGGTCCTCATCAGTGAGTACCAAATAAAACACCATTTTTCATTTTTTTTTTTTTTTTTTTTTTTTTTTTTTTTTTTTTTTTTTTTTTTTTTT